TATGAGTTAATTATTACGCACAAGGATATCATTCATAATTGATCATGAATCCGCCCGTATGTTTTGGTAGATTAGATAGTCCTCTAGTTCCATTTTGTGTAAATTGTAAATTAACGAGTATCATGACAACTTGGATTAGGTTTTATGCAATGTAAACATTAGTGTCATGGTTAACAAAATATGTCACAAACAATGAATGCATGAGGATGTAAGGAAGAAGACATGGGACTCGGAATAATTATCAAAGCACAAACAGAATTTTTGAAAAAGATTTTTTTGCACATTTTAATGTTTCTTATGAATCGTACATAACAAATATCAATATATAACCTAAAATGTTCCCCAATTCAGTAGGATATGTAATAAAGTAATCTCCATTACCTACTCTTAAGTTTCACCTTGATGATATCAAATTAACGGGGAAAAAAATGGGAAGGAACTAACAAAAAATGACAACAAGAAGAGGAAAAAATGATGGGAAGAAAGATTTCTAGACCAATGCTGAATCCCTCACTCGGAGACCCGCCCTAGATTACCTCTTCACTATGCCAAACGGTTTGATGCATTGGCATGTGCACTTTCTAACTCGTGTATCATGCTTTATTCTTATATATGTGCCAATAAATCGAGGCTAGGCGGACTCTCATAAGAAGACCACCGATAGTATCCATTTTCTAACAAAGAAATAAATGATGGGTTGCTATGTTAAAGATTGAAAGAAAGAATCTCATGCCCGTGTTTGTGACTCGGGCCCTTTATCGCAAAGGTAAGAGGTTTTACGGTGAATTCAAACCCGAAACCCCGCCCTTTCCGGATGATTTTCTACTTGCCTCTCAAGTAGACCTTGAGAAAATTTCAATCATGAAAACACTTACATGACACCGTGAATCAAACCGAATACAAGATGTGGCATTTCCTTATAAAATCATTGGAGTAATTCACTTACTTTGTCCAAAATAGTTGTAGAAGCTTAAAGCCAATGTCCAACCATGGTTTTGACTAACCATTATAGTGGATAACTATAGCCTTCTTTACACTCTCAATATTTATCTTATTCTAATATCCCAACCCAAGCATATGCCGGAACGGATCGATTGGATGAACATGACCTTAAAATGCCATCGTTAACACAAATTCGTAACTATGTTCAAAGATTAGGGCCACAAACATACACATCTTTAGAGTGTTGCAATGCAATCAAGACTCGTTGATGTACCCTTACATCACTAAGGATATTGAAGCCATCGTTGACATGGCAAAAGTGGCTCATGTTACTCGAATCTTGTGGCATACCATACCCGTCGTTTTTCTATTTTGAGATGCTTCCAGTTTTGTAAGCTTGACAACACCCGAGCCGACGTAATTTACCCCCGCAAAAAATGATATAATTTTGTTCATCTTAAAAGATAAAAGATATGCTTACTTGATTTTCTTCTAACTAGTAACTTGTTGACGATGATGGGATAAAAGGATCGAAAATGGAGAAGGTCTCCTATGTTTCGACAATGGGGATAGTAGAGATTGTTTCTCAATTAGTTTGTATAAATAGGATTATAAGAATATATTAGGGTTATATAGTAATTTTTTAAAAAAAATTAAAAATATTTTAATTGAGCGTGTTATTCAAAAAGTTTTAAGTTAAAAACTTTTACTTGCCTAATTAAGTAGATTTTGACTAAATTCAAATTTTAAGTATAAGATTATTTAGATTATCAAACAAACCTTTTATATTAAGTACTATAACTTAATTTTTTAAGCTACTTAAATAAGTTATGAAACACCCTCAATTTTCGGAATAAACTTTTCACTTTTTGTCAAATGACTTAATGGAACATCCCTACCTACATTGTCACCCAAAGCATCACCACCTACATTATCACCCAAAATATCACCACCACCTTTTTCTTGAGTTAAGACTTCATTTCCTTTGACATTCTCATATGCCTCCACAAAAACATCTATAGACCCTTCTTGACATCCAATACCTAACATCTATATAAACACCACATCCTCATCTATAATTAAACATACCTCACTTAAATTTAAATCGATTGGTTAAACATCATAATCCTATGTGTCTTATATCCAACTTTCAATAATAACATCATATAGATCTTTTAAATTCATAAAATCAAGATCTTCTAACCACTCGACCAATACAACCCTTACCTTCCCAACATAAGAAATGGGACTCATGCTATTAAAAACTCCACCAACATCAAAATTAATCTTGAAATGATTTTCCATCCTATGGATAGAAACACCAACCAAAAGACAAACAAATTTAGTTATGTAATTTGAGTGGTTAAAGGTACGAAAGTATGGGTTTTTGGGGTATTTTCTTGAAGGTTTCTCTCCGGAGGTTTGAGGTTTTGAATTTTAGCTATTAGGGACAGAGAGAGGTTTGGCTTTTCACTTGCAAAACTATAGCAATTGCTTCATGATAAAAGGAAAGAATCGGGTTGAAGGGCTATGGGTTTGAGGGATGAGAAGAAATGAATAGAAGAAGAAAGAAAAATGGAGTATCCGTGGGTTTGATTCTAGAAAAAAAAGGGAGAAAAGGATGAAGGAAGAAAAAGAGAGGATCCGTAGGTTTGGTTACGTAAAGAAAGAAGGAGAAGACGAATAAGGAAGAAAGAAAGAGAAGAAGAAGGAGGAAGATAAGAGGATCTATCATTTCGATTCTAGGAAGGAGGAAGATGAAAGGATATAGGAAGAAGAAAGAAGGAAGAATTGATGATCTATAGAAACAAGAATTTGAAAAAATAAGGCAAACAAAGGACTAGGGAATTTGAAAAAACAAGGCAAATGAAAGATTGAGGAATTTGAAAAGGTTAAAGTTAATTTGAATCGGGGTTTGAGGATTTTGTTGTAATTGGGGTATATATGAAATGACATGTCGTTTAAGTTTTGTAACTAATTTTTCACATCAAGGCTCACGAGGAATTCTACTTGGCGCATTGAGTCTAGTTGTCATACTTCATCACTTGCCATGTCAACATCGATTGGATTTTTTATTAAAAAATTAGATCAATGCTTGTATTATTATCGGAGGCTTAATTGGTGACCTTTCTATATAATTTTTAAAGAACAAGTTAAAATTATTAAAACATGTATAGTTCATGATTTTCCGGTACATTAAGCCAATATATCTTGTTATCTTAGTGAGATCATTTAATAAACATACCTAGAAAGTGAGTTTATTGGGTTTGCTTCTATTCCATAATTATTGAGTTCCTAGAAACCTAGAAGCATAAAAAGACAATGATTCCACCACATGTTTCTCCCTTAAAAACCTTCTAATTCCAAAAGAGTAACGATATTGAATTAGGCAATTCTTTGTCATTAGTTAGTTTAAGATAATAACGGTACTTATATCTAGGCTAAGAATAATGATTAAATCAGCATCAATAATATAGTTGTGTTGCTTTTTCAAATTAAATTAGGGGAATGTACACATAAGGGTCCAAAATGACAATAATGGCATTATCTTTTCTCAATGTTTTGGGTTTTCATTCTCACAATCATTTTTTTCTTTTAAACTCTAATCTTGTTATTTTCTCCTACATCGTTATCAAAATCATTATGTTCATGGCTTTTTTTTAATATTTAAGGTTTGCTATTCTCGAAACGTTGCTCTTATTGAGCCTTATCGGTATTTAAATCCATCATTAACCTATTTTTTTAAAAAAAAACTTTTGGTTATAATGCTTATTTTAGAGGGTTGTTTTTTTTTTTGTTTTTTTGTTTTTTTGTTTTTTTGTTTTTTTTTTTTTTTGCTATACCTTTGTTATTTTTTCATTTCATGACCTTTTCTTTTTACCAAATTCATAATTGATCTTTCCGTTGTTACAATACTATTATTCTCCTTTTAAAGCCCAACGTGTATGTTATGTTCATAAATTTTTTCTCTATGTTGAGATGTTTTGTATGATTGTTTTTCATTTGTTGTTTTATGTTCTATTCTTGTTCATACCTACTTATTCGAGTCAATCTATTCAACTTAGTTATGTCATTTCTAATTAGTCAAGACTCGAAAGCACTAAAGGATATTGATATTGTAAATATTAAGATAAGAATCACTTTACGACTACGTTAAAAATGAAAATTTTCTCCCTAGGCCTTCAATCCAGTTGTGTCTAGTCGGGAAAGCCTTGGTTTCCAAATAGTTTCTTATTCTGATCATCCTATTATTGCCACTTATTTTGCATGTGATCACTCTCTAGTTTGTCATTCATTTCATTCCTTAGTCGATATCGAAGAGCATCTCCAATGCTCTCTTCATATTAACATTTTTCTTTATAATAAAGAGGTTTGACCCAATTTTCATCTTCAATGCTCTTTTTATCACAATCTCTATCTTTAAAAGTGAGATACGGAGTATCTTTGACTCTCCAATACTACGAGTCCAAATGACTCTTTATCTTATATTTTATTAATAAAAATTACTATTTTCTACGTCACTCAGCCTCCTCACCAGCAGTCTCTCTAGGTTTAACGAGAAAAAAACATGAGGGAAAATTTCAGAATTAAATGTTTTATGGATTTTGTCAAAATAAAGAGTTAAAGTAGAGAATAGCATTAGAGAGAATATTAATCTTAAATCTATATAATTAATAATACTCTTTATTTACATTAAAAATATTAACTAAAAGTAAAATACACAATTGGAGATGCTATAAGCCATCTAAGATAAACAGTTTCAAGTTCCTGCTTTGATCAATGATTCTGCTTCTTCTTTTATTATTTAATTAGGGGGATCTGTGTCATCATCGACTTCTAATAAGTGAACTTGACGTGTTTGACAAGCTACACCAGTCTGTCATTTCATGACCTCATGTACTTTGATCAGTTAGTGATTTAGCCTGAATGACAATTTGAAAGATCATGGTTGTGCCCCTCATTTTAATTATCAAATCCTTCACTCTCACCAACCTACAAAAGCTACATCTAAACATTGTAAATTGGCCAAGCATCATGATAGCGATCCTAGCTAGTACATGCGTTGCTTTTCCCCTCCATCATCATTTGGCCCCTTCTTATCTGCACCTGATGTTGCTTTATCTTACGAACAAAATTCATGTGATATATTGGTAGCTGATAACTTTCATCTTGTTGTTGATACCTGTCCAAACAAGGATGCTTTCTGTAAGACCATGGAACTTTATCAAATGGAGAAGGTGTTGAGGGTTCTAGCCAAAATCTTCATTATTTCATTAATTGCACCGATCCATCATCAATTGTCTTGAATTCGCTTGCTTTACATAGTCATCATACCAGTCAAACATCTTAGTAATATAAAATGGAGAGTGAGTTTTTTACTAAAGATTTTAAAATTAACGAAAATACTTCTTTATCAAAGATTTTTTGAAATTACATTTTTGGTCCTTTTGCATTCGTCCTTCCATTAAAATAGTTCTAAAATGATTTCAGCTGGCCTGTAACTAATCTCAATTTTTTTGCAGCTATTTTGCCTCCGACGTTATGGATAATACTAACTTAGTTTCTCCTTTTATTGGATCAACCCATAAAGACCTTCACTTACATTGGAAAATGAACCTGTATTTCAAAGTATGCAAAGCTCAAATAACCACTGACTGCTTTGAAAAAGCACATGGCCATTAAAAAAGACCACGTATTGCTGAAACTTTTCAATGCTCTACATTGCTCTACTTGTTTTGAGATATGTTGTTTTAGAATTATTCTAATGTTGTTGTACAGTTCAATTATTTTTAGATTCATGCTTTTGTTGAATTAAAGTAATTGAAACATGTCTTTTTTTCTATTTTTATTTTAAATTAAAAAAAAACGTTGTATATTTTTTTCTTTTAAAGATTGTTTTGTCATTCCTAGACATTTGACTCAAATTTAACATAAATGTATGTACATATTTGTTTTCATGTCTTTTCACTTTCTGTCATCATCATTAATCAAATGAGTATATATACATTCAAATGATGAAAGCTCGCTCAAGGTGTCGTGGAAATTAAATGGATTTAAGTTGCTGAATATATATATGCCTATGTAACCGAGCCATTTTGCTTCAATGAAAAATCATTTCAACCATCGTTGAAAGAAAAAAAATCTATTTTGCTTCATTTGTTCTTAGAAATCATGCCTCCCTAAACCATCATGAAAAGCAAATTTTTTTTTCTCCTTCTTTCGTGCCATACACCAACACTGTTTGAAAGAAGAAGGTCTTTAGATTTCGATTCATTTTTGTTTATCTACCCGCAACATAGCGCGGGTGCCGATCTACCAACCCCTATACAAACTCTGCATCGAAAGCCAGGCAGAGATACGCAAGTCCCAAAAAGAGAATATGGTTGGTGTAGAGATTTGCTGAAAGTCCTGATAATACTCAAAATAATAATAATAATAAAATAAAAATGAAATAAAATCTTCAATGCAACAATATACTCATCATCTTAATTAGAAGATAGACTAGCTTCAAAATGTTTTAATAGACAAATTATTAAACTGCTGACCATCGAAGCGTCTTCTAATTTAAACTTAATTAATATTGCATCTAGCTAGAGAGCGTTTAATTGCTTGGGAAGGTCAGAGTTTCACAATTGTTTTTTTTTTTTTTTTTTCAAAAACGTAGTTCAACTGTATCCAATTAATCGACTATATGGTACTTTTAAGTGTTTATAACCAACATAAATACGGTAGAGATGTATTTTCGATTGTGTATTTGTTTTTCGTCATATAAAGATTTACAAGTCTTCTTGGCTGACTTGATTTTGCTAACTAGTTCTAAAATTAGTGGTTCTGGTGTTTTCCTAGGTATTGAAAACATGCCATACTCAAACAGTACTAGGTCGGTTGATCAAGAGGATGAGCCATTTGTTGAGATTGATCCAACGGGAAGGTATGGTAGGTACCAAGGATTACTTGGTGCTGGATCAATCAAGAAAGTGTATCGCGCGCGCTTTTGATCAACAAGAGGGTAGAGAGGTTGCATGGAATAAGGTTGATTTGAGAATCTTCAAAGACGATGAGGTCATGAAGAAATGAATGTACAACAAGGTACTATTCTATCAGAACTTGAAGAGTGAGAATGTTATTGCATTGTTTAGCAAGTGGACAGACTATAAAACGTTAAATTTCATAACTGAAGTTTGCACATCAGGGAGCTTGAGAGATTATAGAAAGAGACATATATAGAAGTGTTTCTATCACGGCAATCAAGAAGTGGAGTAGACAAATATTGAGAGGATTGGAGTATCTTCACATGCATCAGCCCTGCATTATTCACAGGGATCTCAATTGTAGTAATATCTTTATTAATGGCAATACTGGGGAGATAAAGATTGGAGATTTTGGATTCGCGACAATGTTGGGGAAGGATCATGTAGCGCATTCGATACTTGGGACTCCGGAGTTCATGGCACCGGAGTTGTACGACGGGAATTACACTGAAGCAGTGGATGTTTACTCGCTTGGAATGTGCTTGCTTGAATTGGCGACTTTAGAGATACCTTATTTTGAGTGTGATGATTTTGTGAAAATTTATAAGAAGGTGACTTCTCGGGTGAAGCCTATGGCACTCCAAAAGGCAAGGAATCTGGCGGTGAAGGCTTGCCTTGCAGGACAGAATGATAGGCCATCTGCAACTGAGATTCTCCAGGATTCCTTCTTTGATGGACTCGATGATGACGAAAACTGTGATACTACCCCTGGCCCTGGCTTTGTACGCACCACCTGTAGGAAAATTGGAGCTGGCCATGCCCCATGTCATTACCTTAACCAGGACGCCAAGGCAAGGCTCGTGTCTGGAGTGAAGTCGTATTACTTGTTGGTTTAACATGAATCTCAATACTGTTCTCATATATTTACTAGCTAGTAATTAGTCTTACTCATAGCAATTTGAATTTGATTACTACACTGTTCTTTTTCCTTGTTGGCAACTTAGCAACTAGCAAAGCTCCAGGATTTTACTAATTTGAATTGAGCTCAACTTGGACGCATAAAACTTCAAAACTAATCAAATTAATTCGAGGATAAAGTTGCATTGGAAAATATTTGGTAATGTCCTGCAATTGTAATTTCTGAGGGGGAAAAAATCTCACCCTTCCCATTCCAATTCAATTTCCTTAACCTTGAAAGAGGCAAACATCAAGAGCACCATTCAAAGGAATGCTGATGGTAGAAAAATCATGCACCATGGCCAAGATGGCATCAGTTTGCTACTTATCCTTTTTCTTTCACCGTCCGGTCATCATGCATCTAAGCATGAGGGGGTGCCTGGTGGTAGTTCTTACAATTATATGTAAGATGTAAGTAGGCAGAAGAAGATTTAAGCAGTCTGGGTGCAGGCAGCTGGAAAAACTTTCCCAGATACTAGGGGCTTCACATTGGCGCATAGAGATGTTGAGTTCCCTTCTTTTCCGTTGTATGTCAAGTTGATATCCTTAACAGAAACATTTTGGCATGGTACGCCTCTGCTACAAACAATTTTCACTGCCAGTTGAGTTGCCGAAGTGCCCCGTATGCGGTTGAATCCAATATTGGAGATCTTAACACGCGAGGGAACCTTGAACACAGAAGAAATCATCAAGTAGATAGTCCTTTTCTTTTCTTTTTCATGAAAAATGGGAGTAATAGAAAAAAAAAATTGAGCAAGATCAAAATTTCAAGTACCTTTGCCAGGCACTGATTATAAGGGCAGTATTCTTGGTCTATAAGAACAGGGTTGCTAACATTGTTCATAATGATATCCTCAAATTTAACATTTGAGGCTATACCACTGGGAGAAGCTGGCCATGTTTTAATCCGAACACCATTTTCGGTGTTTGTGAGGGTGCAATTCCTCACTGTAACTCCATTAACCGGTTGTTCATCATGGTATCTGCCAAGGCTTCCAACACTAATGCCATGGCCTGGTCCGCAGGTTACTTTCTCAACGGTTATTTATTGGCAGCCATCTCCAAGAGAGACACAATCATCCCCAGTTTTTATGGTTGCACCTGTAATATTGACCCCAGTTGATCGACCAATATGAATTCCATCAGTGTTGAGGCTGTTTCCTGGTGCATTGATCACAATATTTTGAAAGGTCACATTATTGCAGTTCAAAATGTTCATGTGAAACAACTTGCTGTTCAGGGACGTAATCCCTTCGATTTTCGAGTTTGTCAGCTTTATGAATTGTAAATTCTGTTCAAAAAAATCGACACCATGTTAACCAGAAAAAGAAAAAGAAGTCATCCATGTATAATTAGTCTTTGAGACATTAGGACTTACTGTGGGCAATGAATTGCATTTTCCAGTTTTGGCACAGTTATTTACAGACCAAGCAGTTGGTCCTTGGCCATCGAATATTCCATCACCTGAGACAGTTAATTGTTCAACGTTCCGGAAAACGACCCACTCACCATGTAGTTGCCTGGGGTCTGCTGGAGCCTTAAGGGTTCCTTGAACCTGAACCGTTACAGGTGCTGTGCAAGGTCCTTTGAAATTCAGCGGACCGACCATGTAGTTCCCTTTTGCTATCACCACCGTGCTGGCTTCTTTGGCTACACATGCATCTTTCCAAGCGCTGTTGATAGCCTACAAGAACACAAGATCGTAAGCAAATTGAATATGGAGAAAATGTAATGTGTAGGAAGAATTTCAAGACAAAAATGCGCCAAAATTCTCATCTTGTACCTTGCTATCATCTGTCATGCCATTAGCCTTTGCTCCGTAGGCTTTCACGTCAAAAATTTTACCTTGTACTTGGGTGACTAATAGCAACAAGAACAAAAAGTTTGCAACTCCTGCAGCCATCATTCTGAAACTTATGTATCTTGTTCTAGCTGGCCTTCTTTTTTAATATATTTCAGCCTTTTCTTGTTGCCTCGAGCTTCTTAATTTCAATTTGAATTCATTGGTTCTTCTTGTTTCATTTATAGAGTAATTAACGAACATCAATGCCACAAATCCAGCCTAACTTTAGGTGGGATGTCTGGTTAATCTTCGAGACCTCTAAATCCTTTTGTGATTTGGTTCTCTCAGTAAATTTTCCTTCTAATTTAGAGGTCATGGTGATTTGCTTGGCATCCTTGCTAACCTGCAGGCTTTTTTGGGCTCCATTTGTTCACATGGAGAGGGTATAACGCCTTGCTATTTATGAAGATATAACCATGTGAATAATTTATTTTGAGTGGTGCTTGTGATGTATACAGGAGAGACTTGTCAGATTTAGGCTTCTGCACAAGCCGTGACACTTTCACTATTCTTGATCCTAAAAGAAATTATGATTGGCTGCCATAGAAGCAAAGTTCACCACAATATTTCTCAAAGGTGCCTACCATGCCAAATTTACCTCTTATGATGAAAATGACCTTCCTAAGACAGTATTTAAGGGTCAAATTAAGACTTTGCACTAACCACATTCATTCACAATGTGTTCTGCAATAAACATACTCTTTCCTTTTTCTATTTTCCTCGGAAATAAAAATGCATTATTACCAGTTCTAGAGCAATAATGATCAGAGAGCGGTTAATCAGACATCATTATTGGCCACCGCTACTCTCCCAGTTACAATAGATACTACATCAAGCCAATAAGGTTTCAAAGGAAATATCACTATACTAGGGTTCTTTAGGAGGGAAAACCGAGCAATGCATGAAGAAGAACAATGTATTCATCAAATGAGGAAAACATAAAAAGCAATGCATGGAGAAAAGCTCTAACTTCCAGATAATGGTGTATTATTTTCCTATTTTCCTCTTGTACTGTATACAAATATGTTAGACAAATAAGATGAAAATCAATTTCCAAGCACAAGAACTTTATAATGAAGTTCTCCTATCAATGGCGGACTTGATTCTGCTGATAAAATCATCAATCTCGATGGTTCCAACCTCCCCGCTAAACCTAGATCTAATTGTAACAGTTTGAGTCTCAGCCTCCTTGGGGCCCACAACTGCCATTAAAGGAATTTTCTGCTTCTCTGCATTTCTAATGAGCTTTGGGAGGCGCTCACCTTGGCAAACTTCAGCCCGTATACCACTGTCTTTCAGCTTGCAGATCACCTCTTTGCAATATTCAAGCTGAGTTGCATACAATTATATGAAATGTTAATAACCTCAAGTCCTAGGGAAAACTTGCTAATGTAGGGTCGCTAATATGAATAATATGACGGGAACTCTGAAATTCATAATACTAGGTCGTGTATACCTGTGTGTCTGTTACTGGTAAAATGCGAACTTGAACTGGAGAAAGCCACAATGGAAAGTCCCCAGCATAATGCTCTATAAGGACCCCAAAAAACCGCTCCAAAGATCCAAGCACTGCTCTATGTATCATGATAGGTCGCTTTTTCTCCATGTTTGAATCAACATAAGTAACATTAAATCTCTGAGGCAAATTAAAATCAACCTGTGCATTTTAAAGGCAGTATCAGTCAAATACAAAAGTTCAACATTGCTATGCATGGATGCTAACAATTGCCTCGATGCAACTATATTCCAACAAATAAGAGCACTATGTGTGAGCCATAGAGAACTAGGAATATATAAGCTCAAAAAAAGCTAGCCATGCCAATCTAACTCAAGTTGTTGAAATCCACAAAAAAATTCAGCCTGCAAAAACTTAAAAATTACCTGTATGGTAGAGCACTGCCACTTTCTTCCAAGAGCATCCTCAATCTTAAGATCAATTTTTGGACCATAAAAGGCACCACCACCATCATCAATTTGATAGCTCCACCCCTTGTCATCCAAAGCATCTTTAAGGGCAGATGTTGCTTTTTCCCATATATCATCATCTCCCACAGCTTTTTCAGGCCTAGTTGAGAGGTTAACTTCATACCGTCTGAAACCAAATTGCAACAATATCTCTTCTGTAAGATCTAAGACACCCCTAATTTCATCTTTAATTTGATCTTCTAAGCAAAATATATGCGCATCATCCTGCAAAGCGTTTGAAAGTAAATGTCATTGCCGAACATATGTGATACTGTGAATATAAAAGACAGAAAAGTAGCACCCATCTCCCCTCCCAGCCACTCCAACTTCCAACCCAGCCAAGGTTGTATTGCACATATAATGCATGTCAATTGTCCCGTTGACAATCTAAACATTACATCAGCAGTGATTTCCCATTGTTACTACCTCCACCGTAAGGGATGGATGGAAATTTTGTATGGTGAGGACATTGGCACAATCCAACACAAGCAAATTCATATACTAAGGAGTTTTTATGCTGCCCTTTACAATCTAACCGGTTACCACTTTGCACTGCTAACATAAGATAATGCAACCTATATGCAGAAGCATATAATCATGTGAAACCCTACAAGCAGATCATATAAAACCCAAAATACAATTGTAAGTGTTCATCAAAGGGTCACACACTCGCACTGCAACAAAAATTCAATAACAGCAAGAATATCCTGTGTTTAAATTTACAGTTAAAAGATAATTAAAAATGTTAGATATTACCTGGGTAAAACCTCTTACACGGAAAAGGCCATGTAAGCTTCCAGACAACTCATATCTATATACTGTTCCTAGCTCTGCAACCCTGATTGGGAAATCACGATAAGAGTTGAGCTTTCTTTTGTAAACCAAAATATGGTAAGGGCAATTCATAGGTCGGAGTCGGTATTGTTCATCCTCAATCTTCATCTGGTCAAACATATTCTCCCTATAAAAGTCCAGATGACCACTAATCTTCCATAGATCTGCCTTTGCCACATGGGGAGTATATAACAAATCATAGCCATGTTCTATATGTGTTTTCTTCCATGAATCTTCAATAATATGTCTAATGACGGCTCCTTTTGGATGCCAGAAGACTAAGCCTCCACCAGCTTCATCCTGCAACGTGGAAGTTAAACATTGTTTATAATAAAATAGAGCACACAAAGAATGACATCAAGAGGTTACAATTTTCCGATTAACAATTTGAGAAAAGTAATACCTGTATAGAAAAAAGATCAAGATCTTGGCCAAGGCGTCTGTGATCGCGACGTTTAGCTTCTTCTTTAAAGTGAAGGTATGCTTTTAATTGGTCTTCATTCTCCCAAGCTGTTCCATAGATCCTCTGCAGCATTGGTTTCTTTTCATCTCCTCTCCAGTAAGCACCAGCAACAGACTCAAGCTCAACAGCTTTCTTATTAATATTTCCAGTAGATTCAACATGAGGTCCCGCACAAAGATCCCACCATTCATCACCTGGAAAAAAAAAAAAAAAAAAAAACCAATTAGCCAACAAAAGTCAGTCAAGAGTAAAACAAGTAAACAAAATTGCATGTTTATGTTAATAAAATTAGAAGCCATCTCCATGCTATTCACTCATAAATAGGACCAAAAATTCATGTATATATGCAAATGATTAGCCGGTGATAGATGGCAGTATGATTACAGGATATGAAAATTAGATTAAAAAAAAATGACAAGCATTACCGATATGATAGATAGTGATGGGATCTTCTTTAATGCTTTCCAAAATCTCTATCTTGTAAGGTTCATTAACAGCCATTATTCTCCTCTGTGCTTCATCTCTAGAAACATCTTCCCTTAAAAGCGGTAAATTTCGACCAATGATGCGATCCTACAGAGTGATTTAAGAAATAAATTCCGTACCCTGAAAATATATTTCCCAAGCTCATGACCTTTCCCCATTGTTACAAATCCTAAAAACAATTACTCCACACACTAATACCAATAGGCGTCGAATGATTAAACTAACTCACCATCTCCTTCTTAATCCTCTTGAGGTCTTTATCAGTCAAAGGGTCCATATCAAAATCATAGTAAAACCCATTTTCTATCCATGGCCCAATAGTCACTTTAGCTTCAGGAAACAGCTTTTGAACTGCCATAGCCATCACATGTGCACACTACAAAAACATACAAAGAAAATAAACAAAAAATAAAAAAGAAAATAACTTTACAAACTGAAGAAGAAAACATCCAATTAAAAATGGGAAAGTTTTGAGTTCACCGTGTGGCGAATTCTGAGGAGTTTCTCGGACGAATCATTAGTAGGAAGCACGAATTTTTCAGTCTCATTCTCTGCTGTGTCAGTTTGGGAAACGGTGGCAGACTCGGTGGCAACAGCTGCAGTAGATAAAGAAAGTAGAGGGTTTGTTTTGGGATGAGGAGACCCAATAAAAGTAGCTCTCCTAGCTTGGGTTTGATGTTGCAGTTTTGATGCAGTAGAAATGAATCTTTTGAGAGGAGAAGAGTGGAAGGGTAACAATGGAAGAGGAATTGAAGTGGGTTTGGAGAGGAAAAGAGAGAAAGTGAAGAGAGATGAAGAAGGAGATGTGGCCATTTTGTGTAACACAAACATGGCTTTTGCTTTTGTCTTTGGATTTGATTTGATTTTCGTTTTTTCCTCTTTTTTGAGTGGTTGGTGTTTCTGTGCTTCTCAGCTAGCTCAACGAGCTGTCTGATGTGGGTGAGTAACCAGGTCTTTAACTTGAAAAATTGTTTTTCCACTCCCACAAAACGAAGGGGAAATCTTGATTAAGCCCTTAATGTATTACATCATTATCAATTAAGTTTCAAAACTTTTAATTTTATCAATTTTTGCTTCAAACATTATGAATATTAAACAATATCGTCCCTTAATCTTTCTACTAAGAGTGATAGTTGTATAAGCCCAAATATGTCATAATATATATATAAAAAAATATTAGCGTCAAATTATAATAAATTTTCTTTTTACATGAGCTGGTGAAGCGGTGGGGAAAAATTATGAGTTGATGCTAAAATTTTCTTTTAAGACATATTGATGCTTATTTTTCATTTTTTTTTTACTATTGAAAATTAATTTTTTATTTTGATAGTTGAGGGACATTTTCTTCTAAAAAATTGAATATATATTACATTTTATTCTAAAAAGTTGAATATATATATATATATATATATATATATATATATATATATATATTTTTTTTTTTTTTTTTTTTTTATTAAGAAACTTTATATAAGATTAGATGAATTAATTAACCTTGAGATTCACCATGCATAAGTACTTAATAATTTGTTATCACTTAAAAAAGATAAAATCATGGATGATGATTAGTTAAATTGCAAAAGGCAAGAAGAGATATCTCTTCTTGCCTTTGTATTGTAGCTTTCGGAGAGTGATTATGAAGATTGATTCTTAAAAAGCAATTAATGCTATTTGTAATGGTGTTCTGCTAATCCATCCCAACTACAACATTATCATTGACATATGTTGCCTTTGTCAATGATAATCATATGTTTCTTTCAATTATACTTTGAGAGAAAGGTAATTAGAGAGCCGCTCATCTTAATTGTTCGTATTGGCTCATCGAATGACACTCCTTTTTGAGTTTATAATCTTCCTCCACTTAGTATTGGTTACATTCTATCAAGTGGTGCTGCTGATGTTAGTTTCTTAAAACCTTAGCTTGCCTCCCTTAAAAAAAAAAAAAAAAAAAAAAAAAACATTTATTTATTCTCAAAGGCAACAAATCATTAATTTTTTATTAGAAAAATAACTTTTAATAAAATTGTGAGGTAATAATAAAAATGAGAAAAATCCCGTTACAATAAATAAGCCAACACAAGTGTGTCGCAATGAGAGAATTTGGTGATGGGCCAAGCGAGTGAACCCTTAAAATAACAAAAAAAAAAAAAAAAAAAACCACCCTTCTGTCATGGCATCCATCTCTCATGCCAAAAATTGGAGCAAACCAACGAAACGATGAAGCAAAGCCCAAATAAAACGGTTTTCATTTATAATAATTATCTGTCATTTACTATCCTAATCCCATTTTCTTCTCCTCTTATTCCTCTACTAAAACCCTCATCGTCGTCGTCGTCGTTACACCAAATCCTAAACAGAAAATATTTTTTTCCTATAATTTCTGCATTCTATCTCTCCTCTGCATGTGTCCAGGAAATGAAGGGACTCTTCAAGCCAAAGCCTCGGACTCCCATGGAGCTTGTGCTCCAAGCACGTGACCTTCTCATCTTTCTTGATCACAATACCGAAACTCGAGAGCGCAAGCGCGAGGAAAAGGTACGTACGTACCGACGATTCTATTTTGTTTGCTTGTTTCTTTCTTTATTTCTCATCTTATGGAAAATAATGATGAGCAGATGTGTGAGCTGAGTAAACAGATTCTGGAGATAAGGATAGTTTTGTTTGGGAATGGACAAGCAGAACCTAATCCTGATGCTTGTGCACATTTAGCTCAGGAGTTCTTTAAAGAGGATACGTTGCGCCTTCTCATTGTTTGTCTTCCAAAACTAGACTTGGGGGTAAGCTAGATAGCTAGCTCATCAACCAAATAAATATGTGCTTTCTTTTCTTTTTTATGATTGATCAGATCGATTTGGTGGATTTTCATGAGCACCCATCTGTTAATTCCAGGCACGTCAGAATGCTACTCATGTTATAGCAAATTTGCAGAGGCAACGAGTTAGTGGGCGGTTGATTGCTTCCGAGTATATGGAAAAAAATTTAGACCTTATGGATATTTTGCTGCCTGGGTAAAAGAAACAACAACAACAACAATAATAATAAACTTCTGTTGTCAAGAAATCATACATGCGGTTTTGATGTGTCAAATTTCAGATTTTTTACTAATTGACTACTAATTTGGTTAGTTATGAAGATGGTGACATTGCTCTAACTTATGGTGCAATTTCGAGGGAGTGCATTCGTCATCAGATTGTCGCAAGGTAATTTACCTATATGATCATATCAGCAATTCTCGATGATCATGTTTTCTTTTGCTGGTTGCGTACTGGCTATGATTCAGATTTGTTCCTGACCAGTATGCTAGTCTTTAGAGACAATGGGAGATTTATAGTTGAAATGAAGGCAGGATTCTTTTTTCTGCAGAAAACTGAAGTGCTAATCCTGTTGTTGCTTATTGTAGGAAATTCCTACGCATACTTGGCCCTCTTAAATGCATATTGTCGTTCTGATTAAATTCAAACTAGTTATTAGTATGTGGTTTTGTCTTACTATCTAAGACTTAGTACAGAAAGCTCATGAAGGTATGAAATGTCTCCAACATAATATTAGGAAACACAGAACCTAGCTAGGAGGTAATCACTAACTTTTCCTGCAACATCTATTTTTTACCTCGGAAACTCATTGCAAAAAATTATATGCATTTTGTGTATCTAATAGAAGAGTGAAATAAATTTAAGACATCATAGGTGTATGCCAAGATTGTGTTTTTCTGTTTTTTGTTTTTCATTTTTCATTTTCATTCTATAGTTTGACGAAACTAGCTTCAGAGTTGTATAATATGGCTTAATTTCGGCATTATTGATGGGATACATTTTAATAACCCTTTTTGATTTCTCAGGTATGTATTGGGATCAGAGCACATGAAGAAATTTTTTACTTATATACAGATTCCAAATTTTGACATTGCCTCAGATGCTCAGGCGACTTTTAAAGTTAAGTACGTTTAACAACTCTTTTTCTTAGTTATGTTTTTACATCTAAAATTATGTGCATATCGTGCAGACATGAACGCCTGCTTGTATTCTTTATAGACTAAGAAATTACCTATTTGCTGTAACATTTGATCCGACGTTGCATTTTTGCTAATCAATCTTAGAAGCCTTTGCAGCTACTCTTAACAATACATTATCCACGTGGATGATACATCTGCAGGATTGAGAACTTCAGGATAAGTTTGTCTCAGGAACACAATTTCTACTGGTTCTCACATGAGAAGACAAAAAACTTATTCTCCATCATAATCATATTTTCTTCTTTGTTTTATTGCCTTCGATATCTTAATTCCACATATCAAGTTGGGATCATGCTTCTAGCTCAAATGTCTACCATTTATCTATCCATCATCCAATGGCCTAGTGAGGTTTAGCCAGAATATTTTGTGTTTGGTTTTCTAGATGCATGCAATAACTTCTTTATCTAAAAGGCACACTCTGATTAAGTCTTAGTTTGTCAGTGCTGTCATGATTGATATAGTTGCCCAATTTTGTCCATGGTACTTGTTCTTTCGGTACTATAGTTCTTTATACGTATTATAAAGTTATCCTTCTTTTATCTCTGGCATCCTTGGCTTTATGTTTCTAATTTTAGGAGTATGATCACTGACCCACTGCCACATGCAACATTTACACAGGAGCTCCTGACAAGGCATAAATCAACTGTTGCTGAATTTCTTTCTGCAAATTATGACTGGGTAAGTGGTTTAATCAATATCTCCTTTCTAGTCCTGTATGATTTACCTACGTACATAATGTTTTCTCTAAGAACATGAATCACTAATGATGCAATATAGAGAGTCAGCTAGTTTTATTGCTAGAACCAACAGCACTTAAGGCATTGAACTGGAGGTAGATGCAGAGATATTTCATTCTTGTCATTCATCCCTGGCATGCTCATAGAACTGATCTTGTTAAAAAATATTGTTCCTAGGATCAGTGAAACTTCAGTAGCAACAGATGTAAACTTGTTTAAAATTTATTGCTGGATTAGAAAGATCACCCGTCAACAATAACGGGAGCCAGCTAAAAGTTAACTGGTTGAGAGTTAGCAAGAGCTTTTTTTTTTTTTTTTTTTTTTTTTTGTTATAAAGGAGAGGTTCGAACTCAAGACCTCTTGGGAAAGGGGGATACTAATGTCAGTTGAGCTACAAACCCCCAGAAAACGAGAGCCTTTTAAGCTTTCATCTGAAAATGATGGCAATGTGAAAAGGAGGCTTCTAACTGCTCAGAACAGACTGTACTTGAGACCTTGGATTGGCAGTTGTTGTACTTCTCTCGTTCATCCCCTACATGTTCGTAATACTGATCATATAATATACTATTGTTGCTAGGACCAATGGTACTTCATTAATAGCAGCTTTGAAAATTGTTTACAATTTTATTTCTGGATCAAAGATCACCCTTCTACAGTAAAGCGTTACATTTAAGATTTCAACTAATTGATTTATTTAGATGAGCTTCTTAAGCTTATTCATCTGAAAAGGATGACATTGTAAAAACGAGGCTGCTGATTACTCACAACAGATAGCTTCAATAACAATTATAGGCATGACTTATAGTTTATGCTTGCAAAATACTTGTTTGAAATGGTATCAGACAATCTGCAGAGTAAGACCAATGTAAGTGGCATGGATGTCGCCTGGAGATGATATTTACCCTCTATATTTAAATGAGTACATCTCTGTTAAGAGAAATTAACAGTTTATCATGTTGATGGTGTGATGAAACATAACACTTAGGACCAGGGGAATAACTTTGATACTTAGTTACCTTCTTTTTTCCATTTTGTTAGTGATTACTTCCTATGACCAGTATCTAACGTGTCTCCAAATTTTCCCTTGTTCCAGTTTTTCCAAGAATACAATTCACAATTGCTAGAATCTCCCAGTTACATAACCAGACGGCACGCTGTCAAGGTAATACAAAATTCACAGGAATAATCTACTTTTTGCTTCATTTATTGATTCATATTTTTTCATTATAAAATCCTCTTTTTTCAAATTTATTTATATACATTTGCTGTAAATATGTTACAGTAGTAAATGTCTAAATCTCATTGCTGGGAATTATTAAGCTCCAATAGTTGAAAGCAACTGTAAGCATGAAAAGAAAGAAAGAAAATGAGAGGGGAAATCCTTTATCATTCTCTGAAAGGTTTTCCTTCATTTTTTTTTCCACAAAAAACCAGAGATATTGTTAAGGAGAAATAGAATACTATACGTTTTCTGACAGCCTATAAATTGCTTCAGCTGTTGGGAGACATGTTACTTGACCGCTCAAATTCTGCTGTGATGGTTCGGTATGTGAGTTCATTGGACAACATGAGGATTTTGATGAACCTTTTCAGGGTATCTCTCTCTCTCTCTCTCTCTCTCTCTCTCTCTTCCCCCCAAACCCCCCACCACCCCCCACCCCCCGATTTACCATATTTGCACACAGCATGTACACCTGTTTGTATAAAATCTTTGTACTTCTAGGCCACTATAAATTTTGGTTCATCCATTTGCAGGATTCAAAGAAGACAATACAACTGGAAACCTTTCATGTGTTCAAGGTAGTGTAGTAAGATATCCGAATATTGTAGATATTTTTTTTGTCTGCTTTTATTAATCTGTCTAATCTTTATTAAATTTTTCTTATTGGTAGTTATTTGTAGCAAATCAAAATAAGCCTCCTGAGATCATCAGTGTACTTGTTACAAATAGAAGCAAGCTTCTTAGGTTTCTAGGCGACTTCAGCATTGATAAAGGTAAAAGTGATATAATTAGAGAATGAAATTCTGAAGTTTGTAGTCCTTGTTACTTTTATGTTAGGTTGCTAATGAAAAAAGGATATTCCGCTTAATTAATTTCAGAGGATGAACAATTTGAAGCTGACAAATCTCAAGTCATCAAAGAGATTGCCACTCTAGAAATCATCAGTAATCGCTCGTGCACAGATGCAGATAATTGTGAGGTTGAATCTTAAATTGTCCTTCAACTTACACATTTTTGCATTTGAAAACCGTTTAGAATCTAGTTTTTGTTTATCTATTGCCTTTGTTATGTCTGCTAGAAATTGTAAAAGAGTGTTCCTATTTTATGTCAACATATGTTGGTTCTGTTTAGATATAAATGTCTTTGAAGTACTGCTCCTTTAGTCATACTGCATTTCAGGTGCTACTAATTGTTTCTTCCCCTCATTAAATACCATAAGATCTTATCAACCATGAAAATTTTGCCGCTCTAGAAATCAGTGATCGCTTATGCTCAGATGCCATTGGAGATATTGCTCATACCAAATTCAATCTTTAAATGCCATTTTTAAGTCCTTTTCAGAAACAGTTTTTATGATTTTTTAAAATACTTTATAGTTTTCCGAAATGAATGTTGATATAAAAAAATATTTTTGCTAGAAAAAACAATAACCAAGAAGGCTGATGTATCCATCCATGCATTACAAAATAAGACAGCACACAGTATTTCTCAAAAAAAAGAAAGAAATAGGAAGACTGTATCTGTAAATCATGACCAGATAACACGAATATAAGCTCTACAAAACATATATGTGATCCAAAACTACATCAATCATAATGTAATAGAACGCCAAAAAATTAATGATAAAAATAAAAAAAGCAAAAGCTCACTAATGGATATCTAAGATCATGTGCATAAATATAACAGAGTCTATAGATGCTAAATCATCGGTTACACAGTCTGCTGTACCCTGGAACCATATGCATTAACTCCGTTTGCTCCACTAACATGCTTATCAGAACTTGCTGCTTTCTTTCTCTTAATCACTATAAACCAAGTAACTGCTTCCAAAACAACCGCGACGGCCCCGAGAAATATGAGAACACCAATATAAGCCTTTTTCCAGTTCTTCTCACGGTCCAAAGCCTCAAATCCTTCAAAGATGTTAATAATGCTCAAAATTACTGTAGTATATCCAATGGTGTGGTGGTATATGTTCCAATACAGTCTGTATTTATGGTCTGGCTTGGGCCTCAAAAGCAAGGCAAGTACCTGCAAACAGGGCAATGCATAATTTGTAAGAAGACTGAACTATAGACTACGTACGCTAACTTTTACATTACTTATGTAGAAGGTATAGGGGGGACATTAATTTTTTGTAGAGAAGATGGAACTTAAAACAGTAAGTTCATTTCTTTTTCTTTTTCAATTCAGTTTTTTTTTCCCCCCGAAATGATTGCTAGGGTGGATGGTTCTAAATTTCTAGTAACGTATAAGGGACGGAACTTCCCTTCTAGATGCCGCGGTGGATGACTTTGAAAAGGTTCTAAATTAATTGAGTGTGCTTGAAAGCAATATCAAGAACATTTTCAACATGACACATGCTGACTTTTTAGGCATGTTTTGATGTGGAAAGCGATGCAAAAGCTATAGACACCATGACTTTTTGGTTGAGGCAAAAAAGGGTACTAAGGAAGGGGGTGAGAGAAGTTTAACGACAATCAAACTTCAATTAATTGCTCTAAGGTAGATTAACAAGTGGTTTACTCGTAAATACCTGAAGGGTTCCAAGAGCAAAGATGGTTATGCCAAGCTTTCTGTGGGTGCCATAGGTAATTCCAGGACTATCGCTTCCAAGTTTAATACCAGTTGCCCATCCAGCAACACCAACAGCATAACCAGAAGTTTGGCAAATAGCATGCAGGTAAAACCATACGGGGCCTGCTGACTTGAACACCTTTAGGTACCTAGCCATAATGATTCCTACAGGCATAAGAATTCCCCAACTCACTGCATTTAGCACTCCATGAACCTGAAAATATCGATTAAAATCACCTTTAGAATTACAATTTAGAAAAAAATAAAAAAATTAAGTTGAATTCATTTAGCTAGCATCCTATAGCTATACATACTGCGTAGTTAATTGATCATCCACTTACATTTCTCTTACGGTCTTTCGAGCTAATTCCTCCAGTTGAAGTTACTGCTCCAGATGCAAAGTTCACAGTCCCCATTGATCGCCCATTTGGTCCACTTGTAGGATGTTGAGCAGGACTGCCTCCACTCAAAGGACCTTCTTGCCAAACTTGGTTGGTCGCAACCAAAGTAGCATCAAGCTGAACTGTTGCAAATATTGTCATATCCCCACTTGAAGACTCCGCTGTAATACTGGGAACCTGAAAACTCAAGTTACCAGGTTGCAAAGTTGGGGTTTGAGTTACTGGGCTAGTGTAAGCAGTCACGGTGCCATTGGTATGTTGGTAAGCTACAAGAGCCTGTGAACCAGCCATCATTTGCCCACTAGGATTTAGAGCCCATGCAATCCAATTAGATGTTGATGCTCCAGTTTTGCGAAATGCAATATCAGCTGTCATTTTTGATGGGTCGTAATTCCAGTGAAGAGAACAGCTCAACTGAGGAAGATCATTACAATTGCTGTACACTCGGTTTCCAGAGAAAGCATAGTTCCTGCAAGTTTGAGCTACAGATGGGACACACAAGAAGATAACAAGAGTGCAGGAAAACAACAAAGTTGTTAAAGATTTATCCATGCTTGGATGATTGGTATTTATAGAAGCAGGGATTAATAGCAGAGATGAGATGCCTATAGAGAAATTATGACTTTTCGTTTAGGGAAAAGCAAGTTTCAGTATTTGGTAATGTCCCAAAAAGGCACCAGTGCTGAAACTGTTTCCTGATGAGGTTCTGGTTTTTCTGGGTGGGTTGGAGAGTTGTGGATCCAGAAACTTAAGATTTATAGGATTCTTCTTGCAAGAAGAGAGAACTCTTCTGATGAATAGTCAACTAGGGAAAGCGGCCGTACACATCGTGGAAAGGGTTGCGATTTGTTGACTAATTCTGCCTTGAATAGTTGTCTGTATGGTATTTTTAATTTTTAAAATACGCTTCATTCAACTACATCATAATTTAACAGAAAATAAAATAAAACCACGTAAAAACAAAATGAGAATAGATCAGAAGAAGACAAAGGGTTTTGGGCTAACCTCAAAAAAGTCCCCAACATATAGGGGCAATCTAAATTAGATCCTCAACCTGTTTTTCATCTCGATTTGGTTTTCAATGTATCAATGCATTTTCAATCATATCCTTATGCTAGTTTTAGTTAACAAAATTATTAAATAATCACTGGAAACTCATGCAATTTCTCTTTTTCTCACAAGAGACTCCTGAATTTACTAAAATTTCTCCTATCACTATATATATAAAAAAATATATATAGAGAAATATTTATGTTATACATATTCTAGTATGTAAGTTTTACATAATGTAAAAATGGTCTTAAAAAATTTGATGGTTCTATGTGTAAAAAGAGAAATAACTTGAATGTCACGTGACCACTTGACAGTTCGGTTAATGGAATCTAACTGAAGGATATGATTGAAAATTCATTGATATATTGGGAACATAATCGAGATTGTTCCCATAGATTGGGGACTATTATGAAGTTTGTCCAAAGGTTTTGTTGTGTAATCAAGGAACTTCGTCCTGGCCACTTTCTTCTCTCTTTTTTAAATGTTAAGAGTGTGTTGTCGCATATTTCAAACTTTTGAAGATTCTTTCTTCGATCGAACAGTTCTGGCTCTTTCTTGTCCAACAACTCTCCATGTTCACACCCCTTTTCCGGACCCGTTGTAACTTTCCAAGAAACTAAGTTAGTTTCTAAACACTATTTAAAAGAAACAAAAACGAGGTGGAATGAAAGATTAAAAAAGAAAAAGAAAAAATGGAGATCAAAAGGTCCTACACGCTATCAGAATATATCGCAAGTCCTCGTCATAATTTGTGAAGTCAATTCCGAATTTTCAACATTTCACCTGCCAACCATAGGAAAAATACCAAAAAAAAAAAAAGACACACGCCAAGCACTTCAAGTCGAAAGATGAATGATGTGAAGAGTATGGACGACGCCAATTTTACTTTCACATCAAAAATTTCTTTTTCGTTCTTTAAACTATTCACACAACTACATTATTTAACGGTTAATTTATGACGAAGTTGCATCATCAATGACTACAAAAATTCACCATCACACGCTATTTTTAAGAATTTCATGCTGCCCAAAAGGGATGGCGCACCGGTTCATGGCCTCAAGAATCTTGATATGTATACGATGCTCATTATATTACAGTTGAAAAATGAGTTTTACGCATATATAATTTGAATTTTTTATTTAGAGTTTAATTTTTTTATTCAATTTAAGAATTCTACGTTGATAAATTTTATAATATAAAAGGAATAACTAGTGACATATGCAATAATTACTCTTTGAGCTCATTTTATAAAATTTTCCTTCTACGTTTATTTTATTATTATTTCAGACCTTAATTAATAATAACTTACTATGTAAACAAATATGACAAATTGTAGTCAATGATAACTTGTAACATCATTGATTCAATAACAGATTTGATGATTGAATTGATGACGTGACAAACCGTCATTGGTTAGAACTTGTTACATGTGCTTACGTGATATATTAGGATCCGAAACAACAATAACATAAAAATAAAATTCTTAAATTAGACAAAAAAAATTAATGTCTCAATAAAAAAAATTCAAATTATACAAGGTCTCAATATGTGCAAAACCTATTAAAAAAATTAGAGAAGCTAAAACTCAAATTTAACGAATAGCTTTTTTTTATGATTTTATTTTTAAATGGAAAATAGTATTTCATTAGATATTAAAAGACATATAAATACATTACTAGCTATTTTTACATTGTAGTTATAGAAAAGATAATAATAGTAGGAATTGAATTTTATTATTTGAAAAAGATCTTAATAACAACAATATTTATGAAAAATGATTTTCAAACTAGCATGCACTTGGCCTTTCTATGAATTTCAATGATAAACTAAACTTTCTGAAATTCATAAATTTGGATTATTTTTATAGAAACTTGTAATATCACACACTTAGAAATGAAATAAATAAATAAATAAAAAGAATTTTTTTACATCTTATTTCATTTGTGCGGTTTAAAATGAAAAATAAAAATAAAAAATCTTTTAGTTTTATAGGTGTGTTTTAGTGTTTAATATTATGTACATGTTCCTAGAATTAACTTTTCTTTTTAATACATTTGAATTTTATAAAAATAAATAAATGCAATCGAATTATTCTCTTCTAACTTTGTTTAAAAAAAAAGTGTAAAAATATGAGAATTGTATGGAAAGGGAAGAGGAAAAATAATAAATTTTAAAGACAGTGGAAGAAAACTGAATAAATAAATGACTGATTATGAATTCTTTAGGGGGCAAAAAAACCTAAGCTAGGCATGTGTCCCTGATTATATATGAATTTTCAAATATATATCATGTTTCTACTATGATGATGATTAAAAAAAAATTATGAATCTAATGATATTTTCATAAGCATATATATCTTCAACAAAAATATTTTCTATTATTTTTATGTTATTGTGTTTACAAAAAATATAAAAAAAATATTCAGAATGAAATATTAAAGGAAAAAATAACACTGATTTGTAGTAATTTTACCAAAGAAAAAGAAAAATAAAACCATTAAAAAACAAAAAAGGAGAGGGAAGCTGGCATCCAATTAAGCCCGGTTATTTGTCTCTCTCTGAAAAGAAGCAAAAAAATATAAATAAAAAATCAGTGGACAAATTTATGTTTGCGTAACGCCTAGAGGAGTAGAAAATCGGTACCGACAACGGCAAACTTTTTCAATTCTCATCTTCGCATATCCTCTATAAATTCATTTTAATTCATATTTAAACAACCGGCCAAAATAAAATCAAAACCCAATTTCTAAATCTGGTTTGACAATTGCTTGTAATGTTATCGTCCCCTTTTATCCTTGCATTACCATGCTCTTGTTATGGACTCCTAGCTATCCTTCCCAAGTAGACCTAAATTAATGGCTCCACTTAAAAAAAAAAAAAGAAAATGAACTAGCTAGATAGATTTTATTTTGTGCCTTCGCCACACAGGTTGGTTTATTTATGCTAATCTTCCAATATGCATAAATTTAACTTAATAAAGCTAAAATTTACCCTTTTTAGATGACTAATTAGGATCAATAATTCGATCGTTCTTACTTTCATTGCATTGGTTATTGTCTTTTGATTCTATATTTCCAATTAGATGCTAGGATAGTCAACCAATACATATATATACCTCCCATATATGCTACGGGAATGATATCTTGATCCATCTTGAAAGTATTTAATCTTGAAAAAAAGTATTCATAAAATGAAATGCATATATATATATATATATATATATATATATATATATATAATGCAATTGTATGATTTTTAAGTGTTCAAAATTTTTAAATATTCTTAAAAGGAGTATTGAAAATATCAATAATTAAAATGATAATTAATGGTAAATAAGAAGTTCAAAAACCAACATTTCTGTTCAGTAGGAGATTTGAAGTTTAGGAATGCCGGTGTTCGATCAAGATGAGTGCAGAGCGGCATAAGCGTGTTGACTTAAGTCTCAACCACATGCAATATTGTTGTATATTAATTTGTATTGGCGTTGGCGTTTGCAAGCAATGTGGAGTTTGATATTATGATTTTATTTTATTAATAAATTAAATACTAAAATAAAAATCTGATGGAAAATGGAACGTTTTGTGAACTTTGTTTTGACCCACCAAACCTCAATGACGTTCTGTGACGTTGCATGAGATTAGTTGGTTGACCAGACAGGGACAGGGTCCTTGCTTGCCGTGTTGGTCCAGCTTACCCCAGACCACGAGTATTAATCAGATCGTGCCAAGCTTTCCGAACACGTTCCACATTTTAGGATCCACTAAACCTTATTGCATTCAATCATCCGGAAATGCTATAATTTTCTATTTGATACCGAAAAATATAAAAAGTGAAAGCGTACCAACAGGAATTATGCAAATGAAAATATGTTTGGACATTTAAGAACCAATGGAATCGAGCATGGAAACCAAAGGCTAAGTACTCTGTCTCGCGATGAGAGGCCATGGCCATTAGAGAAGCAATCCAGTTAATTAGCTAGATTGGTTCAGGCACTATCGCCATTGAATCTGATGTTGCCGCAGTTATGTCAGCCATTGAAGATTCTAGTCGCGCTCCTGATTAGTTGTTAGTTGTAGATATATCAAGCCCTAGCTGACCTTGTTACCAAATACTTATCTATGCTTGGTTGGTAGGTCAACTAACCATGTCGTGGATTAGGTTGCCAAGGTTTTTGGGAATGGACCTATTCTGTTGTATTGGAGTTTGCTATCTATGGTTACTTCTATGCCTTGTAATTATAGGACTTTTAAGTTTTCGAAATAATAAGATAATGTTTATGATGTAATAAATTTGAATACTTATTAGTTCATAATCACTTAAAATCTGTTTCTTTACTGCTTGAATAGTATTTTTCTTCTTTTTTCAAGCAACAAGAATTTTTTTAATTAAAATTATACTTAATTTTTTTTAACTACCATAATTACTGAGCAATTAGCTAAATTACGAAAAAAATAAGATAGTTTTTACGGCTAATTAAGTGAATCTATTTTTTACGATTAATTAAGTGAATCTATTTATGTAATCATTTATGTACACATTGCAAATCGAATAATGTTTTTTTTAAAAGTGACTATGTACTTTATGAGTCATAATTATACAATATAAAAAATAATATATATATGACTTGTGCATAATAAAATATTAAGTATAATTTCAACATTCCTAATAAAAAAACAATTAAATAAAAAAATGACATGCATATTATCCTACATGGCATCACCATAATCTAGAAAAATCTTCAAAATTCTAAGAAAAAATATAGAAACTTGAAACTTATCCAAATGCTTGAGATTTAATATACATAGATGATATATTAGAAGAAACTGCGATCATTAATTATAACTCAAAGATGCTTCATTAAAAAAAAAAATTATCATACATATAACTGTTAAGCTAAACTTGGATATCCATTGGTAGATTTTCAGGTCATCGTACCATATCTTTTATTCATTAGATAAGAAATTTGGATATATATCCATATTCAGCCCATGGAATTTTGAATATCTATTATTTGAATACTTTTTATTAATTAATATAAAATAAAAGGAATATATATATATTTGAGGTATGTGTATATATATTAATGATAAAATTATTAAATATTATTAATATATGTGTGTATAATAATATTGATATTGCATTGTGTATATTATATTTAATTAAAAAAACTATAATATATTTATACACACAGATATATATATATGTGTGTGTGTGTGAATCAGGTTGGTTCAATAATAATCATACCTTATAATTAATTTTCAATATCCATATACAATCTGAAACAGTAACTATTTAGGAAAAAAAAAAACCATCTCTGTTCGAGTTTAAATGGTATCCATCTGGTATCAACGTCTTGTGTTACATCATATTTAGACATGTTTTTGCAATTTGACTGAAAATATGAACATTTGTTTTTCAAAATTAATTGAAGAATAAAGGATGGACTCAAATTCACGATATAATCATTCCCTGGCACCTTGTAAAAAGAAGCATCATTAAGCTAATCAATATGTCTATATATAGAGAGAGTGCATACAGTGAATTTGATTTTGCTGTTTTTAGAATTGAGGAACCCTGTTTTAAGATATATATTTTTTCGGTGGCGACAACTTCAAATTATAGGCAGAATCAATTTTCAGATACGTACATAAGTTTATGGTTTCCAGCCGATATCCAGATCAATAACCTGCTCCCTCTATGTTTCTTGGGTGTATATATGTATTCTTTCAGCTTGTGAAACCATGTGTAACTAGATCAAAATATTATTTACGCCAAAAGAAACACGTATGACAAAAGAGACGAAATCATCATATGATCTACAAAACGATTTGTCCTTTTCATGCTGTGTTAACAGCTTTTACATTGATTAAGGATTAATGACTCGTTGTTTCACCCGATAAATTATACATTAAATCAATCTCAGACACAAATTTCTGTATAATGATATCACTAGCAACTCTTTGCTAAATAGTTTCTTCTATATTAGTATTTCACTCTTTTAAATATGAGAAAGTGATGCAAAATTATGAGCAAAACACGTACTATAAACACTACAATTTTTATAGGATGCCGATGTTTTTTTTTTTTTTTTACTTTTTATTAATTTTTAAAATTCTCCAATGAAATATTCTGTCGACATGAACGCGAGGCGACAAAAAAATGACATCCCAACGAAATTTTTGTAGGAATATTATTTTCCGACCAAATGGTTTTACCAATGGTTAGAATACTTTCGTAAAAAAAATAATTAAATCGAAAGGTTATTGTTTACTAGCTACTAGCAGCCAACTCTTATCGCCCCACTTCAAACGAAGAAAGAGGTGAGCACGCACTTCCTTCGAGTAGAGATGGTAATTTACTCCGCTCTGTCAAAGTTTTATCCCATCCCGTTTAGAATGAGGATAGTATTTAAAATTTTATCCCGAACAAACTATGAGGCGGGGATGAAACAAAATTTTTTGGGATGAGACACCTTGTCATTTTGTTTTTAAAAATGACAACTTCACGAGGCTCCATTCCATCTCATCTTATTTAGAGCAAAGATAGTATTCAAAATTTCATCCCGAATAGAACACAAGATAAAAATAAAATGAAATTTTTTGGAGTGGGGGTGGGGGTGAGGATGGGGATGGAGATGGAGATGGCTATCCCTACCCTTATCCTGCCGTATGACCATCCCTACCTTCTAGATTTTCTAAGACATCTAATTCTTAATCAACTTCGGATAACATTTCTTCTTTTCCAAAAAAAAATTCTTATTTAAAAACGAAAAGTTTAAAAATTTCTTTTCATCCTTGTATTCTTAATTGTATACCTACTTTAAATGAAAGAAAGAGGCGAACAATGCACATGCACCTCCTTCCTCTTCTTAAAAAGATTTTCTAGAACTTTTGATTCTTAATTAACCTAAAGCAACACCTTTTATTTCCAATAGAAAAAATAAAACATAATTTTTTTTCATTTAAAGGAGAGGCTAGTTTTAATTAGATTAGTTCATGTTATAAATTCTAAGAGTTACAACTTCATAAATTATCAATAAAACTAAAGTAAAATATATTTTTATTATTCATTTACTATTTAAAACACTATTCACATATTCACAAAATCACTATTCATAGTATTTTTATAACACTTTGGTCCTCGATTTTTCTTTATTTTTTTTTTAATTTCAAACTTTAATTGTATTGTGATTTGATCCCATTTTGTTTTAGTGTTGTTTGCTATTTATTTTTATTACTCAAAATTTACTACTTTAATTTATCATTTTTTTTAACTTTTTTTTTCAATTTCAAACTTTAATAATATTGTGATGTGGTCCTATTTTGTCTTAGTGTTGTTTGTTAATTATTTTTATTATTTAAAATTTATTACTTTAATTTGTCATTATTTTTTAAATTCTCATCCAATTAATTTAAAATTATATTTACTTGACAGTTTTAATTTATTTTTCTATATGTATGGATTTTGAAATAAATTTTTAGAACATGATTTATTTTTTTTTTGAAAAATAGATTTAGATAATTTTTAAATTATAGTGGCATGATTAATATATATAATTTGTCTGAAATACATTTTTAAATTAAAAGTGTATTTCAAATAATTTTTTCTTGATTTTTTATATTATTTTAAATTTGCTATATTAATTTGTCATTTTTTTTCAAATTCTCTTTTTTTTTCTCAATTTCAAACCTTGATTATATTGTGATTTGGTCCCATTTTATTTTAGTGTTTTTTTGTTAATTATTTTTATTATTTAAAATTTAGTCATTTAATTTTTTTTTAAATTGTCATCTAATTAATTTAAAATTACATTTATTGACAATTTTGATTTATTTTTCTATATGTATGGATTTTGGGATAAATTTTTAGAACATGATTATTATTTTTTTGAAAAATAGATTTAGATAATTTTTAAATTATAGTGGCATGATTAATATATATAATTTGTCTTAAATACATTTTTAGATTAAGAGTGTATTTCAAATAATTTTTTCTTGATTTTTTTATATTATTTTAAATTTACTACATTAATTTGTCATTTGTTTTTAAATTCTCTTCTTTTTTTTTGTTTCAATTTCAAACTTTGATTATATTATGATTTGGTCCCATTTTGTTTTAGTATTTTTTGTTAATTATTTTCATTATTTAAAATTTACTACTTTAATTTGTCATTTTTAAAAAACATTTCATCTAATTAATTTAAAATTATATATACATAGATAGTTTTGATTTATTTTTCTATATGTATGGATTTTGAAATAAATTTTTAGAACATGGTTATTATTTTTTTTGAAAAATAGATTTAGATAATTTTCAAATTATAGTAGCATGATTAATATATATAATTTGTCTAAAATACATTTTTAGATTAAGTTTGTTTTTCAAATAATGTTTTCTTGATTTTTTTTAAGTTATTTAAAATTTACTACATTAATTTGTCATTTTTTTTAAAAAATTCTCTCTCTTTTTTTCAATTTCAAACTTTGATTATATTGTGATTTGGTCCCATTTTGTTTTAGTATTTTTTGTTAATTATTTTATTATTTAAAATTTACTACTTTAATTTGTCATTTTTAAAAAAAAATTCATTCAATTAATTTAAAATTATATTTACTAACAAATTTTATTTATTTTTCTATATGTATGGATTTTAGAATAAATTTTTAGAACATAGTTATTTTTTTCTTTTGAATTCTATTTTTATATATTATAATATAAAAATATAGAAATAGAAAAAATTATATATAATATATTTACTTTATATAAAATTGATGTAGAATATTTTTATAAATATAGATTATTCGCATGATGGCTCATTTAGGAATTGACATCAGATGGGCTTTTTCAACTCAGTGATAGAGTAACTCCATGGTAAGGCGTAAGTCATCGGTTCAAATCCGATAAGGAGCTTTGTCCTTTTTCATAAAACTCCCGCAGGAGTATTTCTATTTGAAGGAAGATTCCATTTGAAGGAAGAAAAGAGATATTGTTAATATTTGTAATAAATAAATAAGGTAAGAAACTATATATTTCTAATAAATAGAATTTTTATAGATTTAGATAACTTTTGAAATATAGTGACATGATTAATATATATAATTTGTCTCAAATACATTTTTAGATTAAGTGTATTTCAAATAATTTTTTCTCGATTTGTTTTTAGAAAAAACTCAAATTCATTAATTAATAGTTAAAAGTCAAATTAATATAGCTTTTTATTTTAATATTATTCATTCTTTTTTAATAAATATATAAAAATTAAATTCATATTTTTTCAAAAATCGATGTTCTCATCAACATTAAATAAAAAAATTATTTGTTCAATTCTATGTAAGCTTTTAATAATTGTTATTTATGTTTTTCGGCACAATCTTATGAAATACTAACACCTTTTTTTAAAAAATTAATTTGCTTTTTAGTTCAAATTCCATGGATTAACAAGGATAAATCCTTTTCCTAAAGGAAAAATTATGAAAAACACAAATAAAAAATAGTTAAATACAAAATTTTTGATTAAAAATTATAAATAATTTTTATCTCCTTTGATTTTATATATTTTTATACATTCACTCCATAAAATAAACTATTATCCAACTCTGCAAGTATAGTACAAGCAAAAAAACTAATATCTTCTTAAAAAAAAAAGTTTAATACAACTCATTGGGACAGTCAGAAAACATGAAGTTCCTAATGAAATGGTGAGAAGCAAACTAATCAATTCTACAAGTGGCCTCTCTATATATAATATCTTTGACCAAGAATCTCCTTAGACATTAATATATGTGCGAATAATTTATTTTAGTATGTAAATAGTTTATTTAAATATGTGAAATTAATTATTATATACATTTGCATGGAATTATCTGAGATAATTTCCCTAAAAATTTCTTTTCACCCATGCGTTCTTAATTTTATATTATTTTTATTTGTACTAATGTTAACTTTTTATTTTCACAATAATTTCTACTTAATTTTTATTTGATCCAAAACTTAAATTAACCTTAAATTATTCTGTTATTTCTATCATATTATAACGCGTGTCTAAACTCATTTTTATTTTACTGAAGATGAAAACTCGCGCCAATTAAATTCGGAAAAACTAATTCAACACGCTAATTATAAAAATTAAGTGGGCCGTTCCGTGCCAAACTTGCACTACGCGTCTTTGTATCTTTATCCTGCGTTTCTTCCATTGGTCTTCCGCTAAAAATCTGTAAAAAGTAGGATCGAAAGCAGGCCAAAAGTTAGGGAAGCTAATGGTTTCTTAGTCTTTAACTTTTAGTGACCATTTGTGTAAAAGAAATCGCAGACCACCAGTTTTTTTAATTAACCCACCAACACTAGCTAGCTTAGCTTCGATGATGGATGCCATTGAACAAAGCAAAACCTCTTGTTATAAAGCTCCATAAGTGATTGACATTTGGCAACCAACCTGTTATCATCCAACAGGCCGGCAGTAAATGAAAGAAAATATTTAACAATTCTTAGAGGAATGACAGCAAACTATGAACTTGTATTTGCCTCGCAAACAATTCATTTTCCTCGTACTTGAAAGTGAAAAAACGGCAGACATTTTAGACTTTTAGTTAATGACACAGATTAGCCATATGTACTTGATCAATTTGGTTAACTTGATCCATGACACAAGACTCAGCCGCGAGTGATCCATTTGGTTGGTTAGATATAAGAAAAATTCAAACATGCCCACCTGCTTCTTCTGCACCTCCAAGTGACCTAACCTTTCCAGCTAGCCATTACATTTTCTTCACGGAAAATAACATCTGATGACTTCCTCCTCCATATGCTGATTTTAACCGAAACACAAAATTCCTCCTCATTCATACCTACTCTCTTAATTTCTTCCAACCTTCTAGCTCCACGTAGTGCTAAGTTTACATCATTAAACATTAGACACTTCTAATTTCCTTGGCGAAGCAAAGAATAAGTTTCAATAGTGGAAAAGAACATTTTTTTGGAAGATAGTTGAATTGTTCAGGATTCTCTAGAAGTCTGTAATCTTCCTCTCTTGTACACGTTATCACCCCTCAGCAACAAGTTTCCTGTTTATTTCTGGTAGGTTTATCAGAAAGTGTTCACTTTTTAGGGTATTGAATTAGCTCTAGCCAGTAATTAGGCTGGAAATTGAATTGTTGCAAAACAGAATCAAGGAAATATTATCATGCAAGAAGAAATAAAAATTGCATCTCTTAACTCTGATTTCTTTAGTCCTCTCAAGATTCATGCGTTGCCCAGAAACAACGTATTTAACCAGTCAACAACCCTTGACTTAAACTTCTCCAACTTCAATTAGAAGTTGAAAAATCCTAACCAGACTCATTCCTGCAAACCAATTAAGGTTCTTAAAATGCACAACAATGCACCACCTGAAAATACTTGGGTCTGAATCTACAACTGTCTCTTTTTCTTCCCGACTGCACAACAATTTTAGATACTAGATTCATATTGCAGGCCACTGCCTAGAACCAAAAGAGTGGATGGTTCGCAGATCATCTGCAAAATACAAATCCAGATTGCTAAGTAGAGAAATATCTGCAAGTCCACGTTAATCCGAAATTGTGAAATCGTCTTCCCTTGAAATTAATCATAAACCTCAAAACAAGTCTTTCAACTTCAACATCTCCATGGCTATTACCTCAACACCTGCATTGTTAATTAACATACTTCTCTCCTTAGTCCTCATTTCTTCTGCTCAAACATGCTTGAAATACACCTTTCCGGGTAATCAGGATTTCAATTCTTGCATTGACCTGCCAGTTCTACAGGCTCATCTCCATTGGAACTACCTTCCATCCACCAGAACTGTTCACATAGCATACAGAGCCAACCAAACTTCTACAGGATGGATTGCATGGGCAATCAATCCGACCGGGACAGGCATGGTGGGATCACAAGCTCTTGTTGCCTTTTATAATTCTAATGGGAGTTTGATTGCCTATCCGACCCCAATAACTAGTTACAGCGCATCAATGCAACCAGGAGCTCTCAGCTTTCAAGTGTCAAACATCTCTGCAACATATATCCATAATCAGATGACTGTCTTCGCTGTGCTGGGTCCTCTACAAAACGAAACTGCTGTTAATCATGTCTGGCAAGCAGGGAATTCAGTTATTAATGACATCCCTTCGAGTCACACAACAACTGGACCAAATATTCAATCAATGGGGGCATTAAATTTTCTTCCAGGATAGAAGAAAATATTGGAAGGGGAAGCTTGAAACATCAACTGGTATTCTAGCCTCCCTGTGTTCAACTAGTCCAAGTAGATCTGCAAGTACTCAAATTTAGTCATTCGTTCCATTGCACTGTCTTTATGAGCACAAGCTCTCAGGTCACTGTCTCTGCATAATAAAGAGTTGAAGTCATGTAACTGGCAAATCCTAATAGGTTCACTGCTCCAAATGTCATGAACGCTTCCGTTTCCAAGTAACCTACCATTCTCCGAATACTACAAATAGGACATTTAAAGTTTTATCCAACTATCACTTTAGTTTTAAGGAAAAAAAAAAAAAAAAAAAAGATTATTCTCACCATTATGATACATGGGTTACAAAATGGATTTTTTTTTCTTCTCATTTTCCCTAGAAGAGTAAAACAAACTTCAGAGAGACATCAAATGTCATTGTAAAGTCAAAATGAGAGCTCTTAACTTGTCAAACACAAAATTACATAGCAGGTGAAAGTTCCATGCAGCAGTCATATTATATAACAAATGGCCAATTCTTGAAAACTACGTATGTGTGACCACATTATCCATGAATTTCAGTAATTCCTCGCACTTGGGCTGTGTCATTGGTAATTCCAGTGTCACCTGCCAAATTTGTAAGGAAATAACTTTTAATAGAAATCGTATTGATGTAAAATATTTAACAGATATAATACACAAAGTGCGAATGATAGGACTCGTAGCTTGGTGCAATCACAAGGGTGTAGGTTCAAGTCTTGAGATATCAAACCACTTCATGCGAAAAAGTTAGAAGGGTGTGATTGTCCCCAAATTCTTCTAGTCAGAGCCCCCACTTCACTGGGATCATAACTGGACGATGGCATTTTTAAGCATAGAGCATGGGATATAGCAATAGCTACATTATACTATTCTAAACAATTGGAGAAGGCTATTCTCTTGAAGGTTGGGAAAAGCAAGGCCAATAGTTCGGTAAAATTGTTTACATTGCAAAGGATGCCTGTTTCAATAAGTATTAACCACCTGATTTAGTTAAATCTAAATGGTAAGTTCACGGAATTGAACTATTTTAATTCTTAACTACATTTGACTCCATGGTGTTCACCCATCCTTTTCTTTGGGCATGTGAAATTAATTAACCACATAGGCTAAAGATTAAGCAGCAAACAAATTCATCGATTTCAGAGTGGTCCACTCCAGACCATCTCACGCTAGATATCAGTGACAAACGTGTCTTTTATTAATTCAATCAATCTAGACTGTGATAGCTTCAATAGCTGCCTAAACCAAAGTAAAAATACTCCCACCTCTTTGAAGATTTCACTACGAGAAGTCTCCTGAAAACCCTACACCAGACGTGAAGAACTTCTGTCAATCCAACAGAGACTTAAATGAAAGAGCAAGAGGATGTGCATATATAACAACCGAAAGCCTCTTAAACTACATACAAGAGTATGGACCATTTCCATCTAGTATATAGATTGTATAAATGCAAAAAACAAAACTTCATGCACATATTGAGAGATAGAGAGAGACAGAGAGAGAGAGAGAGAGAGAGAGAGACCAAATTACAAAACATATTAAGAGATGATCCATTTGACTCTCCAATTTTAGCACGGAATAAGCGGGTCCCAAGGTTCTGAACAGAATAGGCCATCATCATCAACACAGATTCCTTCCCAAGTCCTTTTCCACGACTATGCTAGAAAAAGAAACATGATAAGAAAAAAGGATAAAAGAACTGCATAAATAACTAACTCACCTTGCACCCATCAAGAAGAAACTACAGAGAAGAGATGAAAGAACGTGTTCTAGTTGGAATATTTTACATGGATTGCCAATCAAATAACATCTCCTGCATAAGATTTACCATGACAAATTCGTTGCCTAGCTCTTACTTGCTAACAACATGGTCATAGGAGCGGGACTTGCCAAGGGTAAAATCCAAGCCATAACATCTCCTTTGGTTCACAAAGAAAAATGAAACAAAAAAAGAAAACAAGAAAAAAAGAATGTCCTGAGAAGAACTAGCTCTGATACCAATCCTATCCCACTTCACTACCCTAGAGAGATTTTTAAGCGTATTATTCTTCTATTTTCGACAATGATATAATAGAACCATAAGAAAATCACGAAACCTCTAACCAAATTATTAAAAACGGGGAAAACAAGGGTTACTCAAAAAGTTGTAAGAGCTTTCTACTCGACAAAGGTTTATTATATTCCAGTACATTTTTGCTATATTGGTACATCAACAGGGGAATTCCATATTTCCTTCATTGCTACTCGAGAATAACAGACTCAATGGGAAGAGTGCAGCTACTTTGAAGAAGAAAGATATATAATACTGATACCTTTTTGGTTCAGCTATCATTATCTCAATCTCAGCAATTTGAGGATCATCCAAATCATTCATGAATATATTTACATCACCTACCATAGCTGCAAATGGGCAAAAAATTAATCCCTTCTAATACAAAAAGGTGCATTCTTTAGTATTTTATTTTGTATCACACAACATTTCACATTCAATAACATAATAAAAATCGCCCGAAAAAGTAACCTAGTCTCTATTAACGCGCAAGCTTCTAAGTCGAGCAGAAAAAAATAACATAATAATTAAAAAAAAAAAATGGGCATGAAGTCAAAAATTAAGTAACCTTCAACATGAGGATCTCCAGGAACAAAACCACCATGTATCAATTCCTTATGCAGTACAATAAAAGTCCTTTCTGCAAACAACAATAATTAAAAGAAAGAACCCAATAAATAGAGTTACCAGGAATAGCGACAATATTGAAGCAGAGAGAGAGAGAGAGAGGGAGAGAGAACTGAGAGGGTCTTGGGTCCAGGAGAGTTGCATCTGATACTCGTCTTGGAGGGATAAGGGCTCCGAGCCGGTGGCTTGCAGGAGGAGGGGGTCTTGCATCCAGTGATGATACTTTGGGACGTGGGCCTCCATGTAGGGCACGAGTATCACCTTCTTTCCTTCCAAGCTCACTCCTCCCATTTTCTCACAGCACACCTTCGATTATGGTTTGCTGAAAATCACTCTCTTTTTCCTTGCTTTCGATACAAGAGAATATAACTTTCTTTTCTACATTTTTCTTTTTTAATTAGTAAAAGTACATACTCCTTTGTAATGAAATTTTGATTAGATTAAAAAAAAAAGGATTTAATTTATTTTATTATATGGTAAGAATAATTTTAGACCATTTTCAATTTATACTAGATCTTTCTTCATAATTTTAAGAATATATTTTTTCATTGATCAGGTAGATTCAAATGAATTTAATAAAATTTAGTTGATGTTAGTAAAAAAAAAAAAATTAGTTTTGATTTTTTGATAAATCTTTAAGAATATAGGGACCAAATAATAGTTTACTCATATTCTTTGGGTTTGTTCAGAATGGAGCTGGCATACAAGGGCCCACTTATGATCATTGAGGCCCATCATCATTTGCTAACTTCAGCTCGGCCCGCAAATATTTGGTTGGGGCCAACAACTTCCGATCAAATTTCCTAACTTTCGGTCGGAAAAAACTCACTGCAATCACCTAGATAAATATCCAGTCCAAAATACTGCCAAAACAAAAAAGTATTTGCAATCAAGGACAATGCAATTGCCTACGGTTTAACTTCTTAAACGGGGACAAATGAAATCCATCCAAGCTGTATATAGAAAAAGGCCAAGTATAAAATAATTGAGTAAGATATTGTTTGAGAAAAGATAGATTCACTTTTTTATAAATCATTAGTATAAAAATCAAACGTGGAAGACTTGTGATGATTGGTCATTGTACAATATGATTAGAGTAAGACAGTCCTTGTTGCCCATCTATTATGCAACTCAAAAGTCACTTTGAAAGTTCTCTGAAGACGACATGCACGCGAACATTTTAAAAAACTTCCAATGATATATGGGTCATAGATCACAATTGAACCACCGCTGAAAGTAATTAATGAATAAGTGAGATTCTTTTTTTTCATTTTTAATATTTAAACTGATTTATTAAAAATTGTTTTAATGCACCTAAAAAAACTAAAAAATTCAAAAATATTTTGCAGTTATGCTCTTTTCTCTGGTCATTTAATGGCTTAGGATCACCATAAAAAAATTCACTTCTTCGAGATGAATAAATCAAAACCAAGAATGAAAGTTAAAGCGAGTAGAATGAATTTTACCATGATTTTCTATTTATCTTCTCTTTTTTCTCTTCATTTCTATCTCCTCATACATTAATTCACTAAACCGTGTTATAAATAAAATTGAAAATCAAAATAGTTTTTTTAAAAATATATAAATATCAAAGTGCAATATTTGTTAGAACTTAAATATCAAAAATAAAAATCACAATAGTGCCAAATAGAGCTTATAAGTATATGGGAATAATACTAAGGTTAGAGAGAATGTTAGGTTCAGTGAACATTAAACACTTGTTTTGTCTTAGTTGTTACGTGTGCAATACATGTTCATCGCTGAGAGTAAGTCCATTATATAATATGTTTGAATGTTTTAAATAATTTAAAAATTTAGGCATAAAATAAAAATTAATTACCACCAATTGTGAAAATTTGTTTAATTTTATATGTATTAGTAATATATATATATATATATATATATATATATATATATATATATATATATATATATATATATATATATATATATATATATATATATACTCCATAATTGAGTTTAAATATATTCTAGAAATATTTTTTATTTTGATCAATGAAAAAAACATGCAATTCAATATTTATTTTTGAGAAATCAAATTCCGAAAAAGTGCTAAATCAATTTATATTAAAATAATATTTAATGGCGTCATTTAAAAAAAACAAAAAACTCAAAACAATGTCGTTTTGTTTTGCTGTAATTGGACTTAACTACAGTAAAACCATATATCCTTTTAGTATAGTATAAAATAGTAATTCGAAAGACCAAAGTATAAAAAACGAACAAAATACCAAAAAATGAAATAGTTTCAAAGCAGAAGGACTTAAAGTGATGTTTTATTCCACTATATGATGATTTAGTTATAGTGAAAATACTAGTTGGATACCCGTGTTATGTTGCGGGCGGACAATCATTAAATACGTAGAATTAATAATTCGTATGGTGTACTATAAGTAGAAAATTTTATTTTTAGTGATTAATATAAATTGAATTTATATATAGTTAATTTATAACAAAAAAAATGAAATAGTTTCAAAGCGAAGGACTTAAAGTGATGTTTTGTTCCACTATATGATGATTTAGTTATAGTGAAAATACTAGTTGGATACCCGTGTTATGTTGCGGGCGTACAATCATTAAATACGTAGAATTAATAATTCGTATGGTGTACTATAAGTAGAAAATTTTATTTTTAGTGATTAATATAAATTGAATTTATATATAGTTAATTTGTGACAAAACAAATGATATATATGATTCGGAGTACATAAAATAAATAAATAAAATATACAAAAATAAACTCACCTAAGTCGTAGAAATATATTGAAGTCAATAGATTAAAATAAAAACTACAACAAAATTGATTATGATAAATTCTAAATAAATATATATAAAAAAGCAAATAAAACTTGTAAACTTTTTTAACTCATTATTTTTTTTTTTAAATTGAGTCAAATTATCTAAAACATACTTTTAGTTCTCTCTCTCTCTCTCTCTTTAATATATATATATATATATATAAAACATACTTTTAGTTCTCTCTCTCTAAAATTGATTCAAATTATCTAAAACATACTTTTAGTTCTCTCTCTCTCTCTCTCTCTAATATATATATATATATATATTAATATATTAAAAAATAAAACACTCATTTAAAAATATAAAAAAAATTATTGCATAAATTATAACAATATATTTTAAAAAATAAAACATTAATGTTCTAAAATTTTATTCCAAAATTCATATATTAAAAACCAAACTTGTTAACAAATAAAATTATATCAAAAAATTAAAAAATTAATTTAATGATAATTTTAATAAGAAACAAATAATTGAAGAAATAAATTAATATTGATTCACGGACATTGAAGGGACCAATAATATACCTATTTTCTTTCCCGAGTGGAGGGACCAATTATATACGATTGCTTAACTTATACAATATTTGCTGAATCAATCATATAAATTATAATAATATATTTTAAAAAATAAAACAATCAAGTTCCAAAATTTTATTTCAAAATACATAAATAAAAAATAAAATTTATTAACAAATAAAATTATATAAAATTAAAAAATTAATTAGATAAGAATTTTAATAATAAACAAAAAAATTGAAGAAATAAATTTTAAATAATAAAAATAATATAATTAGATATATATGTTTAAACTAAAATTTTTAAAAATATTATATATATTCTATTACCATAAAACCGTAAAACTAAAAAAAAATAACGATATTTTTTATATTTTCACACCTAATTTCATGATAAAAAATATAAAAATAAATTATTAGAAAGAAAAAAAGAAGAAGACAAACGCTAGTTGGGATCGCTTGTGTAGGCTTGCTTGAGTCTCGCTTCTCAAGGCTAGCCCTATAAAAAAAATAAAAAATAAAAAAGGAAATGCTTCTCCAGGCCAGCCCTAGAAGAAAGAAAAAAAACTATGATGAAATGAGATAGGCCGATTGCTCGGAGCCCGCTTCTCCAAGCCGACACTAAAATAAATAAATAAAATGTTATAGTAAACGAACAGAAAAAACCCTAGTTTTTTTAGTTTTTCTAGAATAATTATAATATTTGAAACACATTTTTAGCTCTCTCTTTCTCATCGAATTTAGATATGCAACAATGTCATTTTCATTGAAAAATTATAAAAAGAATCAATCATATAAATTATAATGATATATTCTAAAAAAATAAAACAACCACGCTCTAAAATTTTATTTCAAAAGTCATATATAAAAAAATCAAATTTATTAACAAATAAAATAATATAAAATTTAAAAATTAATTCGATAAGAATTTTAATAAGAAACAAACAATTGAAGAAATAAATTTTAAATAATAAAAATAATATAATCAGATATATATGTTCAAATTAAAATTTTAAAAAACATCGTATATATTCTATTGCTATCAAACTATACGTAAAATAAACAAAATAATAATATTTTTATATATTTTCACACCTAATTTCATGATAAAAAATATAAAAATAAATTATTTATATAGAAGGCGAAACATTATCATCATATATTTAAATAAATCATTTATTAATAAATATTACATTATTATACCAATATATTTAAAATAATATTTAACTAATACAATGTAATATTAATTTAATTAGATGGTATAATTATCAAATATATTATATTACTTAAATACTTATCAATTTTTATATATATTCAAATTCTTAAAATAATATATTATTTATACCATAATACAAATAACTATTTTATAATAATTATTTGATATTTCTTGTAAAATATAATGATAATATATTATAATTATTAATTATAAATAATTTTATTATTTAAAAAATATATATTTCTAATAAATAAGGGCCTAAATAATATATTTAGCCATATAATAATAGTCCTACAAATATAGAAACTGAAGAAAAAAAAAAAAAGAGGCCGGACTTTAAAAAAAAAAAACAAAAACAAAAAACACCGCATAAATACAATATTCACAATCAAAATACAAATAACTATTTTATAATAATTATTTGATATGTTTTGTAAAATATAATGATAATATATTATAATTATTAACTAGAAATAATTTTATTATTTAAACAAAATATGCTTATATTTTATAATAAATATTTGATATTTTTAATAAATAAGGATCTAAATAATATATTTGAGCATATAATGTTTGCGCAAAAGTCATCGTTTCAAGGTACTAATAGGAAACAATATAAATGCGAATTGCATGCCCATGTAACATTTATTGTGTAAGAAGTCTTATTGAAGTACATCCTGCCATTTGGTCTCGAAGTGTGTTTAGAGTATTGGTTTTGAGTGATCATGGCAATGTATTATAAAGAAATAAAATGATCTAATTAATTTATTTCTCAAATAATTATTTTTTTCTTTTATTTTTTAAAATAAAAAGAAAAATAGTAAAATGATGAAAAAGACTACAAAAATTAGTTTTTAAACAAAAGGGATTAATTAATTCATCTCTCAAAGAAAAGGGACCAAGAAGCAAAAAAAAAATTAATGAATAGGGACAATGAGTCTAGAGCTACAGTGAATGAATAGTGTCACTTGCATTTCTTTTAGTTTTTTTATAATATATTCTTTTAACATTTTTACTAGTTGGCTTTTCGTATTATGATCTCGTGCTTGAACAAAATAAGTTTATTTTAATTTGATAGTCTATACTATACTCGTCGATCAACTAAAATATATAAAATCAAAGACAAAAAAAAATTCATATAATTTTATAATTTATAAACAAAATTTTTTATTTAATTTATTTTTCTTTGTGTTTTTCATAAATTTTATAGTTAAAAGAAAAACATGATCTATTATTCCTTATGCATTTATTCTTAAATTAAAATCTATAATAATCTAAATAGAAAATTTAATATAAAATTTTAAAAAATGTCTTAATAATTTTTTTATAAGATTGCATCGGAGAAATAAAAAAATAATTAATATAAAATCTTGTGTAAAATTTAACAAATAAATATTTTTTATTGTTCTTTATTGTTGATGAGAAGACTAACTTTTTGAAAATATGCATATTTGATTTATATATATTTATTTACAAAATAATCAATAATATTAATATAAAAAATTGTATTTGAATTATTTGGTGATTCTTTTAAAATATTATTTAACTTATTTTATTGAAAAAAATTAATTTTAATTTAAAAAAATAATAACAAATGGTTGATGTTATGTGTGTAGATACATAGTTAATTTCTAATAAAAGCAATTATCTTAATTTTTTTATATACTTCTTGACCATACTCGGTGGGTTAGAGTGTATAACGTAAATCGAAAAATATTTTTAAACAAAGTTGAAGTTGTAAGAAATATATTGAAGTTAATAGACTACAAGTAGAAACAATCATAAAATTAATTTCGATAAATTTTGATTATATAAAAAATAAGCAAATAAAACACATGAATTATATATTTTTTTAATTATTTATTTAAAAAATAATTCAAAAATCCATACACAAAGGAAAATAAATTATATTTATTAAAAAATAAAATTACAAAAAAAAAAGAATAATAAAAAATTAAGAGAATTTTTATAAGAAATGAAAAATTGAAGAGATCAATTTTAAAAATAAAAAACAAAATTGAAGAAATTTTCATAAGAAATGATAAATTGAAAAGATTAATTTTAAACAATAAGAGTAATATAATCCGATATGTATGTTAATTAAAAGCTATATAAAAAAAAATTGTTTTTTCATAATTTTTTCACTCAATTTAATAAAAAAAAATTGCTTGGAAAAAAAAAAAAAAAAAAAGAGGCAAGCCTAGTACATTTAGGGACAAAAATATCTTTTGAAAATTCTAAAGACTAAAATGAAACATAATGTAAAATTTACATATGAATTTTAAAAGACAGTCAAAAAATCACAAAAAAACTATCATCCAAAATTATTTTTTAAAAAATACCATAGAGTAAATAGTGATTTATAAGGAGACGAATAAGAAATAAATAGTCACAATAACCTATGTTCTTTTAGTTGTTTTTTTTTGTTAATATATTCGTTTGAAAGACCAAGGAACTGAGAAGGTAAGCAGGATGGATTGCTTGATAAGTGATGATAGCCTAGTTGTGGTGGTTCCCTGCTCCGATGGATCAAGATTTTCACTTATAATGGCTTAGCTTCAAAGCCAAGCAGCACAATAACGGCCACATGAGAAAATTAATCAAGAAAATGATAGGAACTCTATGCTATCCAAAATGATGGCACAGTGACAAAGACTGACGATCATGTATCTATCCACTACTCAGAAAAAAACAAATTCTAGACTTCGTTTTTCATATCCACCGAATTAAACACTCGAAATTGCCTTTCCTTCAACGTTAAGCACCAAAAAAAACACCACGTTATTAACTCCCATAGTTTATTTACTAATCATGATAACGTTCTACCACTCATTCCTCCGAAAAAAAAAAACATCATCCACCTAACACGCAAGTGTTAACAAAAGCTTGCTGCTAACTGCCTTCTTCATGCCGATGCCATCCCTTAGTCTAATTCGCCATTTTTTTCACCAAAATGCCTTTCCTTTTCGTCCTTGTCTTCCTTTTCTCCTCTCAAGTTCGGACTGCATTTTCTGCACATTGCAGCACCACTACACCCACTAAAACTTTTGAAAAATGCATGACACTCCCAACCCAACAAGCGTCAATGGCTTGGACATTTCATGCCCGCAATGACACCCTAGACCTTGTATTTTTTGGTACCTTCATTTCACCTTCCGGTTGGGTAGGGTGGGGAATTAATCCTTCAACGGCCGAAATGACCGGTACTCGTGCTCTGATTGCGTTTCCAGACCCTAACTCAGGTCAGTTAGTCCTGTTACCTTTTATTTTAGACCCAACAGTGAAGCTCCAAAAATCACCACCCCTCTCTCGCCCTCTAGATATCCACCTTCTATCCTCCTCTGCCACCCTCTACGGTGGCAAAATGGCCACTATACATAATGGTGCCGCCATCCAAATTTATGCCACATTAAAACTTGTACCAAATAAGACCAAAGTTCACTTTGTGTGGAACCGTGGACTATACGTTCAAGGCTACTCCCCAACTATCCATCCGACAACCTCCAATGACCTATCTTCCATTGCCACCATTGATGTCTTGTCTGGTTTCAGTGCTGCCCATAAAGATGATACCAAGACATTAAAGATTGTACATGGAATCTTAAATGCTGTCTCGTGGGGTGTCTTACTCCCAATTGGAGCTGTGACTGCAAGATATTTGAGGCACATACAAGCACTAGGACCAGCATGGTTTTATGTTCATGCAGGGATGCAACTTTGTGCTTTTTTCATAGGAACTGTAGGATTTGCCATTGGAATTAAGCTTGGGGAATTATCACCAGGCGTGGTTTATGGGCTGCATAGGAAGCTTGGTTTCACAGCATTTTCCTTGGGCGCTTTGCAAACACTAGCACTGTTGTTTAGGCCTAAGACCACTACCAAGTTTAGGAAATACTGGAAATCTTACCACCATTTTGTAGGGTATGCTTGTGTGGTGCTAGGAGTTGTGAACGTTTTTCAAGGATTCGAAGTAATGGGAGAGAGCAGGTCTTATGCTAAGTTAGGATATTGTCTGTGCCTATCTACATTGATAGGAGCTTGTATAGCTTTGGAAGTGAATTCTTGGGTGGTTTTTTGCAGAAAATCGAAAGAAGAGAAGATGAGAAGAGAAGGATTAATTGGAGGAGGGTCTGATAAAGGAAGTGTGAGCCATGGTTAAGAAATTAACCTCTGTATTCCATAGAAGAAGAAGAAGAAAAAGAAAATTACTATATCTACATAATTGATGCGATTGGAATTTTGAATGGTGCTTTTTGTTGGCCAGAAAATTTGTTCGTTTTTCTTTTTGCAGCATATAGGTGTTAATTAATTATTTTCAAGTCTTTTTAAGATGCCCTTGTGTTTTATATTTTAAATTGGGTTTACAATCACGGTAAGCTTTGTTTGACAAAAAAAAAAATCATCTTTTCGGTCTAGCTCTTTTTCCTGACAATGCTGATTGAATCATAATGTCATTACTTAGACTAATTTTTGAAAAGCCTTCCAAAGAGATCTGCACACAAAATACAACCATAATGTTCACTATATATATACACACACACCTCTCCTTCACTACAGATTATCAGTTGCGTTGATAAAAAATAAAAAAAATCTCAACATGCAAGATGGCAGTGGTGAGTTAACCTCTGGCCTACAAATTTTGAAATTTATTTGATTTAATACCATATATTTATAAGACTCTCAGTAGGTAAATTGTGCTTTGCCAATGTTCAATAAATTTGATAAGGCAAATTGCATTTTGTGAGATTTTATGTCCCAACCGTGACGACCTAGCTAATAATGCATCATCAATGGTATAATAATATCCATGAAGAGTAATATTCTCTCTTCCTTCTTTTTTTTTCCTAGTGAGAGGTGTAAGCAGTATCGTGTCAAGACTTAAGAGCCCAAGAAAGAGCTTTTATTAATTCTTCTTGGTCAAAGCTATGCTTTGATTGAAAACTTGATGCTAAATGTTGCAAACTCTGTAAGAAAACAAGGTACGTATCCCCAAAGATATTATACATGATGAATTAATTCCAAAATTAGTAAGCTTCTATATTACACAAAGAGACACACTACTAGTGGTCATTAAATAGTCAATAGCAATCTGCTAATTTCCACGAAGTTTTTCCTGTAGCCAGGAATTGGATAGCTTTTGTGTCAGGATGATGAGGGCCCTTTTTTATTTTTGTTGGATGAGCTATCTGACAAATTATAACACTTGCTGAGTCCTGACAAATGGAGATTAGTATTTGATGTCGCTATTTGGACAATATGGACTTGGTAAAATGATAGAGAGTTTTTAGACATGAAGGTGAAAATAGAATTAAAATACATCATGAAATCGAAGCCTACAAAGGATGGAACAAGGAGAAGTTGATAGGTTGGGTTTAAAAGTTTAAATAGAGATAGACTTCAGCTTTGCCAGGGCATGGCCTCTGAGGAATCCTGTTCAGCTTTTGATCCAGTCTTCATGTCGCATGTCCACATGACACATACTGAGTGAATCTCCTGACTCGTGAGTACGCCATTAGAATAGGAAGATAGCTAATTATGAATTAATTTGTATGTGTAGGGTTTGGAATGTTGGGTTCTTACAGCCTGTAAAAGTAAGAAAACTGATTGATTGCAAGTAGCATTAGCATATCTCCCTCTCACCAGTCACCCCTCTCGAAAGGTCGTATTAAAGGCCATTTCCAATCCTCTGTTTCTTCTTTTCTCCATTCAACTTTTTGGGCCGTTCGAAATTCCCATCTCTTTCACACTTTCAAAATTTTGGCGTAGATCAAGCGCACCAACATTGAGCAATTGAGCGTGTAAAGGCAACATGGTTCTGACAAGGGGGAGGGGGTTGTTATCGTGTGATCATTTCAACTAGGGAGACAAGGCAACCTATCACGCAACCATGAATAAATCATGCATTTGCCTTCGTGGCGTCTTCTCACCACGGCATGGAGGAGAGAATGAAGGACTCACCAAGAATGGCTGTCCTAAACGGCCAAACAGGGCTTTGATTGTATAAAATATATATCAACTATTTTCGTTGGACCGTCCCTTTTTTTTTTTTTTTCATAATTATAGACATAGCATGCAACATAAACCCTAAGTATACTGATAACAGACCATTTAGTTTTATGATAAACTGAAAACCAAGATACAGAATAGTTTTCTTGAGAAACACTCTCTCTCATCCAAGCTTACGTGGCAAAACGGACATATGACCAACCTAAATAAAAATCAAATACATGACAAAGACCATTAATTCCTGCCGGATTTATTTCCTCTAAGAAAGCATTGTACCAAACAACAATCTGGGCAAAATCTGGGGCTCGATATTGCTTTGTTAATGCACAGATGAATAGTAAGATTGGATTGTGCCGTCAAAACCAATGGCTCGATAGCCACACTGGATTTTCGCTTTCGGAAATGCCATTAAGACTGAAAAAGGGAAGGCCTTAGACAGCAATTAGAGGAATAAATCACTATTCATTAACAGAGAATTGAAAAGGATGATCAAACTTTACAGTACTTGGAAATGGACAACAGATGGTTATGGTCTACACAGAAGCCAAAATAAAGAGTGACCATACCACATGAAAATTAATGAATATCATATGATGCGTGCAAGTCAATGCACTTTTACATGGCCACATGGCAAAGCAACCGACATAAATCAATACAATGCCCATATGACTGACTTAAGCATAATACAAGGGCCTGCAGGATCCTGTTATCTTAGCAGGTAAAGATGAACTGTGCTGTTAAGAAATTAGGGGGTCCCACTGCTGACCACACTGAATGCACTATTGTAACCACTTAATGAGAAAATCATCAAAACAACGTGATAAACACTAGACGTCCAGTCACCAACATAACTTGGTCAAAATATGCGACAGTTTTCGTGTTCAAATGGTTCCATTCAAATACCAAGTTCAACTCTTTGCATACAGAAAATAGCAACGAAAAAAGAATCATAATATGTGGTAACTTATTCACGGGGACCCTAGATGGGGTATCCCTTAAACGTTTCACACTACTAAAATCAACAAGACTCTGGGGTACAATCTGCTGAAAAACGATCCCGATTAATGGGATGTAGGAAAAGCAAGACATAGCTGAAAAATCCACAACTTCGCCAGAAATTACAGCGCATAAAAAACTAGGGAGTAAAAAAAAAAAAAAAAGGTCTATAAATCTTTTTGTATCGCCGGCCTCACCAGAGATGCATTATACATTTCGACTGTATGCCGCAAGCTGATTTTACATCTCAATCAAAGAACAGAAACAAAAAAACCTAAATTGTAGCTTAAAACTCAATCCTTAACACAAAATCCCTTATAACTTCTATCCCTAAATTTAATTCTCCAAAACGGGCACTCCAGTTAGCTCTAGATAACCAATTTGTTTTAACTGAAATATACTAATGAGAGGATGTGCGAAATTCACAATTCACCTGGGTCACCAGAATATCTCCACCTAATATATCGTGATAAAAGAAATGTTCCAGCTAGGCAGCAATTCCTGAAAGAAATTAAAGACAATCCCTTTTTAATCATAAAGGTTGAAGCACAATTAAATCAATTCATCAAAATGTCTTGTGCACCTTACATTTGAATTAATTGTCAACAAAATTAAAGTGGCATTACATTGTTGCATACAATATTCAATTCAAAAATTGCAGGGGCAAAAATTAAATTACACAGAGAAAACTGTTGACACTAACATAGGTACCAGTGAACCAAATCAAAGAATTTCGTATTGTGCATCCTAATAGTACAAACACTTGGACCACACTCAGCTTCTTAGCTAAAATGCATGGTACAGTACAACTTAAGCAGTTCATTCAATAGATAAGATCTAGAACCACATACTTAATAGATATTTCTAAGTCAGTGGTCAAGAGAGATGCTCCAACATAATGAACAAATGCAAAATTGTATGTCTGTGAGTGGACTGTACAACCTTGGCAACTGATCCCTCACAAATACAAGACGCAGTAATGAAGTTCTAATTTACACATTTTGATCTCTTACAACTAGGAAATACTAGGACATTCTAAATGCATGACTCCCTCTTTCTCATATAACTATTAACGGACTTTACAGAAGCACAATAAAAGCAATTGGAGACAAAAATAATGTCGATGTAATAGTGCAAAAACAATATGCAAAATAGTGCCAAAAAAAAAAAAAATGCAAATTCGAAACTAATGTCCTATCCAGCATGAAACTAATGTCATGAAAGAGTATATTATAGAAAGAAGAATAATTGTGGCATTTGAATTCTCTTTACCAACAAGAATTAGCAGGCACGCCAAAAAGGAATGGTAAGTCTTTACAATGGAATGGATGCAAAAAAGTGTGTAATAATGCATAAATAAAAAAACAGTGGAACCTAAAAGTCATGGTTTTGCATCATGTAAAAATCAACCACAAAGACAAAAGAAGTGAAGAGGCAGAAAATTGTTTTGTTCTAGTCATTTGTGCTTTATTAGTCGAGAAACATCTCTTGAGATGGGGATATTAACATAAATGAATATTAACAAAGATAATATAGAATAAAACAGAGTCTACATCAACTGTCTACGTATCAATAATGGGAATTAGGCAGACTTGCAATAAATATGAATAAATGCACCAAAAAGAATGACCAGTTCACAAAGTCATGAACTCATGACAAATGAAGAGAGAACATGCCATTGAAGCGAGAAATCGTGGAACCAACCAACAAAAACTAATTTCTAGTGTCATTTTCCAATCAAAATATGCACAGAAAAACTTCTTTTTCACTTTTTTGTATGACAATAGCAAAGATAGTTTAGATTGCTCCTCTGAACCTCAAACCAAAAATGTTAATTTGTGAAAATAGAAAATGATGATATCGAACTCTCAGAGCTTTATGAACAACTAAATATTCTGCACGGGGGCAAGGGGCTATCCATCCCAACATTGCGATTAGCCCAAGGTTCCGAATGAACCATCTAAAACAAACACAAGAATTTGAGGCATTTGATGTCCATAGGTGTACAAGATCATGTTAATTGCAACACATTGAAATATTAATTTATCTCAGTAAACTATTGCACCTATCATGAGGTTACGTGAATTTCTGCTAATTGATTGTTTGCTGTATTTTATATATTGCACAATTACTTTCTGTCAACTGATTGCTGCAAGGAGACACCACATCCAGTAAGTGCAAGATGAGAAATTCAATGTATTGGGAACAAAACGAGACATGCTATAACAGCTCCCTGTTTCAAATTGATTTCTTCATGTTTCAAAAATCATGAAGGTTCTGTGCATGCCATTTGTAATTATTTCACATCTGTACATATGCACATAGATATAGATGATGACAAAGAAGAAAATGGAGACTAATTGCTTATGCTACTCAGGTTACAGAGACTCAAGCATAGTCTTTCAGAACATTGGGTGCAACCTTAATGATTCAGTACGCCAGAGATCTATTTAAGTAATATCAAGAAAGAACTTTCAAAGAACCAGAGCAAACAGTTGAATGAATGTATTAGACTAGGAGCTCTTACCTCTATTTGACTGTCTCTTATTAACACTATAACCACCAACATAACCAGGAGAACTTTTGACTGGAACATCAGAAGTGGCATTGCCAAGGCCATAACCAAAGGAACCAGATGCATCTCGCTCGGAATTTGATGACTGCCAAGTGGGGTCCCCATAATCTGAACTGCCGCCATAAAGGTCAGCAAATGCTCCATCAAAGCTACCATTTGATGCAGCATATGATGTTGGGCCCATATTGTTCCCACTGTTTCTTGCATAACTACCAATGCCCAAACCAAAACTATTTTCACCCCTTCCATACCCAAAATTCAGACTGCTATTAGAAACATTATTTCCTCCACCCTCAGCTGAAAGTGATGAAGAACCCCAATTAGCCCCACTGTTGCCAAAGGTGCTTCCTCCAAGGCTTCCAGTTCCAGATCCCATGTATGCATTTGAGCTTGTAGAGTTGGTGTTATAATTGAGCCCCCCATCTCCCCACAAGTTTCTCGTTGCCGAGCTGAAAAATGAAGTGTTTCCTCCATTACCTCCATCATATCCTATAGGTCTAGCAAGGGTATTATTATTACCAATATAGTAAGGCCTCACTCCCCGCCCATAGCTGAGATTGCTATTAAAATTTGCATTCCCCCCATAACTAGGGCTCAATGCTGGCTCAAAATTCATACCCATTCCATAACCAGAACCAAATGGAGGGAAACCACTTCGGCCACCAGCAACCGGACTGAACCTGCCATCCATCCTAAGTCCATAGCCTCCAACTGTACTTGGAGTATATCCTTGAGTGTAAACATTAAGGAAGCTATTAACCCTATTTAGACCATAGTTGTATCCACCAAGTGGGCTGCGACTGGGACCAGGTGATAACTCTTTGGGAACAGCTCGCTTAACCTCAACCATTTTGCCATTCAGTTCATGAAAAGTCTTCATCAAAACTTTGTCCACTGCCTCCTCGGAATCATAAGTGATGAACCCAAATCCCCTTGGCCTCTGAGTGTTATGATCATACATTACCACAACATCTGTGATGGTACCAAATTGGTCAAAATAATTCTTAAAATCACTTTCTGTAACTGTGGATGCTAAGCCTCCTACGAAAATCTTTTTTGTACGCCCTGGACCAGGAGAACCATGGATGCTACTGCCACTGTTTCTACTCAGAATGTTTTGGTCATCCCTAGGAACAGCCTTTTTCGCCTCAACCTGAGGATGAACACAACAATTAGAAAACCAAGCTCGGACAGTGGGAATCGCTCGACACTTGAAACTTAACTTCAGTACATAAAAATCACAAATTTTGAAGATTAGCAAAACTAACACCATCAAACAAAAATAAAAAGAGAGAAGGCAAGTGTTCGTTCTTGGCTCATTTTGATATCTAGTTTAATACAGAAGAAGAATTAAATGATGTCTTCAATTAAAACATTGGACTCATGACTCTGATACAGAAACCAATTCCCCACTTCGAATCATGCAGCATGTAGTAAAAGTTCTGAACAGCATAGGTTAATAAAGTTTACCATTCTGCCATCGATGCTGTGCTTTTCCTTAATGACTCTCTCTGCAATAGCTGGGTCAGCAAAAACAACAAAACCAAATCCACGGGCACGTCCTGTGGTGCGATCCTTCATTATCACAGCCTCCACTACCTCCCCAAAAGTTCGAAAATAACCCTTCAGCCGTTCTTCATCAGTGTCCCATGAAATTCCACCAATGAAGAGCTTTCCACTATCAGACTGCATTTTCTCTTTAATCTCTACGATACAAAATATTTTTCTTAATGAATACGAAGCCCTGAACTTCACAAATGCAAATCACACTACCAATCAAATAAATAAAAAAAGGCAAACCTTCTAGGACAATCAAGCACCTGCTTCAACTCAACAAACGTGTTTTACACTGGATCCAATCAACAACAACGTAGTTAGCATACAATTCAATAGCAAATCGAAACCAACAAAAAGAATTAACACTAAGCACACAATGAATGAAAGTTATCGCTATTTTAAATAAGAATGCAATTCAAATTTAGGCAATACCTTTATTCGGACAATTAAGAAAAAACACAGAACGAAACTCCTATGTTTTTGTTTGACACGAAAGCCAAAAACTTTACAGATCCTTCAACGATCAATCAGCCAACCAGCAATCTAGTATCAATCAAACCTGAAAAGAGAGAGAGGGAGGGAGAGAAGAACCCAGAAACAGGAATTCAACCCTGGAATTCAATAAAGGTCTAAAATTTTACAACGATCCGAATCCAAAAAATAAAAAATCTTATATAACCCACCGATTTAAGAAAATCCAAGATGATAAATCTCATCCAAATTGATTATTTAAGATCTGAGAGGAGGCATAATGAGAATATAAATAGAGGGCATGCTCATCCTCCTCTACAATATGCCCTCTTCTTCGTCCTCGTCTTCTTCTTCTTCTAGTTCTTTTAATTTGTTTTTCAATTTTTTGATCAGCTAATGCAAATTCAGTTACCAAACGAGATTGCAAATTTTTATTCACACATAAATTCTAGTGAGAGAAAAGGGCAATTTGTGTTAGATAGATAAAGAGAGTGAGAGAGGAGGCTTTGTGGAGTCTGGTGTGAGGAATATATAGGGAGAGGCTCAAAATGGAAGGAGCTGATTTTCTTTTCTTTTTCTGTTTTTATATATTTTTATAAAAAAAAAATTGATTTTTTTCTGGTTTTATTTACTGCTTTTCCTTTAGAGTGAAAGGCAAAAATGGAAACTAAGAGAAGTTTGTGTCTTTTTTGTTTCCTGATCTGATAAAAGGCAAAGGAGTAAGGGATGGAAGGCTTCTTCTTCCTGCCCATTTATATACTTAATGGAGAAAGAATTGCATTTTCTTTGCGAGTACACAACTTTGTGTATCTACCTGCATGCATTCGATCTAAGCTCTGTTGTTTTGTGGGTCCAGGATACACATTACCCGTTGATTTTTTTGACTTTTCCAAATGTCACCAACTTGTAATTTCAGTTGACGGTTGTGATCGGTTGATGTCTTTCAAACATCTTTTCCTGTGAATATCCTTGTTTTTTGCCTCCTCAAGGTAAAGAAAATTGGGAAAAAAAAATAAAAAAAAGTGAAGGTGCTTGAGCTTTTAGGTAGGATAGATTAGTACCTTTTTTTTATTTTAATTGTCATTTTCATTGTTTTCAGAACACACAATATAGAATTTCAAATAATTAGTCTGTGATTAAAAAAAATTATTTCTTTTTTTATTTTTTGGACTTAAATTTTGGAACGGCATCTAAAAAGAACTCACACCCACCACAGTGATATTTTTTGGGATAACCTAAAATAGTCCCCAACCTATAACTTTTTTCTCAATTAGGTTCTCCAACTTGTTTTTTTAACTAATTAGATTCTCAATGTATCCAAGAATCCTCAGTTTGATCCTTACATCTATATAAATATGCCTAGCATTGTCTACAGGTTGAGGACCCAATCGAGAAAAGGCTCAGGCATGTCGTTGATGAAAGGATCTAATTGAGGATTCTTCAACGTATTAGGGATCCAATTGGTTAGCAATATAGGTTGCGGACTAAATTGAAACAAAATTATATCTTGAAGACTAATTTGAGGTTTAACCATTTCCAACTACCACGCAATAGTATTCTCAGCCTCAGCGATATCTCGCAAGTAATGAAATTTGATTTTCCACTTTAGATATTTATGAATTGGTAACAGTTCAATTGGAATCTTTTCTAAGAAGTTTTTTTTATCAGAATATTTTCTCAATTATCCAAAAAACGAAATCTTATTCACTTAACCAGAAAACAAGCGTTTAAATTTCTATAAAATTTATCAGCGTTATTAAATCTCTTATTATTTCAAATCTCAATTATAAATATATGTCTGTGCGTGATAGATCATTCTTATAATAGATTGCTCGTTAATCTTCTTATGGTTTTTTCACCAATTACCTACCCAAGCTATACTTCCAAGTTCCAACTAGCTAGCTGGCTACGAGCTCAGGCCTTTGTAGATGTTGTGCCACGCACCAAATTAAGATTATTATTATTACTTCTTAATTATTTTTTCTCGTCTTTTCAAAACAAATCAGGAGGCTTTAGAACCAATATTTGGAGCTCATAAACATAGCCAAGATATTTAAATTATTTAACTTTTACCTCTCGAGTCCAAATTATAAAATTTAATTAGTTTCTCCATCGGTATCATCAAATGCTATTCCGACTAGGCATGACACATCGACTTAGCAACGTAAATTTGTTTGTTGTTAATTATTATTCTTTAAACTATTGATCCATAGATCAAGTTCATCATGTCTCAAAAGATAAGATACCATGCATGCATTGTTTATTTTTGGTCACAAACAACATTTTTCTACCATAAAGGTGTACAAGAACCCCTTTTTTTTTCTTTTTTCCTTTTCTTTTATTGCCAAACAGGAAATTTACAAAAAGGAAAAAAAAAAAAAAAACCCAAGAGATATTTAGCATCAAATGAGGTCAAAACCATAGCTTTCATATATATAAAGTACATACAAAATGTTATGAACGGACCCAAAATATTTCTTAAGTGCTACGTACCCCTATACAGTCTTGGACCATACTGTTAGCTACAAGCCTACGTGTTCACATTGTTGGTCTTACCAAAACACATGACATATCTTACTTTGGTAAACAATATTGTCTCCTCCTGTACTAGACCTGTAAATTTTCCTAACATGAAGGACCAGGCCAAACTGTAATTTAGTGTGTGACATTTCATAGGGAACCTTCGACTAAAATTTGGATCGTGGAATGTTTATGTAAATTGTACTTATCAATTCCTAGCTAGCATCTTTGTTCGTGCCCTCCACGAAAGGAACTTTGGTCTCTCCACTGGCTAGCTGGCTCAAAGGCTACAGCTATTTCCCTTTCTTGTCCACTGCCTCATCAAAGCTTGGATTGGCCATTATGCCCTAGGTCATGTGCTGCTTCAGCTCTGTGACTAGGTCAAGTTAAGGTTAGGTTGTTATGGTCTTTTTCATGCTGAAGATGCAAGGTTATATATCTTGGACGTTGATCGTCCAGTGGCTTAGATAGGTTGGTGGGTAACATGGCTGGCGTCCAGCTTGCCACTAGTTGGGATGATGATGATAACAGGGGAGGGGGAGAGAGACATGCATCACATGCAATTGGATATTAGCATAAATTAATCTAAAAGAAGCAATTATCGGGTTTTTGTGCTCCCTTAACTGTGATCGCCCAATCATCGATCTTCTTGCTTCTGTTTTACTTTTTTGTTTCAACTATATATATATATATAGAGAGAGAGAGAGAGAGAGAGAGGGTTTTGAACTTTAGACATCGATCGTACGTATATAATCTTAAAAGATCTATCTGTTTTTTTTTAATTCAATATCAATATTGTTAAAACTTTTTTTGAAAAAATCACAGGTTGGTTGTACTTTTGCTGTCTTATTTGATTATAAATTATATTCCAATGTTGATCAATGTTGTTAAGTAATTTGAGGTTTGTAGATGGATTTTGTTGTTGTCTAATTAAACCCTATGTTCCCCTTAAGATCGTTATTATACCATTTTTTTCTTTTTTCATAGTATTTTTTAATATCAACCTTTTTAAATTTGAAATATTTTTTTATGCAAGTTTGGTCTTTCAATAGCTTCAATTAATGGAAAATATTCGAGTCATCAAAGATGGATTTAGAGATTTGAAATTGATAGAAACTAAGAGCATATCAAGATGAAAATATCTTTTACACACATAAAAATGTATGCAAAAGTTGTAGAATATGGACTGAAATGATACTTTTTTATTTAAAAAGTGTCTTTATATATAAAAAAATATTAAAACTTATATGAAATAATATCTAAACTTTAGATACCATTTTGAATTTTGAGGATGTAGTGGCTCCCGCATGCAATCCCCTAGTTCCGCTCCTAGGAGTCCACTACAATTTCCTATGTTGTTTAAATAATGAGGGAGTACTATTCCGCCTAGGGTATTTTAGACCTCCCAATGACCCAACAGACAAACAGAAAATGAAATATTCCTTGTTATGTGTACTTATCTGGAAAAGGTGATTAAAAATTAACAAAAGATAAAACATTGAAAACCTATAAAGATTGTGAAAAAAAAAGAAAAAAAAAAGAGAAAGATAACGTACCCATTTACTTTTATATACTGGATGTATTCTTCCATATACTATTTTAAGAATTTTTTTTTTAATTTTTCACTCTCATGTGTGTTTGTATATTCGTATTTTCCCACATATATTGATTATTTTGCTACTTTTTAGACAAAAATACTCTTTATACCTCCAAAAATAAATGTAATTTATAAAACATAAAAATAAAAGTTAATTTAAAAAAAAACTTGGCAAAACTCGAAACCTATAAAATAGAAAAATAAATAAATAAATAAACTAGAAACAAATTGAAGAACCTACAAACGTAAAAACTTGGATCATCCTAAATTGAAATTTCACGTAATATATATATTCCCACATATATTAATTATTTTGCTACTTTTTAGACAAAAATACTATTTATACCTTCAAAATAAATTTAATTTATAAAAAATAAAAATAAAAGTTAATTTAAAAAAAAAAACTTGGCAAAACTTGAGACCTATAAAATAGAAAAATAAATAAATAACTAGAAACAAATTGAAGAACCTACAAAGGTAAGAACTTGGATCATCATAAATTGAAATTTCACGTAATATATATATATAAACATTGACATTTAAGATAAAATTTATAATACCGAAAGAGTAACTAATGACATATAGAGTTGTTATTTCATGAACTCACTTTAAAGAAAGAGATAGACACAAAAAATAAAAGAGAAATAGGAGAGGGAACATAAAAAAAAAAAGTGAGCGAACGTGAAAATCTTCTTATTACTTTTTATGGGTCCGGATATAATTTTATTTGTTTATCTCTCTTCTCAAAGTGGATCTATGAAGTAACTACTGCACATATCACTAGTTACTCATTGGGTCCATATAATTTTATGTGCATATCTCTCTCCTCAAAGTAGGTCAATGAAGTAAGTATTGCACATGCTACTAGTTACTTATTAAGTATTATCAAATTTCTCGAAATTTATTGAAACATTTTAAAAACCCATATTCTACAAATAATAATAATAATAATAATAAATTACAAGGATTTATGAACATTTTGTTTTACAAGTTATTATTATTATTATTTTAGGTTTTTCAGTTAAATCCTTTTTTTATAGGTTTAATGTTTTAGTTTTGTGAGATTTTCTAGACTTTTACGTTTTTTAAAATTAAATCTTATTTTTTAGGATTTTCAATTTTTTTTTGTTTTTTTTAATGGTTGCAAGGCATTTTTTGTCCAAAAAGTGACAAAAGAGCATAGATAAGAAAATATGAATATATGGAGACACGTAGGATTGAAAAATTCTTTAAAAAAAATGAAAAAATCGGAGGATACACGCAATATATAAGGATAGAAAGATCAATTAAACTGTAAAATATAAACCTAAAATGATAGATATAAAAATAAAAGAAAAAATAAGTTAAAAAAAGAGAATATAGATATATAATCTTTTCTTCTTGGGGAATATTCTAATGTGGGTGCTATTTATTATTTGTTTAATTGCAATTCTTAATTCGATTCTGTGGCAGTGGGTTCCAAACAACAAGATTTACATGTTAACAAAAATTTATTCATTGGTTTTTTCAAGATGGTTTTTAGGTTTATTTCGTATAATTGTGTTTTTAGATATCAAAATTTCTTAAAGATATAAAATCTTATTTTTATTTTTCCTTTATCTTTTTATGTTTCTGAAAATTTTATCTATTTTTTTTAATATAGATTTTAGTTTTTCTATTATATACTTTTTTTATTTTGTTTTGTTGTTGTATCTTTTTTATGTTTTGAAGTTTTTGTCTTAACAAAGGAACAAGAATTGGAATAGGTCAAGCGCTTTTCCAACCAGTTAATCTCATATAAAATTCAAACCCAATAATAAACTTTACCCCCATTGTCCTTCCATATTCGGACCTGTCCAGGTTCAAAGTTGCTATTCTCGTCCCGATCCATTAAAAAAAAAAAAAAAAGGTGAAAAATCAACCTAGGTTTGAATATGGTTAAAAAATGAGGGATGTTAAGCTTTTAAGACAAAACTTGGTATCGGCAGCGATAAAGCCATTATTTCATGTTGGGATGCGAGCACGTATGTCAACGTTAAATTTCACCTATGCCAACAAAGAAGGGTTGCCCAGCGGTAAACCACCTCATCTAACTTGCCAAAAAGTTTAGGTTCTAGTTGGAACTTGGGTGTTATTATTATTATTATTATTATTTTTTTTTTTGAGAACTTAGTAGTTATTTATTGATGCCAACTCCGTCTTATGACTCCATTCGCAGAGAATCCTTGAATTTTAGTCCCAATATAATTAGTGCAATGAAAATTTCTCTATATCTATGTGAATGTTATGCGCACAATTAATGTATCCTACTAGTTACGAATTTGAGATGCCGTATTTACCTTTCGATTTTTTGGAATATACATATCTATAGTGTATATTGACAAGTATAAAATTGAATAGATATATGTTGATAAATTTACAGATTTAGCGATTAATAAACCAATATATTGATTGTCTTGTTAATAAATATTATTAATGTAATATATTAACATGTTAATATATTGAATATCACATCTATAAATTTATAAACAACTAGTATTTTTTTGTTATTTTGATTTTAAAAATAAAGAATGCATATTGAATTTCTATTTGCCTTTAATTTTAGAAAATAAAATTTTGAAAAAAAAGATTGTCATTTTTCTTGCTAATTTTTTTACTCTTATACTTTGGCAAGTTTTTTTATATTTTTATTATTATTATTTATTTACGTTGTAATACAACATGGACGCTAGAGACCTTGGCTTAGAGAGTTGATGAATCGGTAATAGCAAAGAGACAAGGGGGAGAGGGAGACCCAAGCTAATACGAACTAGCATGAAAGGATTAGAAGTCCGTTCTGATATGGCACAAAAGGATCTTTGATCTTTATAGCTGATCCCAACTATTAAAACTTGGTTTTTGGTTGTTTTTATTTAACATTCACTACCCTTCCCCAACCCAACCCACCCCCCCTCTTTAAAATAAAAGAGTTCAATACAATACAATCAATTTAGAGACCATAGATGGATAGATGATTTTTTTTTTACAGGACTGATGAAGCACGTTTGATGGTGGTAGATGAGTAATTTTTCATAGCATGATTTTCCATTTTAACTTTTCGTGTTCAAGGAAATTTTTTTTTACATCAAATTGATTTATTTCTTAGTGTTTTTCTTTGGATTTTTTTTTCGTTAAGAAAAGACAGCCGGCATAAATAAAACATTAGTTAGTATAAACAAATAAATAATCAGGAAAAATATTTTTAATGTATAAAATTAGCCCATTTGATTAAAAAATTGAAAAAATTAAGCTAACATAAATAAAAATATATAAATTTTCATTTTTAATCCATTTTTATTTCTTAAAAAAAAAAAAGGAGCTGAAAGAAATTTTAAGCGTGTCTTTTCATCCCATCAAAATCAAAATTAAAGAAACATCGGGTTGATTTTGAAAAAATCCACTGTTGATATGAGGCATCTCATTTCAAAGCGGTCCATTCAAACATTTCGTTTTAATTAGTAGAGTCATTAAAAGAGCCCAAGAGGTCGAAATAAAATAGGCATAAAAGCCTAAGCTTACAGGGTCTAGCAGATTTGACCCAACTGGAAAACAAAGGCTAAAGAGCAAAGGAGCGAGGGTCTCGACCTTAGAATTTCAAAATTATCTCATAACCATTGGAGTTTTATTAGGACTTAATTGTCTCCATCACGTTTTTGTTCTGAATACCACCATATTTGGTTGTTAAATGAAACAAATCTCTTTTGAATTTTAATCATTCGAAAATCAGTTTTTTAATTTTTAATTTCAGATTTTACGTTCTTTAAACTTTAATTTTTATTTTTAGATTTAGTCTATCATTTAATTATCTATAAAAAATAACGATTATATAAATAAATAGTTATATGATAAAAATTATTTAGTAAAATTTATCTGAAATTTTTTTAAAAAATAAAAATCATTCTGAGTTATATTTTTTTGTTTTTCTACATATTTAATGCTAAAAAAATCCCACTCTTAAAAAATAAATTACATTTTTTTCAGCTTATCTAAAAAACGTTAATTCAAAATATAAAGAATTATTTTTTTAAAGAAATAGTGATAATTGAAAATCATTGTACGGACTATATTTGTTTAAAAGAAAAGAAAAGGTTAAAAGTAAGTCAAACATGAAATTACAAATTCGATGAATGATTTTTAAATAATTTTAAAATCAGAGTCAGCTTGGTTCATGTAGCCTTATATTTTGCATCTTATATTTAAAAAAACAATTCATGATTTTCGCCCTAAAATTAAGGGAGTTAGCTTTTTCGTCTGATTTTTTTTATAAAAAAATCTATAAATGCTTCTATTCTAAAACAAGATAGAAAATATTAGGTTCTCATCTTATCAATTACACTTCTTCCTTTTTTAAGAAAAAAAAACTTTGTTTTTTTCAAAACTCATACGGTCAAATCTCATTTATTTTTTATTTTTTAATTTGTGCCATTTATGCATCAATATATTTTTTTAATAAATTGTGAAATAAAAAAAATTAAACAAAAAGCACATGTTTACTTACAAATAGAAGTAACGCAATTTTTTTCCTACTAATATCGAAATGAAATAAAATTGAGTGAAATAAATGATTTTTTGCTAGTCTATTCCATAATTCCGTATCTATACAAAGATTGTTTCAATATTTTATGTCATTTTGACCAAAAGTCAGTTCAAAATCCATTGGTGAAATAATAGAATTTTTTTTATTTAAAAAAAGTAGAAAATACAATCAAAAGAAAAATAAAGCGCAAAAATTATAAGGTTTTCAAAATACATAGTGCGAAGTGTAATGATACCTAAAATAGAGGATCGTAAAAATAATTAAAATGAAACATCCAATGCCGATGGTACGAGGAAATTTCAATTTCCCTCCAAAATCCCAAACACTTGAAATCGAAATTTTCCCTCCAAGATTCCGAAACCGCCCTTATCGTTAACTTTTACACTTGTCTGCTATATTTAAATCCAAACATGAAATCCATCTCTCCCCATCTCCCCAATTCCCATCTCATCAAGTCACTCCCTCTCCGAATTCTCAAATTCTTCCCATCAGATCCCCGTTTTTTACTCTCTTAAACCGTCCATGGCAGCTTTCAAGTCCGCTCTCTCGTTGAGTTCAATTAACGGCGGCCATGGTAAGGGCGGAGAAGTACATGTCATCATTGGCCCCATGTTTGCTGGCAAAACCACCGATCTACTCCGTCGTATCAAATCTGAAGGCAGCAGTGGCAGGTTTGTCCTTTTTTTTGGGTTTATGATCTACAATTGGAAAATCAAGTTTTTTTAAAATTTGCAATTTTGTGTTGTTGTTGAGTTCAATCAAATATTTGTCTAGGTTAGTTTAAGTATTAGATATACAAGAGGAAATTTCTAATTTTAATTTTTGAAAATAATGCTCTTAATTACTATTATAATTTACGTAGAAACGTGGCAATGATAAAATCAAGCAAGGATACAAGATATGCAAAAGATTCGGTGGTGACACATGATGGCTTGAGATTTCCTTGCTGGGCTTTGCCAGATCTCACATCCTTCCAACACAAGCTTGGAAACGATGAATATCAAAAGGTACCTATTTTAGTCTTCTGATTCATTTATTTGACAATCGGATCCAAACAAGGATTTTTTTTATTTTTAATTACTGATTGGATATTGCTGACTAATTAATGGGTTGTGGAAAGACAGGACAATAAAATTTGCTTCTTTTTTTTTTTTCATATCGTCTAATGATATGTCGGCTTTTTATCGACAGCTTGATGTAATTGGCATAGATGAGGCTCAATTTTTTGAAGACCTTTATGACTTTTGTTGTAAGGCTGCTGATCATGATGGGAAAACTATAATTTTAGCTGGCCTTGATGGGGATTATTTGAGGTGTTGCTCAGACTATCTTTCATAGTAATTTCTGTTGTTTGAGCTGAAGAGCTCTTTCATGTAAATTAGCATTTGATTCGATGGGAAAATTACCTTCGTTTGACAGGAGAAGCTTTGGATCTGTGCTTGATGTGATACCCCTTGCTGATACGGTAACAAAGCTGACTGCAAGGTGTAAACTTTGTGGCAAGCGAGCCTTCTTTACCTTGAGGAAGACAGCAGAGACCCAGACAGAGTTGATTGGTGGATCTGATGTCTATATGCCTGTTTGCCGCCAGCACTATCTCAGTGGACAAGCAGTCATACAATCAACAAGGACTGTCCTTGAATCCTGTAAGGTTCAAACTGACTCCCATACTGAGGTAGCTGCAGTTGTGTAATCTGCTGACCTAATCTGGCACCTGGCTTGTTCGTTAATTATCTGTAGACTGTAGTTTATGTACTATGCTAATCTGGAACCTTCATGGTTCCAGTTGAAAACGTCAATGCACTAATCATAATATATTAATTTGGCATGAAGTTTTTACATAAAATCTTTGTTTATTTGCTGGGAAACTCGGTGCTTTTTTTCAGAGTGAATGTTCATTGACAGTGTCAGTTTGGTACTTTGATTCGTCAGTAAGGTAGAATGAAGTGGATCAATCCTCATCAATCAACGTCTTCTGGTATCCTGAGAAATTATAGAATGAGTCAAGTTTAGATTGATAGAATGTTTACGTTGATGTGTTTAAGAAAATTGGGATGGATCGTAACCATCAGAAAAGATGGAAAAGGCCCTATTTGTGAAGATAGAACTCTGGACGCATATATCAATATATCATTCAGGGCACAAAACATCCATCCTTCGTTGCCTTACTCTTGCTTTGACTTATGACCTCAAGTTCAAATACAGCTCTTAATTCTATTGCCAAATATTATCCTTGCACAATGATAATGCTTTTTCTTGGCATTTTCTTTATTATTCTACAAGAGACCATGACTATACTTCCATTGAAAACAAAACGGTGGAAAATCACAAAGGAACGTCTCAAAAAAAAAAAAAAAAAAACACCCAAATCTTAAGATAAAGATAAATTATGCTTTAGCTTCTATAGATTTAGCAATGTTTCATTCTGGGTCACTTTAGTTTAAAATTTCAAAAGACCCAAATCGTAATGGGTGCCAATGTTCAAAGCAGCCACCATTCTTCTTTTCATCCGAAACCCTTGCTGCAGCTGCATCTCTTCCAAAACTCCACAGCCCGACGCCAACCATCAGCCACCCATCACCACCACAACGTGCCTGACCATAGGTTGCTCCACCACCCAGCCAAAGACCAGCTCCCTCACAACCACCACTACCATCTCCCTCACCCCAAACCCGTAACCCGCTGCAACTCTTCCCAAACTCCTCGCCCATTACTGATCTTCACATCTCGAAACCAATCCTCTTCACACCCAAAGACTAGCTCCTTAACAGCTGACATCGAGTCCCAAGTTAAGGAAGCCATGCTCTTTTGCATTAGCCACTTCAAAGAACAAGGCGAGTACTCCCTCTTTCTCACTTGCGAAATTAATGCAATTCTAGGGTCTTTGTTATTGAAGTTGGTGTAATTTAATTATGTTTGGGATTTGATTAAGAAAGAAAGTGAATGATATTGTTTGGTGCTTAAGGGATTGAGGAGAACTGAATAACTGTTGTTGTGCTTGAATTGTAAATTGCTGTTCTTTTACATTTGAGGGAGTGTGGAGACTATTAGAGAAGGAGTTGGGATTGGAGAAATTTGCACTGGATGTGCATAACAGATTTGTCAAGCAGTGTTTATTTGAGGTAATTATTGTCAATCTTCTGACTTCGTCTTTGGTAATTTTACTTATGTTCCTGTCAGTATTAGGCCATACTCATTTGATTTTTACTTCAATTAAAATGTAATTATTAACATTAATTTCTTCTTTTTTTTGGTGTTATTGTATGTTGGTTTAGAATGATGATTCGTATTAAAGAAAACAGACACTTTGTTTTTGTTGACAATGCATCAACAACTACTGTTCAAAAGTTCATTTTGGAACAACTAAATTTGATAAAAAACGTATTATCAGAGATTAAGGTATCATGTTTTTATTTTTCTTTGCATGCTTTTACATCGCTGAATAGTTTGTGACTTGATAAAGATTAGACTGTTTGCTTGAAATACCTTTTGCTGATAATGTTGTTAATAATTTTTACATGTAGAAATTGTACTTTTGGTAAAAGTCAATGTTAGATTATTTGTTTTCTAGCTTAACATCTTCAGTAATCCTTTCCTTAGGTGAAAGATCTTATGAGAAATTCTAAAACTATTGACATGAGTAATTATGAGTTTAAAACATGTATATGATCAATATCATGGAGTTCTTTTCATCTCCTTCCACTCCACTATGTGCTTCTGAGTAAGTTCTATCATGCATGACCTTGGTGATATCGATATGACTGTCTACAACCATGAAACATAGTTGTACTATGAAGATATTTAAATACATCTCCATAACTACATAAGGATTTTATTAAGGAGATGATTGGGTTGATCATTTAAATTGCATTTTTAGGTGAAGTTTAACTTGCTCTTGTCATTTTAGGTGAAATTTGTTTTGTTTAGGATGTTAATTGATTGTGTAGAGAATTTAGTTAGCGTCTCTTTATAAGAATTCTTTATTATCTTTCTGCAAGCAACAGATCAGCTCATTTGGTTCAAAAGCACTAAAGGCTACACAGATCATGATTAATACTATAATGAGACAGTATAAAGGGTATTTTGATGCTGTGAATTGAGATCTTTGTGATGCAAGCCCTAAGAAGGATGAAAAAAATATAGATTTAGAAAGAGCCAAAATATTAAATCTTGTTACAAACATAACAAAATGTAGAACAAAGATAAATTATGTGAACTAGGGATCCTTGCAGCAAATGATAGCGGAAGTCTAGTAACCATTCTTAATGTGTCGTGGAAAGGTGGTGGTCATTTCGCTTCAGCAAGGCAAGAGGGTGTCAAAAGAGATGTTAAGTGCAAAAGATATTATTTTAACCCTAATTTCACTGGTGAAAGAACCTCTTAGGTGTGCAGCTGAGACTTGGTCTTCTTCGCTAAAGGAAAACATTTCTATAACTCAAGCCAGGTGTTAAGCACTAAAGGCTGCACAAACTGATGACCAAATGCTTAATATTTGTATTTTTAAATGTGTATTGCTTGAATTGACATAATGTTGTTACATACAGCTTAATAAAACAACCGTTTGAATTTTAGATTTTTCTTTTTTTTGGTTTTGTAGTCCTTAGTACAAGTATTTTTTTTTTTTGTTTTAGATTTAAATAAAAACCAAAAGGCTCAGGTCCTTTTGCAAACAATGGTCAAGATTTATGTTGTAAAAAAAATATACTCAGTTCTTTTTTAAGATTGTTTCAAGCATTCATAACACTTCATTTAGGTTTGTTATGCAATTATTGTCAGATAAATCTCTTTCTTTTCCTTATTATAAAGATTGGCACAAGGTAAAGCACAATGTATAAAGAAAACAAGACCAGCCGAATCAATTTAAACTAATTTTTTGGTAAAATAATTCACTTGTGCCAACACTATTAAATAATAATAATAATAATAACTATCCGAAACATATAATGTTGCTACATCCTCAGCCCAGCGTGAGAACGTAACTAGTAGCCACTCCTGTGGTTATATCCTCGTATTGATATGGGGTAGTACCCATATCTTTTATCTCACATCTGCGTTAACAAAAACCGTAGAAGTCCAAACAGGAAATAGTAGGCCCATTAATCAACAAAATAGCCCAAACTTCGGATTAAATAATCGGGCTAGGCCCAGAATACTGAAAGACTGACACGTGCATAAATACATTCGTTTAACAAAAACGGAAAGGAAAAGGAAAAGAGAGATTAGGTTTTGATACGTAGCCATATCACGTCGCTTCGATGCTTAACCCGTCGTTTTGAAGCAGTTTCTTCTGCTCGTAGCGTGAGGAAAAAAAATCAGAACTCTCTCTCCGTCGTCGTTTTGCTAAAATTTGGCCCCCTCTTCTTTTTCAGGTTCGTAATTCCTTATGTTCCCCTTCGTTTTTCATTTTCTCGGCAGCCAAGCGGACGATTAGCGTGTCTGTAGTTTCAGTTGTAATTATTAATACAAACAAAAGTCTAGGTTTAAATAAGTAAAGAATGGATGTACTGAGAGATATTTTTGCTGAAAGGAATATTTTAATTTTAGCTTAACAAGAAAATTGGAGAATTAGGTGCTCTTTAAAAGTCTTAATTCATTAACTTATTACTATACATTCAAAAAAATGAATATTGTAACTGCATTTGGAATGGAAATTAGTTGTTAAAAAGAGCATTTTGATGGTCAATGGAGTTGCAGTTGCTTTATGATTATTTATTGTTGTATTTGCTGGGAATCAGTGAATGGATACGAATCCTGGACCGATTGATGGTTCTATACTGTATGATCAAGACAAGCATGTCTCCTCCGCGGTTTGGGATGGCCAGGTGCTTTTCTGATAGTGTTATTAATAAAGCATATTGTGGTTCTTGTGTAATAAGAGTTTGTTTATGTGTTGTTCAGGAGCGTGGTGCACTAAGATGCCATGAGCACACGTCGAAGTTGGGTGAGTGGAAGCTAACTCCTAAGCAAATTGAATTGGTGGAGAAAGCAGGATTTGGTTACTTGAGAAAGATTCCGGCCATTAGTCTTGACAATCCTCTAATCTCGGCGCTTGTTGAGAGGTGGAGGAGGGAGACAAATACGTTTCACTTCACTGTTGGTGAAATGACTCTTACTCTTCAAGATGTTGCGTTGTTGCTGGGACTTGCCATTGATGGGAAGCCTGTTATTGGAATAACACATACTACTTGTGTCTCAGTTTGTGAAAGGCTTCTTGGGAAAGCACCGGATTCTAACTATGCAAGTGGTGGGATGGTGAAACTAAGTTGGTTGAAGGAGTTTTTTTCTCGTTGTTCTGAAGATGCACCAATTGAAGAGGTTGAGCAATGTACTCGTGCTTATCTTCTGTACCTTGTGGGTAGTACGATATTTTCTACTACCACTGGGAATAAGGTTCCAGTAATGTACCTTCCATTGTTTGCAAATTTTGAAGAAGCTGGCGAGTATGCATGGGGAGCAGCAGCATTAGCTTTCTTGTATAGAGCACTTGGCAACGCATGTGTTAAATCTCAAAGTACCATTTGTGGTTGCTTAACACTACTACAGGTTAATTTTCTTTATATTATAGCTATCCATTGATTATTTTGGAGTTTGCTGCGTCCTTTATTTATTTATTTATTTTTTTAGGTAGGATGGGTGGTGGAAGGATTTCTTTTCAGCAACTGATTTCGTTCGACGGTAATAGTCCTCAGATAGATTATTGGTATTGACTGATTCTTGCTTTCTGTAGTGTTGGAGCTACTTTCATCTGAATGTGGGCCGACCAAAGCTTAATCGGGACCCCATCCATGATCATTTTCCATTTGTACTCAGATGGAAGGGAAAACAAAGTGGGCCAACAACAAACCGTGATGTAGTTTTCTACCGCAAGGCACTGGACTCATTGAAACCAACTGATGTAGGTTTCACTGCTTTCAGTTCAGTTCTTATTCGACTTACTGAATAAATCTAATGCAACTGACATGGTGTTGACATGTAGGTGGAGTGGCTTCCATACAAAATTATGGACAGTACTGTAATACCGAAAGATATAAAAAATACTTTGATTTTAGGGAGATCAAAGACTATGCTCATATGCTTTGACAAGGCAGAAAGACACCTTCCTGATCGTTGCCTAAGGCAATATGGTATGCTTCAACCAATTCCAGAAGATGTGGAGAGGTGGCTGAGAAAGAGTCGAGGAGTTGATGGTGGGGTTGACTTGTCTGGGAAAATGGAGGCAGAGCTTAATGAATGGATGGATCGTCAACTCCATATCGTGGATGGTGATGATGGTATAAATGAAAGCGACTACATGCAATGGTACTGGAAAATCACGCGCAAAGTTGTTGGAAGGCCTATATCTCTCTCATCTGAGTTCCAAAGGACGGTAGGGCGATGCTCAAACTTCAATTTCCTATTACATCTATTTGTGATATAATCTTCAATGTTCTTTTCTTTAACTGTGGCAGATCTCTGGTTTAAGGGAAATTGCTTATTTAGCAGATTCATTCTCAACGAAAGGGTTGGATGGACAACAATTTGAGTCAATTTCAAGGATCAGGTTTATTGCACAGGACTGTTTGAGGGACCAGATTGAAAGTCCAGTTGCAACTTCAGTCCCCCCACACATTGAAATAGGTAAAAGGTCAAGGGGGAAAGAGAGGGTAAGAAGGAAAGGCTCTGGGAAACGCAGGAGAAAGGATGATCTAATGGAATATCAGGAAGCAAGTGAGGATGACCAGCCTCAGTTTTATGGTGCAGTTATTGGGGCTGATCAGTTACACTTGCATCAGGCGGTTGTCGAGGTTGGTCAGTTACAGTTATGCCAGGCAGATGATAGTTTTGATCCTCAACAACTGTCTCATGCAGCTGGTGAGGATGATGGTGAAGACCTACAAAATATGGATAATAAGGAAGATGATGCAAAGCTTAGCAATGCTACAAAGGACATCATTGACTCTCAGCCTTGTAAAGACAATAACACTGTGAATGACTCTCAGCCTTGTCATGCAACTATTGAGGTTAAGGACAGAAAAATTTACGGTGAGGCAAGTAAAGGGGTCGATGATTCCCAGTCTTGTGAGCCAACTAATAAGGCGAGTGACTCACAAATTTGTCAGGCAACAAGAAGTGATGTTCATGATTCTCAGCTTCATGATGCATCTGACAAGGTCAGTGACTCACAATTCTCTGATGCAACAATCAATGAGGTTCAGCACATTGCCGCTATTGATGAGGTTGATGGGTTGCAGCTTTCTGATGCAACAAAAGGGGTCAACGATTTACAGCTTCCTGACACGAATGGAGGGCTTAAAGACTCACAGATTCCTGATGCAACCCAAGAGGCAAATGACTCAGAGCCCCCAGATGCAACTGCAGAGATGAATGATTCGCAGCTCCCTGATGCAACTAAAGAAGCTAACGACTTGCTTCTCCATGTTGAAATTGAAGAGGCAAAAGATTCAGAGCTTCCTGATACAAAAGATAAGGTCAACGATTCAAATCTCTCTGATGCTGCTGATGATAGTGATCAACCAAAAGCCAAAGCTGCAATAGAGGATGTTCCAGCATCTCTTGAAACTGCTGAGGATGTTGCAAAGCAGGGTGTTAAAAGTGTTGGAGCATAAAATGAAGGCATTATCATGTTAATTCTTCTGTAGGTACTCTTAATATGCTTGCTATTTAATATATGATGTTCATTGTATCTTTAACTGAAGTATTTTGATGTTCTCCCTTGCATTTCCTTGCAGATTCATAAAGAGTAAAATGTTCATTTTATTCTGACAGGCAGCTCAAGACTAACACCATCAGTGTTCCAAAAATGGGGGACAATCAGTAGTTGTAGAAGAACACTTGCACCGTTATCAGTTGAATGTTCTGATATCCATGATACCATGTAGCTTATAGAATCATTAATATAGGGACATTGAAAGTTGTGTTTCAATTGAGAGATTCACATTATGTTCTGAAGATGCTCATCTGGTGTTGATATCTAATCCATCTAGTAATTTACTAAATCAGCTTTATGCTTATCTCTTCATAATGTCCAATATTTGATTGAGCATGATTTGGCTTTTATATGCATGGTGATATGCCGTTCACAAAATTTAGTGTTGCAGTCTATGTGTGTCTCCTTCTCTTGATTATGTTGCACTTTCATTCTTAATATTTAAGTTAGAGAAGCATCTCATAAAAATCTTCTCTTTTATGTTTGCAAATTATTGCTATTGCTTGTTTGGTATGGTTTGTAAGGCTATTTTAGAGATTGAGGTGGCATTATTTCTCACTGCTCCACAGTTAAAATTCCTGCTTATGATGCAAATCATCAAATAACAACTACTGTATTCCGCTCTTAAGTTTTAATGCCTTCATGAATTGAGGGACAAGTTAATTATTTGATAAAGGTGCAGTGCTCCATGCTGTTTGTTTGGATGCTGAGATTTTTTTGACATGCCTTGATGCTTTTTATCATCTCTTGCTACAAGTGGTTTTCAACAATTAAGCTACTGTGAACTTAAAAAGTTATGTAATTTTAATTGCAACTATTAGCTGTTCAGGCTCCGTTTTATAAACCATTCCAACGACCATTCAAATTGGTTGAATGATAAAAAGGGCAATTCTGGCACTGCCTTGGGGTGGCAAAACCTTCACAAAAACTCTACAATGTGACTATAGATTTGACACATACAGAAATTTTAAGTTCTTCCTACAATGGCTTTTGTAACAGAACTACTTCATTGTCATGGATCACTCTCATAATATTGTTTCTGTGCTGTACCTTACCAGGATTTCTATTGAAGGCATTGGCTTTAATCATATATTCTTTTACCATTTTTTTTTCCCTTCATGATTATATGACATGTTTTCGCAATTGATTCTTCATTACTCATCTTCATTTCCGTACATCTCATGCTGTCTTCATCCTACGACATCGGTTTGCCCCATACGCTGGGGACACCTGACTTTCTCTTGGATTTTCTACTTCCAAACAAGGTAATCTGGCGAAAGATCTTCAGTAACTTATTAGCATACTTTCTTTGTGAAGCAAAATTCACAGAACCAATGCAACCTGCAACATGTCCAAGTGGGTTCCTAGTCTTGCTTAGAGATCTGCTTTGCACACTATACGGTTTCATGATCTGTGTCTTGGTTGGCAATGTTTCTGTTTTCTTTGAAGTTTTTTGTAATTGAAGGCTCTTCTTCAAGGAAAACAGCTCTTGTTCAAGGTTCTGAATTCTAAAGCTTGTGGACTCATATTCTTTTCTAGAGAGCTCACATCTTTGCACTGCAATGTCCTTTTGTAGCAAGAAACTCAATGTTCTACTGCCTGGCCCTGCTCCATCCGTATATGGGCTGTCTGCTAGATATTGGCTTTTGGCGTTCGGACATCTCGAGCTTGAGAGACTCCCAGAGAACTCTCCACATTGTGCATATCTAAACGAGTCCGAGCATTCTTTAAATGCTTGGTGTGTATTCAGCTGTTGCACAAAAAGAGCCTGGACAATCAAACGCAATGGCATCATCTCATTTTGAACTGCGTCAATGCATGCCCACTGTGATAGTTTTTGGCAGTTCAGGTATTTGCAGACAGCCCCCTTTTCTTCTTGGGATATGTCTAGGTGTGCCTGGAGAAGCAAAGATGACACAACATTAGTGTGTAAATAATTGAAACGTGGCTTTGTCAACAATGGTAAGTAACTGATAACATTTAGCTTTGATTTGAGGCATGATGAAGTTTGTGAAAGACTTACCTCCAGGAAAGTGTTCAATGCTCTGTACAGTTGATCATGGCTCTGTCTGCAAGACATCGGTACTGTTTCAAAGAGTTCCATGAATCTTTTAGGACTCATTTTGGGATCAGAAGCAATATGGGAGAGATATGTATCCCATAATTCTGCTACAATTGAGTTACTGGCTGAAGGAGTATGGTTTGTGTCCACGTTCAACGATATATATGCTGAAAATATGCTCTCCATAGTAGCTAACTCCATACTGGAACAAATTGAGTCAACTCCGCTGTTTGGAATGAGTAAATCTTCCACTTGGGCAAAGTGTAAAAGAGATGCAATCTGATCTTGCAACTCTACCTTGCGGTCATTTCTTAGACCAATGTCAATGGATGTAGAAAGCAATGCAAAATAAAAGCCAACAGGAATCACTCTACTGGCCTTCTCTCTCATTGGCAGCAAATCCAGTACACCTTGAAGTATCGTTGAAACTTTATCATTTGCCTTGGGATCACTAGTTCTCTCACCAGAGCTCTCCCAGTATTGCATTGTCTTCTTAGAGAGTACCCATTTGTTTGCATAGAAAACAACAATGGGGCTCACATATTTTTCTTTCATTCCTTGCCTCCTCAAGGATCCTATTATCCTTTTGAAGAATCCAAATGGTAGAGCAATGAGGTCTTTGATCCAAAGCTCGTGGCTCACAATCTCCTTGACAGCTTCACAGCTCCAAGCTTGGCCAGCCAATGCCTCCAATGTAACAACTGGTTTGTCTCTTCTCCTCTCTGGGTCAAGAATCTCCATGCAAGCCATGAAGGCTAGGGATTCAATGCAGCGGCTAACAATCAGCAGCTCTTCAGACCATGGAATCAATGTTTGACACCTTTGGAGAACGACCAAGGTATCGTCCCAATTTTGTAAGACAACTTGGTTTAAATAGCGATCAAATCGCTCACAGAGATTGCCAGAGCAGAGTTCTTCTGTCATTTCAAGGAACTCTGCTGCACATCGCAGGGCTGCTACATTAAAAGGATCAATCAATGTGGAAGAGCCATACATGAATAAAGCAATCATCTCAAAGGTTTCTGGTCCTCCGGGGAAAGTCTGCGGCAGATCAAGCTCTGTTGTTTCGATCAGTTGTCTCTTAAAGTATCCACTTTTTGAAAATAAGGGGTTCTACAAATAACAAAAAGAAGCAAACTCAAAGGTAAGCTTACTAAACCAGAAGTTACTCTGAAAAATCACTAACAATTATGTTCATCGTCACAAACTAAGGCACGTTATCTTATAGATTCCAAAGAGAGCAGACAGGCCTGCTTTCCATGGACGAAAGTGGTTACACAAGTGGTCAATATATGTTATCCTTTCGTTAACATCATTACAAGCCTTCAAAATCTTAACTGGCTCAGAAAATTGAATTTTCTGGCCGTCATTTGTCTGTGTCGGTAGAGTAGCTTCCACAGACACAGAAGACAGCCTTTACTTGGACTAAATGTATCACATTCATCATTCTTACCCTGTGAAGGTGGAATGTTCTCGCACCAACTCGAACACAAACAGAAACAGGCAAACCAGTTTCTTGACTCCTGGAACAAAATCCAAAATATATCAGCCTCTCAAAGACATTAGATGACATAGCATGTTGCTAACACAAATTAAAACTCTAGGACTAGCATTTCTTACCATGAGATGATCTTAATCTTCAACAGGGCGGTAACATTAGGTGAAGAGAAAGGACTTGAGGCTGATGAACTATCTTTGGGGCTTACGGCTTCCATTAGCATAGCTCATGAAATTGATTTCAAAGCCTAATTAATACTACTGATAGCGAAAACTGTAGAAATCAATCTGGGCTGATGTTACTGCAAGTACAAGCATCTGCTTCTGATCTTTAACTCTCCTCCAGTGCCCATAAATGCTTGAAACCTGTCTCAAGAATCGAAGTAAAGAGTAGAATAAGAGCTTCTAGAATCCAGAAACCAGTGGGAATATTGGGATAGAATCAGAGAGTAAAAAAAGGTGGTTTGATCGGTGTGTCCACACGCCACAGAACACTCGTGCATTATTTTTGTTTTTCTATTCTGGTCAAAAGTCAAATTCACACGAGTGAACAACTCAAAATCCAAATTTTAAGGCTTCAACAACGTTCCTCGAGTGTGGAGAAGTTGAATTCCAGTACTACAACTCTCAGCCTCAGCCAGTAGAATATGGTAGAGTAAACCCTCTCTTATGCATGCTTGCTTAGCAAGTTTTTGTGTCTAGCTGAGATCTCATCAACTCTGTCTTTCGTCTTTGTTTTGGATTAATAAATTATGGTTTAGTTTGATTATCTCAATGTACGTTTTGTTTAATGTTAATGGCGATAATGATCCTTTTGTGGGCCAACAAAAAGAAACGGAAGCATGATGGTGATTTATACGTCAGTAGATAATTAAGCTAACCATTACTATTTGAATATATAGGGAGTATGGAGAAATGAGAAGAGTGTGTTGGGGAAGTAGAAAAGGGGAGATTTATGATATTAGGAAAGTGAATAAATTATGGTCAATGGGAGAGGTGAAGTGCGGATCAAGTTTGTTTTGTTTACTTTTCTCCACTTTTCTCACCATGCTAACTCCCAAGACGGCACGGCTTCTGAAAATTCGGGTGCTTTGGATGGAGCATGGAGGGGGCTTTGCTTGCTTTCTTCTGGTCAATCTCAAACCCCAAAGTTACTTTTTGTACAATTTGACAAGGGCATTATTGCATATACCAAGAAGCAAGAGCTAATTAGTCTAGTTTAACTAGATAATTATAATACCCATCTCCATCTATATGTGGATGTAGATGGAGAAAGTGCTCCTACATGCTGCTTGTACATACATACTTACTACAGGAGAATGAATGTATGCATGGTTGCATGCATATAGGCCATATAGCTAGAGTATATACTAGCAGAGTAATTTTTTTTGCTTGCTTATATACGTACTTGGTTGTTTTGGTTTATGTGCTGGTTGCTTCTTGTTGAAATATGAGTTCCATATACCAAACGGTCAGCAACCATAACACCTACCTACAGTTTGGATCCTTAACTATCTATGAATTGTTAATTTTATTTTACATCCGAAAAGGTGGTATTCTTTTAGTTTAGATCGTCGAGGAGATTGATTCTTCCAATGATTCAATCCCAGTTAACACCCGTAAGTGGTAACCCTATGGTTAAGGGCATAGAACATGCATGCTTTTTTTTTTTTAATGTGATTTTTATATTTTTATTTATCTCCTTTCTCTATTCTTAAATTATTATTATTATTTTAATATGGGTTCTCTTACTGGTTTAGGTAGCATGACACGGTAGATTAACTTTCGACGTGAGAGAAATTAAAAAAACAAGAAAATTACGAAACAACTCTCAGATTAGTTTGCCACTCTCTTTCTCTGCTTCGCTCTCTGTCTTCTTCGAAGTCTATTTTTCTTTTCCCTCAGTGCAAAGTTGCCAGCCTTCTTAGATTAGTTCTTCTTCCACATTCAAGACGACATGTCATCTGTTTTTGGATGGAAGCTAGCGATCGTCCTCTCAGTCGAGCTCTGTTTTTTTGCTCATTTTAGATTTCATTTCTCTTCTCCTCCTGAAACTTTATTTTCTCGTAGAAGATCTTCATTTTCTTGTGAAGATGTCATCTTCAATGGCTCGCCTAAGATTGTGTTTCTTTTTCTTGTTAGATGGGACTTGCCTTTTGATTTTCTCTAGAGAAGCTTCTTCAAGGTAATTTTTATTAAAAATGGCATTTTTTTTTTAATTGTGTTTTTGAGTTTTATGTCAATATTTGGAAAAGTTGATGGAATTTGAAAATTGAGTTTCTATTTTTAGGTTGTGATTTGAGTTTTCTATCACTTGCGAAAATTATGGAAATAGCAAACATGGTATTTACGAATGTAATTTGAGTTTTCTTTTACTTAATCAAGAAAATTAACAGAATTTGGGAAAGGAGTTTTCATTTTTGTTTGTTTATCCTTTTGTTTTAGCCCACAAAAAGATAAGCCAACTCAAACTCTCTTTCAGGTATATTATCAAACACCTTTTTTTCATTTATTATTTTTTCATGAATTATCATAAGCACATTCAGGCTTTTCATGTGGAGTTTCATGAATTATCAGACTTGTTAATTTGAATAGGCGTTGCATGGCTGTTGAACTTGGTACATGCTTCACATTGAACATGAATGAATAAAGCTGTTTAAGAGCAGAGAGGTTGCCCAACCAATCTGCCAGTGCTTTCTCAAATTCCTCTCCTTTGAAATACCTTATCTTTTAGGGTTTAAGATTTAGGATTTAGAGTTTTAAGGTTTAGAGTTTTAGGATTTTAGTGTTGAGGGTTCAGGCTTCAAAGGAAGTGAGGTGTTGAATCAATCATAGGCAAGGAGCTAACTACGGTAAGGGGCTTTGTCTTGGATGCATTGGGCTGTTTTAAATCATTTTGTAAGGAAACACTTAAGTGATTTAATGCATTTCATTTTAAACTATCTGTACTATTGAAATCTGTTGGTTTTTTAATCGGATTGATGAGGTTGGTTATCCATGTGTGATAAATGCTTGTTGAAAAAAGAAAGATCGGAAAATTTAAAGAGAAGGATTAGAAAATTTGAGAGGTGATAGAGGATAATTTCGTAAGTTACCTGAATTTTTTTTTTCACATGGTAAATTAATATAACGTGTCATGTTACGAGAAATTTTTTATGCCAGCTATCAGCTAAAAAAACAATCGGAGGAGCTATATTAAAAAATTCAAGAGTTAAGAAAAATGATGAATAAAAACAAAATACAGGAGTAAGAAAATCAGAAGAGTAGACAGACGTTTTGCGCAGTTAAAACGGTAGCACTACAATGGCTTAATTTCAAAGTTAACTGGAGCAACTGCTTAGGGTTTTTTAACCTCTCAGGTGGAAACTCTCCCCTCGGTTGCTAAATTCTCGATTGATTTCCTTTCTTTTCATGATCAGCAGATGATAGTTTCCAGTCATTCATCCTTCAAACCAATAAGCAGATCGGCAAAATTTTTAAAATTGGTTTCTTGATAGACTCTAAATAAATAGGAGTAATGTATTGAACATATGTAGTTCACTATTCTTTCATCGAATATCGACGCAGCCAAAAAGCTCGTGCTGTGGAAAACGGAAAAGGGAGTTCCAGGATCAGTAACATTTATATATATATATATATATATCCTCCGACGTGCAGGTAAATGCAGACTTTTGGTTTTCGTTGTGTACAGAGCGCTTCAATATGACCGCTCACATTTGCACTTGAGAACACAGTATCTGCAGTCTGCAGAATGGCTGAACACATAATGCTAATGGATCCATTTAACCTGTCGTCGTTCCAGTTAGCAGAGCATTCTTCAGGCCATTAGTGGCACATATTTGAAGACCTCCAGATAAAAAAATAATAATAAGAAAATTGACTGCAAATCATTTATTAGTTAGGACAGCAGATTTACGTTAATAACCAATTACCAGAATGATTTAACCTATCTAGACAGACAACATTTCTACGATTGTTGCTTTCAATTCAACCTAGTTCTATCCAGCTAGGTAATAAACATCAGGGAAGAAAATGGACTGATAGTTACAGGTAGGTCAAAGCTCCACCTTCGGTCGAAACCCATGATTGTGATTCAGACGGAAGTCAATGGCTAACTTGAGACATATGGTTCACCTGAAATGTCATCAAGCAGCGACAGGTTCTATTTCGTCATTATTGACCTCTGAGAAGAAGGGGTCCTTGAGAAGATCAGAGGCCGAAGGTCTTGCTTTTGGCTCAGCTATACACTTCAATATAAAAGCCTTCACTTCAGGATCAGCCACCTTGTTCAAAGCTTGAGGCTTTACTCCAGAGGTAACCTTCTTGTATATCTTGGCAACATTATCACATTCACTGTATGGTATCTCCATTGTCACCATTTCAAGCAAGCACATTCCAAAAGAGTATATGTCCACCTTTTCAGTGTAATCTTCCTCATAGAGTTCTGGCGCCATAAACTCCGGTGTGCCTAAGATCGAATGCGCAGTATGGCTTTTCCCCACTATTGTTGCAAACCCCAGATCCCCAATTTTCACCTGATACACAGAATTCATACTACTTTTAACCTTACAGAGTCATAGAATTTCATTTCCAGTAAAAAAAAAAAAACACTAGGAATCTCCATCATCCGAAACACAGTTTGAAAGGTAATTACCTGACCACTGTTCCCATTGACGAATATGTTACTGCAATTCAAATCTCTGTGAATGACACAAGGATCATGCATATGAAGATATTCCAACCCCTCAAGGACCTGCTTAGACCACTTCTTCAAAGCTTTCAAAGACACATGCCGATGTTTCTTCCTGTAATCTCTTAAATTTCCAGAAGTACAAACCTCAGTAATAAAATTGAGAGAGCTATCCTCTTGATCCAACCAAACACTGTAACAAACAATGATGTACTTGTTCTTCAATGTTCTGAGTAACTGAACCTCGGAGTGTAACCGATTGATGAGTACAGGATCTTCGATAAAATTCCTTAACCGCACCTGATTCCAAGCCACCTCTATACCTTCCTGTTGATCGAATGCTCTATAAACCTTCTTCACTGCACCAGCACCTAGCAGATCATTGTAGCGTCCGAACCGACCTGTCGGATCAACCTCCACAAAAGGTTCATCGTCTCTATCTGATGTATTGCTTCTTGCTGCCGGCATCTTCAAAGACCAAAACAAGTAGTTAATATATTAATAATTATTACACAAATTAAAAAAAAAAACAATTTTGAACGTCAATCATCATAATTAAATCAAATACCTAGTTAATTAGGGTTTGAGTGAAAATGGGCAAAAAAAAAAAAGAATTACAGAAGAGATTGGAATAAGTATGATTCTGAAATAAGCATGTAGGAGATTAGATTGAGCAGCTGCTGATAGATGATACATGAAAAGCGAGTTCAAGTGACTCAGTGAGCGAGATCAGGTGGAGTACCTTGCTTGAGATTACGAGAAACAAGGAGACAGATATAGTTCGTCGTGAAGGAACCAAAACCCTGACCAAATGCTTCAGATACTTATACTCGCAAACCGGGTTAAGCGGGGTATCATTTTTTTATATAAACGACGTCGTATTTTGTTCTTGTTTTGATTTTCAACGCCCGAGCTATGACGTATTGACATTAGCTATAGTTCCGTGTTAAATAGCAAATTGGCCGCGTAAATAAAACCGCAAAATCTACGCAAGACCGTAACCTCTGTTCACGTCATTGCAAAATAATTGTAGATAAAAATGGAAGAGTGAATACTGAAAATAAATGCGTAGAATAACAGAAGTTCAAATGTTGAAATGTTTATTTTCAGTAACTAATCTAATTTTATCGCAGCTAAAAGAAACAGGTGATAACAGTATCTCATTTAAAGTATTACTACATATAAGACGAGATAGATTTAAATTTGATAAGGAAACCTGTTTCGAAAATTCTCTGAAGCATTAAAAAAAAAAAAAACATATTACTTGTCAAAATCATCAATGCTGGTAGATTTTCTGGCAACAGGAAGCTGGAAATTCTAGAGCTAGCTATCCAGCGGTAAAGCAATTAAACTGATGACACATATTATACCCGTGTTGTTGATTTAAATTCATGACTCTAGATGTATCTGAGCTTTGTTTTCCGATCAATAAAAAGCGAAGGAGTTTGAACGTGGAACCAACCATGTTTATTGCCCTCTTTCATGGGGTACCCGTGCTTGCCCAATGCGCTAGTACCGAAACATTGAATCTCAGTACGACTTTCTAAAACCATCTTGCAACTTGATTTTGCTTGTCCAACAAAATCCAAGTAAGATTGCTGGCAGAAGGAGAATATCATGGAGTGCAGTTGGCAACCAGGAATATAAAATGTGATGCTGCTTAGATTGACAGCGTGTTATCTCAACTGGACCTTAACAGGACAATTGACAAGCCCTTGGTCAGTCACCTGCAGGAAAGTGCATTTGCCTCTGGATCCCACTAAAATAAGTGAAGGCCATCATCAAAATAATTAACATTTGGCCCAGAAGATGTAAAAAGTCGCTTCCCATGGTGACCCTCCAGAACTAAAAGGAAAGGATTGCTCCAACCAGTCAACCGCATTTCAGTGGTGGCACACAAACAGAGGTTCTAAGTAGGAAGTTTATTAGTTAAGCTAAGATTATTGTAAACATTAAGCACTGCAGTCTGCAGTGTTGCATTAACAATGAACTCATTTTCTACATTTTCCATTCATCTTTAGAACCATATTTGCTAACACCTTAATGAATGAAACATAAAACATGACACCAGCCTCGTAATCTGACAGTCGTATTAACCGGCACCACTGGATTGTTGTTTGGTTGCAAGGGCATGTAAATGTGACTTGTAATTTCAGAAGCACCTTTTGATTTGGTTAAACCAGAACTTGAAATACCAAAATGAGATTAATTGGCTTCTAACAAACAACAAATTAGAAGTCTTTCCTTCAAACCCCGCACAAGCGCAGGCGCACAAAAAAAAAAAAAAAAAAAAGAAGAAGTAAGAGCAGACTGAGGAGTTGCTGAATACTAATTTGCCACATGAGACATCGTTCATAATCTCTTCTTTTCATTAAACCCACAAGTCATACTATATAAACAGAGGGAAAAAAACAATAACAAAGGTAAATTTTCCTTTCCTAAGAGACAAAGGGCATCATTGAGAGCTAATAAATACTGCCATTAAACAAACGCTTGCAGCATAGAACACAATTGAAAAGATACAGTTTACCAAGGAGGATTAGAATTCTCCCTTACAGAAGGTGACCTGGAACTCATGCTCCCATCTCTTCCAAACCTCGAGATACTCCTTCCACTCTTAGGAGTACCGACTCCAGGGCTTGCCCCTCTATAACTGGCACGAAGGGTTTCATCTACAGAGGATGAAGACCTAGAAATTGCATTCCTCACAAACTTCTGTGCAGCAGGAGATAGCGTTCGTACACTTGGACTAGCACTCCCCCTCCACTTGGAGAGGGCAATGGTGGCTTTTGAAACATCTTTGACTTCTCCCTCAACCTCCGTGCAGCCTCCCTTGATAACGAATGGGCCTTCACATCCCGTGCAGGTGGATTAGGGATTTTAAAATGCGGCCCATTGCCACCACCCCCAATATCAATCGGAGTATCCTCAGGTTCCAACCTCAATGGTGTCCCTTCAATCTCACCCCAAGTAATAAATGGTGACTCATCAACTCCGGGAGCCGGTGAAGGTGTCCTAACAAAACTGTACCCATTATCTGCCTTCTTCCCTGATTCCACATAAAACCTATCTGGTGTCCTCCTCAAATCCTCCAAATCATACTTCTTCCCCTTGTCCCCATCTCTATCATGCATAGGAAGTGGAGTAGCCCCAACTACTGGGGTATAAAGCACCTCAACATCACCGTCGTCCTTTGGCCTAGTATCCAACATTTTACCATGAAAACGTGTATTAGGCCTATTAATTTCCTTAGTCAAACCCTTCAATCTAGCAACCTGTTCCTCCTCAGTCAACGGAGCCTCGCCCCTATCTGCTGGATGATACATAAGCAAATTCTTCGCCGTGTAATTCCACCCTTCCAATGTGCTTGGTGGCTGATCAGAGGTTCCAAAACCATCCGTAATCCTATCCCTCTTTGCATCCCCAATCATTTTAACATCCTCCTTTTCACCTTCTAACAAATGCCCATATCTCTCCTTCCTTTTCCTATTCACTTTTTCTAATATCTTTGAAAAACTATCGTTATCCTCACTCGTGTATCTCCTAAAAAAATCGTCTAAACTCAAATTCTCAACAGCATTTTCATTCTCACTAGACTCTGGGTTACTAGATAATCCCCTATCCGTAAGAACGCTAGGTGTTTGCATTCTGCTATCAAATTCATCAAATGGAGTGAAATTTCGTATAAAAGTAGAACCTGGGGTTTGGGTTTGGGTTCGATTTCTAGTCCAAGTGCTACCATCAGAATTGGGATTATTTGCCTTCTTGCCACGGCGCTCCATAATCTTCAACTGGGCATCTCGAATTTGGATCGGATCGCCCGTTTTCATAGCTTCGAGCCAATCAAGACGGTCACGGAGCTTCGAGATATCAGGGAAGAAGTCGCGCTCGATGATTTTCTCGATGGCGGCCACATAGCTGTCCTCGTCGAGAACTGTGGCTCGTTTTCTAGGGTTTATCGGGGTGCTGTGGATTGAGGTGGAACTGTTGGAGATTTGAAGGGTCTCTTCGGGATTTGAGGATGGTGACGGAGATGAAAGGTGGCGTGGTGAGTGCCCTGGAGAGAGCAGCATGGTAGATTAGAATGAATTAGGGTTAGGTTTTTCCCGAGAAATTAATTTGAAAGTTGAGAGTTTCTGTGATCGAATTGGGAAATTTTGGGGGTTAGGTATAGGGTTCTTTCACCTTTTGAAGATCGAAGACGGAAAACAGATGCGTGCGTGAATATTGTTTGCGCGTTATGATATTTTTTTTCCCCTTCCTTTTTTGGCTCGGCGTTGAAGAGAGTTGGATATGATCACGATCCAACGGTCATGATGATATCCTTAGAAATAACCGACATAAACAAATGGGGCACGCACGTCAGATTCTCGATATCCAACGGTTAATATTCGAGTTTTGAGGAGGGGGTAAACTTCGTTTTCGCCTTCGTGGACTCATCGATTTTATACTTCGACCCTTGTAATTTAAATATTTTCAATATTATCCTTATTTATTGACAATCTAATGTTGTTGAGTGAACATGCCAGTTGAATTTTGCAATCCATGGCTTTCATCTTAACAGATTAAATGACTTTACAATACATCGTTTTCATGTTAAATAGATTAAATGGGTATACTTGTGAAGCTCAATTTGATATCTTTTAAAAAATAAATCATTGAGTTTACTTTTGTGTTTTGTTAAAATAAAACAATATACATTGTGAGATAGAAACTTGTATTACTTAAAAAGATCACACAATGTAAAGTATATGCAAGAAAACAAATTTACTTGTTTTAATTTTTGAATTTGAAATAGCAATACCATATTGATTACCGATATCCATATAGCAATAGAAACCAATGTTTGAATGTACGGCTTTCTTAATGCTCTTATTACAAATAACATTGGATAAAAAATTACAAAAGATAAAATATTTTTTTCATTTAGTTTATAAAAACAATGCTATCATTTGTATAAACTTATTTGCACTATTCATTAAGAATTATATGCTTTATTTCTTTCACTATGCAATAATATTTTTATAGTTTTCAAACATTTTAAAAGCATTTATTATAAAAGTTTTTATGACATTACATTTTGATTTTTTTAAAGATTGTTTTTTTCTATAATTTTTTTTGTTTCATTTGGTCTCTATTTTTTATTTTATTTTGATAACTTTGGTTCTTGTTTTTTTTCTTTTGATTTTTTAATTAAAAATTTTAAGACAAAAAAACGTTTGGAAATGAACAATTTACAAAATAAGTTTTTAATTAAGAATCCATTGATTTTGACATTTTTTTCTTACGTTATTATAAATTTTTTAGTTAAGAATGTGGATGGAGATAAATAAATAATATTTTTTAATAAAAAATTATAAAAAAATATAAAGAATAACCAATCAAATATAAAATTTTGATTAAAAAATTAAATAAAATTTTATGTAGTCTTGATTTGATATATTTTGATAAATGCATAATATAACACGATATATCAAATTGAAATATTTTTTCTAAAATAATTTTATGTGTTTTTTTCAACTCTGCTACATAACGTGGATAAAAAACTAATTGGATTACGTTTTAAAATCATGATCCAACAATCCATATATATTTTTAACATTTTTATATTTCATAATATGTTAGATCATAGAAACTTTGCTTTACAATTGCAAATTATACATGTTATCGTTGTGTTTACCAACTATATATATATATATATATATATATATTAAAAATTAATACTCTAGGTCTCCTTGGCATGCGAACATGTTTTAATGGTAAGTGTATCATTAAATTAGCTTAACCTATATCGACGAAACTCCTCTACGGTGCATGCGTCAAAAACTCTCTTGTTTTGGAACCTCCATTTATATCAATATAGGAGATATACTCTACAATATTTAAAAAAAGAAAAGAAAAATCAAACATTGCCTTACTACTAAACAACGAGTAACAAAATCTAATGGTAAGGATATTTTTTTTAATTATGTTATTTATATTTTTAAATATTTATGAGGAAGGAAAAAGAAAAGAAAACACAAAACTAAGAAAAAAGTAAAAAGAAATATGAAAAAAACGAACTTCTATCAAATATTCACAAAGCGATGATGTAAAAACTCCTTAAAACTATAATGGTAATATTGAAAACTACAAACATAAAGGTAGAAATGTAAGTTTCATGAATGTATAAGGACAAAAATGGAGTTTACACACACTTAAAAAAAAAAAAATCAAACAATGGATTTATAAAAAAAAAAAAAAAAAGAAGAAAAAATAAATAAAACCAACCAATGGCAAGTTACATGGACACGAACAAAAGCACATATTCCTTTTTCTGTCGAGCAACACAGAATCAATTTCCCTTGCTGTTCTCTACTCATGCTTGTTTTGTCCTCCTCTCTCTCTCTCTCCCTCTCGTACTCAGTCCGTCTGTCTAATTATATATGGATTAGACTTTTCTTGGGTTTCTAACCTTAAACTCTCCAAACCTCTTCTTTCCGACTCACCTACACCAACTGATCAGGGAAAAAGGGAAGGGAAAAAAACACTTCAGTAGTAGCTGGTCGGTTCCCGTTGTGATCTACGGCCTTGATTGAGTCAGGGAATCAGAATTCAAGGGTTTCGCGTGGGAGTGGAACCACTTGATCATCATCATCAAAATAAAAATAAAAATGAAGACTCGGTTATTTTAGGTAATTTGTATGACTAGAGTAGTAGATGGTTTACCTTAGTTATCACTGTATTTATGACTTTATTTTTTAATATTTGTTTTTTGAATTATTTGTGAACTGATTGATGATTTTCTGTTAATTAATATTAATTTTACTCTTGAATTACTAATTATATATATTTTTAAGCTGTCACTTATAAATTGCTTTGTCGGGAAAATGTAAGAATTGAATTCTGGATCCAACAGCTGCTGTTGTTGGTCTTAGCCAAGTTAATTTTTACTGTGGACTGTAAATTTGATTTTCGTTGTATTATCAGAATTGAAAGAATTAATTATTGGAGAAAAAGAAACTGATTTTATGACTTATTTTCGCATCTTTTTCTTGGCAACCAAACAAAAGATATGTAAATGTTTTTTTCCTGGTCTTTAATTAATTATTGATGGAATTTTTTTAATCTATTTGAATTATTTATTTACCATGGAAGAAGAGTACAAGCACTATGAATTAGTTAGATGTTAGAAAAATGATGTGCTAGTGTTCGTAGTTAAACGGTTTCCGAATTGTTTGAAGCAGTATCCTGCTGTGAAACTTTGTGATCTATTATGTTATATGAGAAAGGAATTGTCTTGCTTGTTGGATGATTGAATACGTGGATCATCTTGCTTATTTACTGCAAAAGGAGTGTTGGCGTATGCCTGTTGATTTGTTTGATGGGAGTGTTATTTTACAAATAAAATGTTGACACATATCCTTTCGTGTATAACATGTAAGGCTGCCGTATCTTTTACTTGAAATATTCTAGGAATGCTGAGTTCACAGTGTGGGGTTGGGATAAAACACTCAAAATAACACTCAGAAGAAAAATGGTTATTAAAGTGCTTTCTATTTCAATTTCTACTAGTGCTTGATATAGATACATATTTGCATGGACTTTATCATGCCTCGATTCTAAGTCAAGCATACATGACATTGATAACCATGTTAGGAAATGAATCAGGCAAGAAAGAGAGAGTAGAAAGACAAAAATAATCACACAACATAAAGAGTTACGTGGTTCGGCAATTGTTCCTACTCCACTGCTGTACTAGGATTTCTTATTAGGGTTTTATCAAATGACGGCAACAAATACAAGTGATGTTGTCGCTATAGTGTAGACAACAAGGGTTATAATAAAACCAACCCTTTTTTTTTGGGTAAATTTTAATCATTTTTCCATATGTGTGTGACAAAAATTAAAATAACTTTTGTTTGAAATTTGATTTAGCTGGTCTTGATTTTCAATTTGCGAATTCTCAATGTAAGTAATTTTATTTTGATGCTTCCTCAGGCATGAACAACCAACATATGTCCATTTGTTCAAGGGTGGCCAATTGCAGTAACAGCACCTTGAATTGATCTCTTTGGTTTCTTCTATAACTTCCTAAATTAAAATGGTTTCTTCAGAGGAAGTTCCAGATGAAGTTTCTCCTAAGCAGTTGCAGAAAAGACACAGCCCGGATGGTGGGACTGACATAACACAACAGATCCATGATGGTGGAGGTCATGCTTCACAACAAGAAGGAATCCCTCGTTCAAATGCCCCTGAGAAAGCATTGGAGAATACTGGGGGGCGTATATTGCAGCTAGACAAAGAAGGAAGTGTTTCTTCTATAACACCACGGAAAGTCTCACATACCCCTGGCAGTGATCACCATTCCTTGCAATCTGGTCAGGAAGGAAGGATTCCTTCTATCATGCGGGAAAAAGTGTCAGAGGATGGGTATCACTGGCGAAAATATGGGCAGAAACTTGTTAAAGGAAATGAATTTATACGAAGCTATTACAAATGTACACATCCAAGTTGTCAAGTGAAAAAACAATTGGAATGTTCACATGATGGGAAGCTTGCTGACATTGTTTATCTTGGTGAGCATGAGCATCCCAAACCTCAGCTTAACCTCCCACAATCAGTTGGTTCCGTCCAGTCCGCTGTTGAAGAAAAACATGATAATCTTTTATTGACTGGTATTGAAGGTAACAGGGAAAAAATCATCATTTTGTTCATTTTTTTGCTCTTACCTAACAAAAGATTTTATTATTGTGTTGTCTTATTTGAAAACTAATCGATAAATACAGAAAGTCATGCACCCCATCCGATCGATTCAACAAATACCTCTCAGATTTCTACTGTTACATCCAGTGAGGATGCGAAACATGTGCTATCAGAGCCAAATAGGATAAGGGATGAGGTTGATGATGATGTTGATCAACGCTCAAAACGACAGTAAGTTAATAAAATGGCAATAAATTTATTTTACTGTACTTTTTCACATGAGCTAACTCTTTTGTTTAAATGCACAAAATAGGAAGAAAGGTACCAGTAGTGATGAGTCTACTCCTGTAGATAAGCCAACTGGTGAGCCACGTCTTGTCATTCAAACAAAAAGTGAGGTTGATATTGTCAATGATGGGTTTCGTTGGCGTAAATACGGGCAGAAATTGGTTAAAGGCAATCCAAATCCCAGGTAACGGTCAAATTTAATGAACCCAACAAGTTTAGACCTTGGTTTGTACATGTTTAGTTTGCATCTCTTCTCTCTTGCTGTGAGAATATGTCAGGAGATGCCTCCTCATATTGGTAGCATGTTGAAGAGATTGCTAGTCTGCATGTGGAGACAAAAATACTTGAGCTGTTTGAGTACTTTCTAATTTTGTTCTACCCTCGCATTATGTAGGAGCTACTACAGGTGTTCGAGTCCTGGATGTCCAGTTAAGAAACATGTAGAGAGGGCATCTCATGACCCAAAATTGGTTTTAACCAGTTATGAGGGTCAACATGATCATGACATGCCTCCTTCGAGGACTATTACTCATAACACAACTGGTCTCAACACTTGTACCACCACCATCCAGAATGGCGAGTCAGGTGCAAAATCAGGAGAAAGTGATGCCAAACCTCTTGACATGGTTGCTTATAATAGCTTGGATTCCAACATCAGATCGGGGGAGAAACTGTATTCTGAGTCAAGAAACAAACTTCAGGAAAGTAATTCAGGCCAGGAAAGTAAATCAAACGAGCAGCAGAATAGCAAGCCAAGTGCCACGAAATTAAGTGGTGCTGCTAACCTTGACATTGTTGTCAATACGAACATCGTGGTACCAGGTAGATCAACTGAGCAACACGATGGTGAGTCAAGAATTGAATCAAAAGAGAACAGTGCTGCTTGTGGGGTTCGGACTATTACTCCAGGTCCAGAGAGTAATCCAAATGAACAGCACATACTAAATCCAGAGCCTGTCCAAAGCTAATTGAAATAGATTGATTTCACAAGCTGTATAAATTACTCCTATAGGTTAATTTATCATAAAATATGTAGAGGTTCTCAGCAAGTATCTAATATGTGACAACTTTTTTTGTTAACAGCGTCTTTCTTCCGGTGTTTAGCTGATTAGATGTAGTAAAACCATTTGAATTTGGTGAAGAGAAGATTACAATTTCTGGAAGCTAGTTCATCACATTCTGTGTCTGCCTTATCATATGGTATGAGAATTCTTTTGAGTAGGCATGTTTGTAAAGTAAGGTTAGGCATGCTATGAAGCTGGTGCTTTATATCCGTGACAATAAGCCCATCCCCCAATCAGTAACAGAGATAGAATCGTTGATGGCTGGCCTGATAGCAGCAGCATCAGATTCAATAGTTGTTACTGGAGAATAGAAACTTGAAGCCAAGACTAGAGCCTCGCAAAAAGCTAATGCTTCTCCTTGCTCTACTGACCCGCACCTTGCAAACAAAGACCACTATCTTTCAATATTTGATCCATCAGAATCCCAATACCAATTCCTGCAAAAGAAGATCCTATAACATTTGAAAATCACAAATCAATTATGGTTCGTATTGTGCAGGTCGTCTTTCATGACACAGACCAAGAATCATATGCTTAATTGTTTTTAGACTGATTCATATAGGAAAAAATTCAGCATTTCATTAAGAAACTTGAATTGCAAGAGGTCCATAGTATGAAACTTTGGAATCAGAATGCTTAATGCTCCAAGAAAGTGAACATATTCTAACTGCAAAGCACCAGACTTGGTTCTCCAAAGAAAAGGGTAACTTAAAAAGGGTTGTAGAAGCGAAGTACACAGCTGATGCCACTGCCTTCCTCTTAAAACCGTTAAGAACTAACGGCAAAAAAAGAAAAAAGAAAACGGCAATCCCAGATGTTCTACCTCAGCTAGTTGCCTGCTTTCTCAAATGAGTAGTGAAATCAGCATGCAGTTTTCACTTCCATGCACAAGATGCCACCAGATCTCTGTTCATCCAGCCAAGATAAAGAGCCCCATCTCTTTCTTGAAGCCTATATCTATCGCAATAGTTCTCTAGCAGAGTTTTGATGGTGGAATTCACCAAGGTGCTTAATGGATATGGAGTAAACCCAGCCATGGTGAATCGCGACCTCCACTTCCCAAGAAGCTCATGTCTCTCCACCCTTTCAGTTCCCTCGCATGCTATTATGTTAACAACATCCCTTGCCAGGCAGTGCTGCTCCACATTGATCCGTTCCTTATGATCTCTTGGAAGGGTCACATCAATGGATTCAAACATAGCCGTATAATAATTTAATGTCTCGAGGAACCGAGGGAAGAATGCAGCAGTATTTGTGTTAGATTCCTGCTCAACAAGGGTGACCACCTTTGGAGCCAAGCTTTTAACTAGCCTCAGCACCCGATCCCGGTGATTCTGAGTGCTGACACTCTCATCGGGCATGTGGTGAAGTACAAATGCAAAGTTCACTGCTAGTGCCTCCCCATGTTGAACACCAAGGTTTTTTATCTGTACCTCACAACCAGATATGGCAGCAGCATGAAACTCAAATGGCACCTTAAATGACTTAGCAAGCTTAGATAGCCTTTTGCCCACTATACCTAGTCCTCCTCCACGGGCATACGCTGATGTGGAATCATCAATACCTGTAATGCGGATGTGGGGAGGCCCACCAGGTCTCGCTGCAAAGGCCTGGATTAGACTGATCCACTGACTCCCCTGACCAATTTGAAAATCAATTATATGAACCCTGTTTTCATCCTTCATGGCTTCTGCAATGGCACCATTTGCAGACATGTATCCAAATTTGAAATAGGGGCAAACCTCATAAAGAATGTGCATGTAAGAGAGCAGCTCAGCACTTGCTGGTTCTTTGCATCTTAAAGCTTTGCAGATGGAACTCCCTGAGGAGGCCAGGCGTGCAACAAGCCCTTCCAGCATGTATGCTCCCAATCTTTGAATTGGTTCACCAGAAACTGAAACCATCTGGCGTAATTCATCAATCAAGCACTGTGCCATTAACAGGTCATTATCCGACACTGCTTTTGCGCAAGCAATAAGGACTTGTTTTAGGTCCCCTCTAGAGATCACCTCCATTATTTGTCTCCAGCTATCCATTTCCAGTGACTCGGTGTTTGTCCCACTGTCAAATGCACTTTCAATGCTGTCAATAATATCAGAATCAGGCCCAAACATCACAGTTTCTAATTCTCTCAACTTGTGCCTAAAATCATGGGCATCATCAGTTATGCAGGAGCCACTTATTGGAGAGCCATTGGCATTGTCAGGGGAATGATGTGCCTCGAGTGAATTTGACTGAGATTCTTTCTGCGACCTGGGGCTTCCATTTGATGAGAAACTGACAGTTGACGGAGAGTTGTAAGCAGCATAGCTGCCATTTGCTGAAGATGACTCCAGTGTGCAGTATTGCTCAAGGGAGTTTGGAATGGAGAAGGGGGTTCCTTGGGTGCTGCCACCGTAGTATATTTGGCGGTCTAAAGTTCGGAACTGAGGCTTGCAGTAAGCTTCAACTTCTTGCATCGGTTGATAGAGAAATCTGCTGGACATGCGGGAACCTCTGAGTTGTTGTGATGCTTGCATCGAATTATAAACCAGTCTACCTTATTCCTTTGTAAAATTAGAGACGATCCAAGCAATCTTTTCTTTCAAGATTCAGAAATTTGGTGAAAAGCCAGTTGCCAAAATATGGTGCGATGTTAGAATGCTTTGATTTTCATGACAGAAGCCTTTGAATTCTCTCTGATAGATCAGCTAAATGAACCCTGTGACAAAACCAAGACAATTGCCTTGAGATAGATTTCTGTAGGACACCCACTCAGCAGCAGAATACATAAGGTACCAGCATAATCTGCAAAAGAGAATGAAAATCTGTATTATTAACTTGCACAAAAAAGAATGAAAATCACACATCTAATCCAATGTCAGCATTTGTACATAGGCATAAGTAGTAAAAAATCAGGAGGCAATTTCAGCTTCAAAAAACTCCATACTCAGAGAACACTATTCTCTCATCTTACAGAGACAAAACTAATACATATCTACAACATGTGGGAAATACAATACATGAATATAAGAGAAAGTTTGCAAACCAGAGAACCAGTTGGTCAACAAAAAATGATGGTTCAAAACTTAAAGGCTTAAAGATACTTTATAGAAGCTTCCCAGATAGAGCATGAATTTTAGAAATTGAAACCTTCTCCTTCTCTTTACGTTTTCTCTCAAAGCTGCATGTAGTTTTCTTTTTTCTTTTTGTGGCATAACAAGGATTGACAGGGAAGCACGCCAAATTAAGTAGGTCTACATGACCTGTCCCGTTCTTTTGGATTCAAGCTAACGCATATACCAAGGCAAGACTTCACTGTTATAAGTCATTCAAGGCAGGTTGGAAAAGAAACCATAACAAACAAAACTCCAATTCCAGTAGAGTCAAAAATAATTTTTCCCCATAAGTTTTTCTACACTAGTCATAATACAAGTTTCTGTAACATATAAACCTTAAAGAAAACAAGAAGAAGAAGTAATATTGAGTGGTACAAGATATCAGATAGAGCAAAAATAAATTCTCATCATTACAAGCTGTTTTTTCATCTACCGGATCATCAGAGTGCTTGAATGTTGGTTTTAATCTCATTAAGAACAGTGTGATCTTCAAGCTCATTAAAAACATTCTTTATCCCAAGACAACAATTTCACTCCACCAACATGAAATGCAGGTTAAGTAATCATGCATCATTTCATTTCTTGAATCAAACACTAAATCTTAAGAAAACGAAGGTAGAAGACAATGCCATTTCAAAATGAGAGCACATTTCAAGCCCGAACTAGACCAGAGTTTGAATTTCCAATAAATCAAAGCAACAAAAACAAACTGATTTGTCAACTAAAAGAAATTTAGAAGCTTATAATGAAATCCCACCATGGAAAGATCCAACACAACCCATTTTTAGTATCACTGAGTCATCCATGGAAACTCCATTAAGCGGGGTAAAACTTGACAAAAGATAATAAAACTTGAACAGCAAATAGTTTCATAAAAAACAGAGGATTTCAAAGAAGGCAGAAAGATGAATTTTCATTGTGAGTATCATTGTCACTTCCAAGAAACAAAGTAAATTGTTGAGAAGCCCACCTTGTGTTGAGGAATCTCCAACTACTTTTGGTGTTTCAGTACAAACCAGAGGTATTTGATAAGAGAGAGTGACAGACCAGAGAGAGCAGAGTTATCTTCTTAAGATCATTACCAGTAGCACTATGACATTATCAAAAACAAATACAATGAAAACAAAAACGAAAACTTTGGATTTAACAAGAGCCCTCTAATTACTCTAAAACTACATTTCTACCACTGATCTGAAGAGAAGGCTGTTTAGTGCTAGTAGAATCTTTGTCTTTTCTGCTCGTCCTCTAATCTTTTTATTTTTTGGATTATAAATATTAAATTTTATTTAAATAAAAAAATATTTGAAAATATTCTACAAATTGAGAACATTTAAAAAATAAACTATAAAATTCCGGTCATCAAATTATAATTGAAGTGGATTGTTTTGAAGGAAAATTCGATAATACCACTTAAATAATTTTTTAAAAAAGATTAGATATATACAAAATCTTATCAAACTTAATTAGAATTGGCTGTCTGACCAACTCATATAAATTGACATTAATTTTTTATATATAAATATATACACATACCGCATAAAAAATATTATATCTTTCACATTCATAATTTAAAGTATTTTTATAAATAAAATTAATCAAATGTAGATGTTTTATATTTTTAAATAAAAAATAACGAGATTCAAACTCAATACCTAGAGTTGAATAAATTTTTCTTTTTTTTTTTCCATCAAAATGAATAAAAGTAATTTCAATGGAAATCAAAGGTGATATGGAGAAAGGGAGATAGAGAGGAAAGGGACCTACACGGTTGAGAGATGAGTACTTTACGTCAAAGGCCAAATAGATGACGGGGGAAGTAGTGCCTTACACTTCAGCTAACATGCTTCCTTTTTTAAGTTCCTTTTTGTTAGTTTCTTTTCACCTTAGCTTTTGTTAATTAATTAATTGTCATTACACTATCCTCTAATCTTTCGGATTTGATAATGATACACACTCCAATCTTTTCATTAAAAGAGATGAAAACCCTATCCAACAAGATTAATTTGAGCTAAAGAAATTTTAATTATTTAAATAAATAAATTTACTTAACTCTTTAAATAATTGTGCCCTCTGTTAGTTGATTCGTTCTAATACTAGCAACTCACTTGACTTTTATTTATTTATGAAGATCTAGTAACGTTTAAGTTCCTTCATGCCCTGCCCTTTGATGTGATATCCTACGCTAAATCTTATTTATGTATATAAAATATTAGTAGAAGACATAAACTTTGAAAACTTACTTAATAAATGAGGTTTTTATATATATATATGTATGATACAATCGGTGATGGCTATCGTAACGTAAAAGGAATATTGGTTAATTTTGTTAAGTGAAATATTAGCATAGATACCTTTCGAAGCTGACAAACAATCTTTTTTTCCTCCTTTAAAAATCCGAGCAATCTCCCTTTATTTGGGATATGTTAATCCCTTGATGTGATCATCCAAGTGATTTCATTCCCTCTTAAGATATGTTTTATGGGAATCGAATGTGCAAAACAATCAAGAAAAAGAAGGAATCTTTTTTTCTAATTTGTCCCCTCCAAAGCGAGCGTGCCCAATGGCCCATGTTTCTCGTCCTCTCTCAATGCCCACTTGGATTTTGTGTTTATCTTTATTGTACGAATCAAAGAGAATGTACAGTAAATGATCTAGTTAGACTGTTTAATCTGAAAAAAAATAAAAATAAATAAAAATAAAAATCAATGCTAATTTAATAATAAATTGTTTGATCTGTTTATTAATTAGGTTTTTAGTGTTGTGGAGCTAGATTCCTGGACTCCTTCATTTGATAGAACAGCTTACACACACACAGCAATGTTTATTACCTTCTATTAAGAAATCTACACTATTGAGTTATATTCACACGTGCACCAAAACTTTTCCTTTTCAGATTAACGACTATTCTACCTAAAAAGAATTACAAGTTAGATTAGGAAAAACCGCTTCGTTACTCCAAAAAACTTTGGTCATAATTAATCAAGCAATAATCTATTGTCTCCAGCATTTTATTTCAAAGAAACTGTTTAAAAGAATTGGTTGGCAGAGAAATTAAGAGTGTTTTTTCTTGACAAAGGAAATTGTCTTCCATCTTCCGAAATCAGCCATTGACCATTATTAAATCAACGATTTCTTTCTTTGTATTTTTTTAATTTCGCAAATTTGGACGAACAAAACCATAAAAATAGTCATGACTCAGGTGGGCAGACTGGCACCCAATTCCAAAACCCCACAGCCACCCGGGGTCCATATAAAACTGCGCGCATGGTACGTGCAAGTGACACTAAAAATCAAATTCTCAAATTTCTATGAAGCAATGAGACAAAAGCAAGAAGAGCCCATGATGATGGGACTTTGACTTCTGTATGCAAACATCCCTCTCATTTTGCCGACATAATGTTTGGGCTTTTGGGAGATTGATTGCCATTTATTTAACTTCTGGCTCTTTTTACACAAAGCTATGAAGATTCTGTCCTGTTTTCTGCAAAAGCTAAAGCCACCACCCTCCTTCAATCGAGCCTCAAATTGACCCATTTTTCGTTTTTTTTGCAATGTGGGTCTTTTTGACACTCGTCTCCCCCTCGCTCTCTCTACAGGACCCCGGTTCTTGAATCCCAGCTGAATGTCTCATTCTGCAATAACTTCCACAAAAACACTGGATCAATGTGTACGGGCCAGGAGTTAGTAAGAAAGGACCAATGGATTTTTATAATCAAGGGAGGGGACGAATAAGGAGCGTTTTATGATTCAAATTTTGGGTCCTTTAACGTGATTCATTGTCGGCGTGGCATGGCAAATGCACTGAGAATGTCATTTTTTTTTTTGTGTTCTTTGTGTCGTTGATGGATTGTTAGTAGAAACACGTGTGATTCAATTGTGGACTGCACGTACGCACCAAATTCAATTCAGACAATTTTTTAATGTTGTCGTTGTCGATATCGATCCATAGAAACTCATATGATCGACCACATTTGTCAATGTAGGGACTTCGAAGTTAATTTATACATCTTTCTTGGAACTTATAAAGCTATTGTCGGGGAACTTGTTCATTGGTTTCATTTGCATGCGTGCTTAATTCCCAGGCCTGATAATACAAGTTGCAAATAATATATATATTTTTTATGTATGTCCTTTGTCTCTTGGTTTTATTTAACTAAAACTTAATCCTAAATGTTTGCATTTGCTCCTGTTTTCAATTTTATGGTTTTAGATTTTTGAAACCAATATTTAAATGAAATTATTTTCACGAATATATCAAATTAATGCGAAGAGTGTATCCATTCGAAACTAAATTTGAATTATCTTACAATTAAACTAATTTAAAGATATCTATTATTATGTTTTTAACCAATAAATAAAATTCAAAGTAAAATACCATTCGTGGAATGTGGAACAAAGAATTGAAAGGCTTAAAGATCAAAGTCGTCTTGAAAGATTCGAGCCAAGATTTCAAGAATCGAACAATTACCAGAAAGGTTCGCTATATACCAATAAAATGCAACTCTCATAAAGCAGAGTCTATATATATATATATATGTGAGAATTTTGTTCAATATTTGATTTTCAAAAGATCAAATGTCGTCCTTTTTTCTTTTGGTTGTTCTCTTTTTAACCCCATATTAAAGGATAATTTTGTTTCCCCCTAACTTACTGTATTTTGCAGAATTCATGAACTTGGCATGCATCATGTGAATTTATGTATCTTTCATGACATATTGTAACAAGAAAAAAAGAAATGTTGCATGATATGATACATGTTTGCATCGTTGATGCATTTATTCGAACTTTAAACATGAGTGGAGTGGATCTTGGGCATGTGCAATGGTTGGTGAACAATATTTCTGATTGTGTTACCCTACCATTGTTAGCAAATTGCTGGGCAACTTCACCACTTTATTTGGCTGGCATCATAGATTATAATCTTCTCTAATTTCATGGTCACCTGCCAAACAAATTAAAGACGAAAAAGAAAAGGAAATGCCCGCACACCCTTCACATCACATCAACAAAAGGTCAAGCTTTACTTATTTTTCATGTCGTTAATTTGTTTCCACAAATATTCTTTGGTACGTAGCTAGTAAATTAAAACATTCCAACCTGCTTAAGCTTGGGGATATCCTTGCTATCCCTTAATCGATATTTCTGTGCTTCTTTATTGTCAACTAATTCGAGAAATTCTGTACTTTTCTCTACAATTAATTCCCCTTCAGCTGGAGCCCTCTTGAAAAAAGGTTGTGTTTGTATACGAGTATGTATGTATGTATGTATGCATTATATGTCTACATTCTTTGTATGATACATACAAACATTCCTAAGATATTTACTAATTTGCTACTAACAATTAATAAGGAGGAAGTATAACAAATTTCTAATCAGATTAACTGAACGACGTTGAAATAATTTCTAAAGTTTCTCGATGGGTAAAAGGATATTTTTTTCTTTAATTATTAGTTAAGGTTCAAACATCTGCTTAAACTGTAAAAAATATATATTTTTTTTTATATAAAATTTTCTAGTTTTGATGTGGATATTATTCTTCTTATCGTGAACTGAATTGACTTTTGAGAACATCTGTCTAAGACGAAGATTGGGGTCAAAATCCAGCCCATCAAATAATACAATCAGCTATTGACCCAATCGATTATTGGCCCACTTAGTAACCTCGATCTTGGCCCAAACATATTTGGAGTGGTTGACTATTACGTCCACTGTCCTGTCCTGGAACCCAGTGGCAGCAGGTGATTTCTGATTTTAGAATTAGAAAGAAGTCGAGAGAGAGGAGGCAAGAAGCATCAAGCAAGCAAGCAAGAGGTTGAAATTGAAGAAGAAGAAGAAGAATGGATCCTTCAATGTGGCACAAAGTAGCTGCCGTCTCCGGTACTCACTATTCTTTCTTTCTTCTAATCTGTATTTTCTGTCTCGACAGCAGCAGTACAATTTGTGTTTGATTTACTGAAAACCACAAACAAGCAAACAGGGGTAGCAGCGCTTGGATTGGGAACTTATGGTGCTCATGTCTTCAAGCCCCAAAATCCCACTTACAAAGAGGTCCTCTTTTTCTCCCCCACTCTTTTTCTTGTTAAATAGCATTACCAAATCATAGTAATTCTTTATTGTAAACATCATTACTAAATGATGGGAATTCTTGATTGTGAATGCGAATGTGAAGGTATGGCACACAGCGTCTTTATACCATCTGGTTCACACTGCAGCCCTTCTTGCTACTCCTCTTACCAAACACCCCAACATCGTGAGTTTCTTCCCACTTTACCACCTCCTTTCTTTCTTTTTTTCTTTTCTTCTTTTCTTTTCTTTTTTTTTTTTTAAAAAAAAACTTTGCTGTCTCAGTTTGGAGGCCTTTTGACTACTGGGATTCTTGCTTTCTCTGGAACGTAAGTCATTATGTTTTTATGTTTGTATTTAAGGTTTGATTGGTAGCTTTTTGCATCAACTCAACTGTAAGTAGAGATTTTGAATTTGCATTTGCTTAGTTTTTTTATGGTAAAGCTGCTCTTCTTGTTATTTGCTAATGTGCAACTGAAATTCTTCTTGTTTTTTGTTTCGGGCCTTGACTGTAAGCATACGTGATTTAATTGCTGTTTTGTTAAAAAAAAAATCTCTTAATTTTATCTGTTTTTGGGTTCAAGAGTCACTATTTTCATATCCCATCTGTCAAACAAGAGCTTGCTTTGAGATGACATTAGAAACTAGTTTACTATATGTCTTGAGCTGTCAAGCCTACTAGATACCAAGTATGTCCTTAAAACATAAAATACACGAACAGAGTCTGACTGAGGAAAAAGGCATATAAGGTATTCAATTTTTTTGCTGTTTTAGTAAATAAGGGGAGTGGAGGGGTGATCATGGAATATTAAGTAACCAAACTATTTGAAAATCCTAGACTCAATTGTTTTGCATGTGTGCGTATGTGTGTGATATTGAAGAAGGGTTGAGTGGAAAGTGTCATTTTTAGGAGTAAAGAATAGAATGGAAAGTATCAAGTTGAGGGTTCCAAAATAAAAAAAATAAAAAAAAGGAACAGGTTTTATTCTGCGCAATCGCTTCCATCTACATAGGTCAATCAGCCAAACCATGTAAATTTTTGTCTTCCTGTTCTCTCCTGTGACATAATCGCTTTTAGGATTATGACAGTTTTATAGTACAGAAGCACATATAATCTCATTGTAACAAAATGGTAATAGTATACGGGATCCTTTAAATTTGAATATTGGGGTATAATGGTGCCTCAAGATGTTGCTTCGAGTGCATATGCATTTCATTCATGAGTCATCTCGCTTGGAGCATTACTTGAATCAACTATAGTGCACAATGTCTCTGTTAGTAACAAATGGAACCAAGTGAGTTGGATAATGATAATAAACCTTAAAATAGATCAATTAAAAACTGAACTGCAACAGTTTTTCTGTTATAACGAACATCAGCTACCAACATCAATAACCATGCATGTTGCTCAGTCATACATTTGATTTCTTTGTTTTTTTAGGATATAGACTTTCTGGAATTTTATGCTATTATCTTTGGTACATATGTTTGGAACAATGTTATGTTTCTTCTGCTTGGAAAAAAGACAGGAACCAAGCATATCTTTACTCTCAGTTAGACTGTATATATAGCTGTATGCTATACTTCCTATACCAACTAAGCTGTAAGATTCGCTCAACTAGGCATATGGCTCAGGTAGCATTTGTCCCAAAAAAACAAAAAGGCCCTATGATAACTACTTTCTTCTGGCTCTAGTTAAACCAAACTGATGGCAACGGACAGTGTATATCATCACACTTTTTGTACAAGTATTATAATTTGACATCGATGGAGGTTTGCTTTCATCTGAATTATTCATTCTCAATGTCCTGTTTTGAGCTAGTTATCTTTTCCGTTTGCAATGTACACCATTGGAGGTTAAAGTTAAAGAAGTTAATCTGGAATTGTGTAGGTGTTATACTGTGGCACTTCTTGAGGACAGAAAGTATTCTGCTTTGGCTCCATTTGGTGGCTTTGCATTTATTGGTGCTTGGGCAAGCTTGCTTTTCTAAGGATAGACCTCTCTAAGATGGTGGTAAATCTTCACTTCTACATTGCAAGTATCTTGCATCTATGCTTTGGTGTTCTGGCAGATACTGAAGAAACTTCGTTGTAACTATATGTGCACTATCTTGACAATGGTTAATATTTCAGATCTTTATGTCTTAATCATCTGCATAATTTTTGTGATCCACACTATCCAATCTTACGATATACAAAAGCTTAGTTTTCATGGAACCACTATGCTGCGAATAAATGAAGAAAAACTAATTTGGTTTTTTGAAGACTCTTACCACTAGAGAATCACAGTGGAACATACTACTTGTGAAGTTATTGGATTCCTTCGTTGCAATTTCTCAATCATTGGTCAGAGTCTAAGAGAACTTAAAAGGTAAATGTAGGCTAACATTTGTTGCTAATATTTTTTATGTGCAGCGAGTATTCTGAATGGAAAAATGTGCAATGAAAAAGGTAAAAATATTTGGCTATGATGATTTCAAATTGTTTTGTTCCATGAAAAAGATCTATTGCGAAGAATAATTTTGGCAAATCAAAAATAATTTTTTTAAAAAATAAAAACTTAATTTTTTAAAATCAAAATCTTGTATTTAATTAATTATTCCTTATGCTTTTCATAAATTTTGAACTAAAAAAAACATGTTTTTTTTTTTTATACACGTATTGATTCTTAAATAAGAACCTACAAGCATCTAAATAAAAAATTGAATCCAAAATTAAAAAAAAACCTAAATATCTTTTTCCATAAGATCGTATAAAAAAATATGAGTCCCAAAAACTTTCTGAAAGAGATTGGCAATTGCTTTTGTGATGTACTATGTCCACTCCAATGACACTGTCCCTAGATAATCATGAAATGATGATTGTTGATCCAATATCTTATATGCATTCTTAGCGGCACGTTTTCTTCCATGATTGCTTCATGTTGCTACATGATGAAAGCAATCTTATCTCTGGCTAGAAGGGTTATCAGTTCCAGAAATGGACGATAGCGAGAACAAATTTATTTGAAGAAAATATAAAGTAGAAGGAAAACTAGGAAGGGACATTTATGTATTTATTTAAGCTCATCAAATGTATTAATGTCATGTGCAAATCTGATTTAATTTGCAATTAGAAAAAGTCTCCCGCTACAAATTGATTAAAGGAACAAACTTTGTGGAAGTGAAAAATCTTTATCCCTTGTAAAATGCTGATCTTCTCTGTTAATGGTTCTCTTTTCTTTGAATCAGGGATAGAACTGATACTGGCAAGAGCTATGACCTGCACGTAATTTTTTTTAAAGCGCAAGTCATTTTCCAGTAGAAATGAATAAAAGAACATCGAGAATCATTTAACATGGAGAAAGTATAAAAAATGATTTCCAGCTGCCACTCTCACATGGCTTGCCCTTTCTAAGCATGTGGAAATTGGAAGTTGCCTTCTCTCTCTTTTTTTTTTCCCCCTCCTTTTTTTCCATGATCAACAAGTTGAAAATATAACATTTACATGCTGCAAGATTTCCTATGGTGAGGTCTTGCTAAAAACCACACGAAAATTAACTAGAGATTGAGAATTAGGAAAGAAAAAAAAAAGGTAGCAAGGCTCAGTAAGTGCTCACTGGGATCAAGTTCTGTAATGAGAGCAGCTCCTCTGAAGTAGCAAGATCCACCTTTGTGCTTAAACTTTTGGAAGTAGTTGTTGAAGGCATAAGAAGCATGATCTCTCACAGTATTTGGCAAATAGCAAGGCTGGTTCACTTGAATCTTACTGCAATCTGCACCACCTTTCCCACAAGCCCAATCCAATGCCATCTGCAACTCATCATCTGGGGTCTGCTCATCCGCTATGCACCATTGCTCTAACTCCCCATCTAATATGTATTTCCAACCATACACAAACAAGAACTTATAAGAACAGGAGCATACAAATGAAGCTACTTCGTGTGAGATATGAACAAAACAACCTGTGATGAACAATGAAAAAATGAACCAGCTATGATACAGGTTCTCCCCAGGTAAGAGTTAAAGTTGTATTGCTTAGCTTACCTGATTTCTTAGGTGTTATGGACACGATAAGGAGGGCAAGCGTTATCCTTTTCCAAAGAATTGACATATTTTTTGAAAGAAAGAAAACAAAGAGAAAAGAGAGAGAGCTCACAAATTCACAGTGGCAGAATAACCTATCTGATGCAGAAGTGTATCCACAGAAAGCTTGTTGTTTAGTCCATAGATAGAACAAAAAACGAAAATCTTGGCGACAAGATTTACGGTGAGTAATTACTTAGTAATTCGATAGGTTGCTAGACAACAAAGTGGCAGTCATGTGAAGGGGAGCCCACGAGGGTCAGCTTGCAAATGCGTTCCACATAGGCTGTTTTACACCCAAACCGGGAAGGCTATGCTTCTGTAATACTATATATTATTGCATTGAGCTGAAGGGATTCCAATGGTATAAAGTGAACGGCAACTTCATCATTTAAATTTTTACTAAGAAGACAAAATAAAATTATTCAAATTGCTCATGGTCATGGAATCTCAATTTGCGGGCATCCTACAACATTCCTGCCTCACCATGTTCTGCTCATTGAAATATGGAATCGGAACCTGGAAGGTGTCTTTCTTCTCTTATTCTTAGGCTGACATATGAGTGGCATATCTCACATCGATTGGAAGTGGAAAAGAAGAGAGATACTTTAGAATTTGAAAAGATGAGATACTTGCATACGAAGATGGCTCATAACCTAATAGTTTATGTTTTTGTATTGTAAATAGTGCCCATCGATGTGTGTAGTGTATGAACTCTTGCCCAACGCAAATGAGGCTAAACAGAGTCTCTCCGGAATACTTATCAACCACATTTTAGCTGCACATCATCTTTGCCGAATCAGACAGTAGGTAAGGATCAAAGGCAACAAAAGAAAAAAGCAAGGATACATCAAATTCAGCTAACATTTTTGCACCGGAAAAAGAATCTAGTTAACTTCACATTTACTCCGTGTATAATATATGTTACAATTTATGAACTAGTTACAGACAGCACCTGCATGCTGCATTACAAATGACAACAATTACCGCACCTCATTCTCATCTACACACCAAACCAGAGGAACTATCAGAATGAAAACAAATTCACACTTTCAATCAAGAATCTGCTCCTTGTAAAGCCTCCAGGTAACTGAGGTTTCCTGTACACTCTGTAGCTTTACTACATTATCCGTTACAATGTCACAATACTACATCCAACCCTAATTAGATGGCTCGTTCACCCTCATTTGCTTGCACAAGTTTTTATGCACAAATCCATCAAGGATAGAGAGAGAAATCGATCATCTCATAAGAGTTCAAAGAATGCAGCATTTTGACATTTTATGACCTGCCTACATCGATGAAGAAATTGGAAAAGAAAATTGAGAAGGAAACAGAATAATTATAGACAAAACAGGTATGTGCAGAAAAGCCGCTGCCAGCATCATATAGTTATCGTCATCTTGAAGCAATCATAGAGTGGGGAATGGTGCCAACAACGGTTCATAGGCACTTGATTGTGCTCCCCTGATCCATGCAGTCGTGAACCCACAAATTTGTCACAAGCTCGGATTCCTGGAAACAAATAGCTATCCTATTATATGAGACGTTGAGTAATTGAATTCACAAAATACAGTGACGACTATGCTGTTGCAGTCTTGCAGACACTTTTTAACATTTCTCAAATTTACAAAAAAAAATTTCATGGCATCTTATCTAGGAAACGGGCATGGTTTGCAGAACTGTCAACTATCTAGGCTAGTTTCACATTAAAGCATAACTTATCCCCTTGACAAGAACCATGAAAGAAACATTCTCTAAAAGAAGCAAAGAATGGTGTGGGGTGAACAAGTAAAGATAGATTTTCCACAAACACTGAAGGTCAGATAAAGTCTACTTAAGAGTTTCAAATAAGAGAGGAGCCTTCTTCGAGAACATGGATGAAAAATTTTATTCATGAAGAAGACATTGTGAATTTGATGCACATATGCATGATAATTTGAAAATATTTACCATGGTGCTAGAAATTACCAGAGGTGGAAAGATAAGAAAAACGTGGCATCAACCATTCTTTCCATGACCTCATAGCTGAGGCTTGTTGCCAGTTAGCCAACCAAATGCATTTAGGGTCAACCAAAATACAAGGATCAGCCAGCTGGCTGAAGAGATGTAAGCAACTTCTAGTATGCCAATCCACTCTGTCAACTAGACTCAAAAAACGTGCCACAGCATTGTAAAGCTGCTCTTCTTCAAATGGCTTTGATACATAATCATCCATCCCACACTTCAGACATTCTTCATTTGTTGCCTGAATCACATCAGCTGTCATTGCCAATATTGGTGTGTGCCAATATTCCACATTTCCAAACATCTCCATTGATGCTTCTCCAGATGCAATTTGCTCATTACATTGCCTCTCCATAGACCGGATTCGACGGGTAGCTTCAAAGCTGCATATGATTATAGACCAAGAATAAACTTTGGAAGTGAGAATCCGTAACAAACAAATGTTTCCGATAAAAGGAAGTCGGTTAAAAAATGCAATTATTCTATGAGAACCGAGATAGATTACCCATCCATTTCTGGCATTTGGAAATCCATGAAGCAAGCATCAAAACCATGTGGTGGTTTAAGCTTTTCTAAAGAAGCCTTGCCACTCTCCACACAGGTAACAATTGCTCCATACTTTTTAAGGGCACCTTCAGCCACTCTTCTGTTAACCAGATTGTCATCCACCACCAAAATTTGTTTTCCTCTAAGTAAATTCTGAACTGTTGGTGGTTTCTTCCTATTTACTTCACTCTTCTTACCATTTCCAAAGGCTTCTTGGAAGCAAGTGATTAAGACACTTAACCGTAGAGGTTTCATCAGTACATTATCTACCAAACCAGAGGTTTTTAGCTCTGAGCGATCATCAGAGCTGATGGCAGTAGCCAAAAGAAAAATCTTCGAAAGGTCTACCCGGATATCTGTCCCACCATTTTTCTTGGGCATTTTCAGCAAATGATAGAAAGAAATGCCAGATTCCTTGTCCCAAGCATCTTTGTCAATAAGAACCATACGCAAATCTGCTGGAACACTGTTAAAAGGAATTAAGTGCACGTCAAAAAATCAAATTGAAATGTATCACATGACAGTAAAATTTTTCTGAAACTCATTAAATAGTAACTTCTTTCACAAATTTCCAAAATTTAATAATTTTTTACTCATCGATTGTGAGATAAGATGACAATGTTTGCAAGCAGCGATCACATGTATGGACATATACAATAAGAGGAGTACTTTTTTCATAGCAGTTTAACATTAATCACTTTTGAGCCAACCTCAGACTTTCTTACAACTATGCTACTAGAATCAAATGTACCTTGGGTAGTCACCACTAGATAGATAGAAGCATGCTGACTTCAGACTGGGTTCTATATCTGCAGTTATTCCCAATCTCTGCAGGTGATATCTTGTGACCTCAGCTCGGACACTGCTTTTATCAATTACCAAGGCTCTCCCTCCTCGGATTTTCGAAACAGCTGTATCGTAGAGCTGCCACTTTTTATCCAAAGAAGTTGATTCTCCTTTCCTGAACGAAGCAGTAAACGAAAAGGTACTGCCAATGCCACGTTCACTAACAAACCCAATCTCCCCACCCATGAGATCCACCAGACATTTGCTAATACTTAATCCTATTCCCGTTCCACCATATTCCCGGGAAGTGGAACTGTCAGCTTGGACAAAAGGTGTGAAAATACGGGTCTGTGCATCTTCAGGTATTCCCACCCCTGTATCCTCGACTGTAACTAGTAATCTAATCATTTCAGGTTCATCCTTAGTATCTATGCAGCTTAACTTCTTAAATTGCTCCCAACTTTTCCATCTGTTGACAACAGGAAACCCACTCAACGTGTCATAAACTTTTCTTGATGTATCCTGAACAAACTCCAGGCCTTGTTTTAGTACTGCATCCTTGACATCAAGAGGGCTTCTCACTTCATCTGCTAGATGCACTGAGACAAACACATGCCCTTTGTCGCGTGTGAACTGAGGGTATACCAGTGGAAAATATTAGTGGACCAAATTTACACAAACAATAAGATGTTGCATACGAATATAAAACTGCATATACAAAGCTTTTAGCTACAGTGATGATATCATCAGTCTGACATCCACAATTATCAATGGCAGTTGTGTTAAACATTATTTCGAATATTGAACAAGAAATGCATCCATAATTATTTTGCTTAAACCAACCTTCATCGAATTTCCAACAAGATTCGTAATTATCTGCCGAAACCGTCCAGGGTCACCAATAACAACTTCTGGAAGCCGGTCAGAAACATAAACAGCCAACTTCTCTCACCCAAAAGAACAATTAGAGCCAAGTTTGGATTAGAAATGATATCAACGCCAAAAAGAAGAAGAAGAAGAAGAAGAAGAAAATTTCCAAGAAAGAGAGTTGCTCCATATGTACCTCGATCTCTTTTTCGTTTGATTTTCCTGAAAAAAGTGATAGAACATTATCGAGAACAGCACGCAGATCAAAGGGAACATCTTCCAATTCTAGCCGGCCTGATTCTATCTTCGCCTGATCTAGAACCTCATTGATCAGTGCGATTAGATCTTTTCCGCTACTATGAGCAGTCTTAGCATAGTCCATCTGGTTTACATCGAGATCAGTCTCCATAAGCATTTGCAGCATACCTGAAATATGATCAGAAGCAGAATTTAGTTATTAAAATTTGCCATATTGGCAGAATATGCATTGTATAAATGACACATTTCTAATTACCTAAAACACCATTCATTGGGGTCCTGATTTCGTGGGAAACAGTTGCAAGAAACTGCAAGGATGAGAATACTTCAGTGGCCAGAAGAACGTAGAACTTCAAGTAATAATAAAGATGCAAAGGGCAGAAGCCATATATCTTTAGTATGAAACCCATCAAAACGACCAGGAATTGTACCTGCGATTTTGCCACATCTGCAGCTTCAGCACGAGCTTTGAGCACCATCATCTCACGATAATCCTCTTCAACCTTTGCAATCCTACTAATGGCTGCATGAAAGATGTGGCCAACAAGAAGAGTAATAACAAGGACTCCAACTGATGCATTTATTGCTGTCCAAGGTAAAGGAGGTTTATGCTTGAACCTGTACATAAAGGAAATGAGGAGAATAAGAGATCACCCATCTGTGTAATAATATAAACCTTGTTACTAAGAGAACTAACCTGCAATGCATTTCATGCTTCCGCAATGGATCCCCAAAGTCGAGACCACTTATGTGCAGAAGGCCAGTATCGGTAACATCAGTGCCATACATGAGAACGGGAGCAGATGCATTAGTTGTGTCATAGACATTTACAACAATTGTTTGCTTGCTGGAAAGTTGGTGCAGAAGCTTCTCCACTAGAGATGGTACATCATAAGATGCGCCAAGATACCTTTATAACAAGTGAGCCCAGATTAGAAGTTAAGTTCATGTCATCAAAATGTACCATATCATGATTATTGAAAGAATTACCCAACAGTGGCTTCAATTCTTTGTTCTGGAGTAGCATCTAGAGGGAGGTCCGCACTATAGACAGCAAATGTGAGTACAACTCCCAGATGATTTGATTTCAAAAGCTTAAAAGGAGATGTCAACACTCCCTTGCCAGATGCCCTTGCTCGTAAGATGTTCTCACGGTCTTCCTGTATAAATACAGCAGTTGTTAGAACAATCACCTTACAGGTACTTGGAAGAAATGTTCTAATATAAATACTTTTTTCTAAACTGGTATGTCTTGATACATCATGATAACATTCAGAGTGGATCTCCATTATCTACTAGCAGATGCTCTTCATATTAACCTGTAAATATAGCTGTGCAAAAGATGGAAATGATTTTGAAAATAAGCAGAAACCTATATTTTCTGAAAAAATCCATACAATATTTTTCCTTTGAAAAAATGCTGAACTTACAAGCTAAAGCAACCATCAAAAGTATAGCACTCATCCAGCGTTGTTGAGCCACATCTTTCTTCAACACCATCTTCAAACATTTATTAGTTTTTTATATTAAAAGTTAGAGTAAATATACTCATTTGTCCTTATATAATATGCAGTCTCTCATATCTCTCTAAGTTTCTAATTCCATCCCATTTGTCTTTCAATCTGTCCTTCCGATCAATTTTTCCGGCCAAATGAAAAAATTTTTATTGAAATGCATGAAAAAAAAATTCTAAAACTTCAAAAATGGAACAAGTAGGTCGTGTGACTTTAAGTGTTTTTTTTTTTTCACATTTTAGTAAAGGGCATTTCAGTCAAAAAAAGAAACTCCATGGTCAGAAAATTTGATCGGAAGAACAGATTGAACATTTCAAAATTTTTCAAAGACAAATCGGATACAATTCGAAATCTAACGACATATGGGAGACTTTGAGTTTCTACAAGGACTGATGAGTATATTTACCCTAAAAGTCAATGCAACAATCTAGATTTACCATTGCCCAAGTGCTGAAATGGTTGGCATCAACTAATTTGGCTCTATGGCATGGGATATGAAAAGTAGCCATTTAAGACAAGCAGCTTCATACTTCCAAAATCACTCAAATTCTAAGTATTTACCTAAATATGAATCAGCAGCTCTAATCCACCCCTTACTGCTTTCCCCAAACTGAAGAAGAGTAAGCAAAAGGTTTAATTCTTTGAAACCATGCAAAAGGTTTAATTCTTTGAAATCATACCATACTTAAATAAGTTATCAACCAAACAACATATAGAAGCACTGGTGAACGGAAGATTTGCATTATATTTATCATAGGAAAATTAGCTATTATAGTATTTTTTTTTTATCACAACTTAAGAAGGGCATTTTTGGAACAAAAGCACTTCATTGGTCAAATCTAAATTATGATTAAGTACATGCACTACAGTCATGCTTATCCCCAAGGGAAAAGAAATTGATGGATAAAAAGGAAACAGAATAACTGAAATGACAAAGCTATGCTATGGAAACACACCTTTCCAGACATCATGTCAATGGAGACAATGTGAGAAACTGTTTCTTGAGAAAGAATCACAGGTGCATATTCATCCTGGATGGGCGCAGGATCCAATTTATCTGGAATACAGTCTTGGACTAGAGTCTGGTCCTCCGTTTCCATTTTCTTAATTGTCCATCCATGCTGCTTCTCAAATTGCTTCCTCTCTAAATGAGGAACTTTCAGAGCATAAGCAACACCACTAGTAAGTGGCCTCTCAAAATCTGTTCTCTTGGTATATTCACCAAATGTTTTCTGTGAAATAAAAGAGAGTTCAAGGTAAGATCATTTTGCTTCCAAGCATGCATGATACTACTGTATAGTAACAATTTGAGTTTTTCAGTAAAAGTCTTTTGGTCCCTAAGCATAAGTTTGATCTCTAAATATACCATCTTGTTGCTAGAATAGATTAACAAATATGGAGGGCAAAATATCACCTGATCAATAGCAGAAGGATTTTTGCCATGGTGAAAGGTTGATACAAGGATAGCCAAGGCATGTACGTGGTTCATGCTAACATTGAACTGGTCCTGTAACATTCGTGCTCGCTCATCACACATGTTGGCAAGAGTCTCTTCCCTCCTTGTTATTATCTTTTGATTCAAGTGCCAAAACAACCAAATAGACACAAGCACTCCAAGCATGACAAATATTATAAGAAGCTTCTTCCTCCACTTGCCAGCACCTCTAGGAGGACTCTGGAATAGTGGTTGCTGATTCATCTGCAACATTTGTTGCTGCTGCTGAGGCACTGGCTCCAGCTGAACTAGCTTCTGCAAATGCTTCCCCCAGAACTTTACATGATAACCCAATAGTATGCTGCTCACTATCACTCCAACAAGGACCCACCAACATTCTTTTACCAAATCAAATGACAAAATTTTACAATTATCTTCTGAACAGTCCACTTCCCTTGTCTGCAAAAATATTATGACCAACGTCAAAATAGCCCAGGAGATAAAACACCTATGTAGCATCACTCAAGGCATAAGCGTTTGTTTTCTCCAATCAATTTTGTGAGGCTAAAAGGCTACTTTCCAGCTCTTTATATTTATTGCAGAAATGAAGAAAGGAAAGTTAAAGCGCATGATCCTGGCAGAGAAGTAAATAAATCAAAGAGAAGACTGAAAACATGTCATGTAGCTATAATAATTCAACCAAAGTACCTGCGCACAAGCTTCGAACTTGAAATAGATTGAAGCATCCAACAACAGAACCTCTAACAGTGTTTTGTAAGCACATCTGACAAATTTCTTACATTGAAATTATTTTTATCATCTTTCACTTGGTGGATAATGCTCTTAGAAGCTCAATACTCTTCTGGTGAGCCAATTACACCTCTGCTGAACTAAATAACTTTGTGTATTCAAGACACTCACAGACAAATTGAAAATCCAAAATACAACAACATTTTTTTTTTCAGGATTTCCATACTGTTGGTGTTTTGATGCAATGCAGCATAGAACACACATAAAAGCGCAAAGCATAGCCTCTTGTTTACCTAATCAGTAGTGTCAGATATATTTTCCCCTGTTTCCTGCATTTTGTTTGGGTTGGGAGTGCATGCAGCTTGTGAAAATTTGCATAGTATACTAAAAAAGGCACTAAAGTTCAGGACATTGAATATTGACAACAAGAATACTGAAACTTTCAAGCAAGAGAGATGCATATCCGACTGCTTCAGCAACAAGGTTTTACCTTTCCACAATCCTGTGACATTGATGAAATTGTAGATTGTGAAACAAATGATACAGACTCGTTCAGAATTGATTGATCAAGCTTCCTGAATTCATTCTCATCTTGAACCAGGCATTTACCATTAGGCCTTAAATCTTCAGCAACCCATCCGATGTGTTGTTGAAATTCCTGCTTCTTTGAACATGGTACCTTCAGTGCACAGGCAATGCCATCATTTATTAGCATTTCAGGTGCTGGTTCCTTGGTACACTCAAGGGATGCTATCTGCAACAGACAGACTAGTGAAAAGAAGTTTGTAACCAGGCATTCTATTTCTGTAATGCAAGAGACTTCTCTGGCAATTTTTACACAAAGTATTCAGCAATGGAGACACGAGTTAGAAAATCAGCCTATGCTAATTTCATACTCAAAAAGATGCATTTAAGTGGTCATTTGGTGTCCCTATCCCAGCAAATAATAGCCATACCTTTCTGTCTAAACATGAAAAGGTGCAAGACTCATGATATCTGTATGTATGTAATTTCTACAAATACATATCTAACAATTTATTTAGTGACATGTCCATTTTGCGTCCTAATTCAATTCCAGAATGCACAATTTACTCATATGTTCATCAAGTTAATCAAAGAAAAATCATTTCAAATTCAATCATAACAACAAAATGAACTTTCAGACTAACAGCCAACAGGAGCAATCAACAGCCACTAATTCTAGGACACGATTAAAACCAAAAACAAAAGCACATATAGTTAAAAGAGCTATAAACAAAGAACCTGATCTGAATCAGAGAACAAAGAACCCAAAGCATGAAGCTGGTTCTTGCTGACATTGAAATGGTGAAGCAAGACGGAAGCTCCTCCTTCACATGAATCTAAACTCTGTCCTTTACTTCCCAGCGCCCCACTATGGAAGTTCGAGAGAAACCAAATGCTCCCTAAAGTAACAGCAACACCTAAAAACCAGAGAAACAGAAACTTTCTCCTCCATTTCCTGGCAGAATTAGGCCCATGCAAAAGCTCCTTTGACTTCCTCAGCTTGAAACTTTCTTGCGATGTGCCATTTGAACCAGAAAACTTGCAATTAGTTGACATTTTCACCTACTCCCACCTGTGTATCTTCACAAAAGCCTTGGAAACTTGACAAAAACCCCAGCTCCCCCACCTACAACTCATCAAAATTACCCCCTTTCCCCAATGACAGATTCAAACATTCTTACGAACCCACCTGAGAAAGCTCATCAAAATCAATGGTTTATACTTTACCAATCAAAACCCACTTAGAAGGCACGAACTACAGCGGAAAAATTGCAAGGGAAAAACAAAGCTGTCCACCTTCTTTGATCTATGCTATGCACTTCTTCCACTTCCACTTTATGGTTCAATACTAAGTTTCTTTCTTTCTTTCCATATCCACTTTTTTTTTTTTTCTGTTTTTGTCTGAAAGAGAGAGAGAGAGGAGGAGGAGGTTAGATGAAGAAACTAATCATGGAAAACAAGAAGCATAGGTAAAGGCCAGTGGTTATTTTAGGAAGCTGTAGTGCTGTAAGGGAATCATTTAATGAGGTAAGAAAAGACTTGGCTGTTTCCCTTCCCACATCTCTTAGCTCTGTATTAACCCAAAAGCAAGTAGCAGCATCCATCCATCAATACACAAGAATGAAAGAAAGAAAGAAACTACTTGCTGTTCAACAAAAACAAAAAACTGACTTGTACCTATTGGTTGGTTTCTGTGTAAGCCCAACTGGAATCAATGATCAGAGAGTGGGGTGCGTGTGTCTCTCTCTTTTTTCAGTCTCTCTCTCTCTCTCTCTCTATCCCTCTCTTCTCTCTCATGTTCAGTTTGCTGTCCAGCATTTTGAAATTCAGGTTGGCTACATCATTATCTCATCATATATGTGGGGGAAAACTTAAGCAAGAAAAGCAAAGAAAACCCAAATTATTAAAAACAAAAATGATACAAAATGTACTATTTTAAAGAAATTGTCAAATGGGAATGGAAATATGTCCTCCTAAATCCTCATCTACTGTAATTTCTCACCAAACATTAAACTAGTGACTTCCAGAATTCATGGATGCTTGGTAGTCTCTGATCCGCATGCATTATTATTGTACAATGACCAAAATTGCTGCAACATTTTATGAAAGTTGTGGTGTCAGCCCAGTGGCAACCACCATTTTCCTTTTATAATATTGCAGCCATTTTCTGCAATGCATTTGGAAAATTCAAAAGACACGGATCTTATTTTTGATGTGTTATTCTTTAAAATAACAAATGATTCTAAATTATGATCGCATTTCAACTATTTTTACCAAAAAAAATATAAATTTGGTTTATCTAAAACACAGCTTAATTATCAAATAAACCGAAATCACTATCAACTAATTAAACATTCATTATTTAATGTAGGTAAATGGAGATTTATTTTTATTTGGTTTTAGGAAAAAAAACCACCAAAGACACCAAGTGAGTCACCATTTTGTTGGTTTCTAGGGGGGTTGTTGCTTCCTCTCTCTTTTTTGAAGAGTTGAAAGTGACTTCTCCTCCATTATAAAAGATGGACGGGCCGGGTTATTTGTTTCCTGTTTCCTTCTGTCCATGCCAGACTTTTCCGTTCTATTCTTATTATAAAATAGAGTAGAGAGCTATGCTGTGCCTACTCACGGATTCTCTTTTCTTTTCTTTAAAACACTCACAGAGGGTCAGAAAGAATCTGGAGAGAGAGAGGGCCAAGAAAAAGGTAATACATTACAGTAGTAGCTTCCAGTTCTTTCAGACAGTAACACAGTTTTCTTATCGGTTACCAATGCAAAAGAACTCATTTTACAATTATTTCACTCATTCTTCTGCTTCCAAATTTTAGTATTCAACCCGTTTTCCTTTTTTTCTTTTTTTATTAGGATTTAGAGTGTTTTTCAAGGTATGTTACCAGCCAGATATTTTTTTTGGCAATGTTCATATTATGACGACAAAAAAGAAAAAAAACTATTTATTTAGTTAGTTTATGATTGTCAACAGCAAAAATAAATCACCTTACTCCCAAACCAACTTGGCGTTTTGAGCTAATAATAGCAGCTGCATGGTCTATTTATTCAGAGAAAGAAAACCAACTAATCTTATTCCTTCTCAGTTTGATATATTTGTTTGTTTGTTTTATCCCAACATCCTTAAATTATATTTTAAGTTTTGGAGTGAATAAGTAGTTTTGGTCATTGAAATAAATACAAGTACATAATAAGTTAGTGTTATTTGGTTTTATTATTATTATTGTTATTGACGATGGACACAACCATGACAATATATGTCGGCTATATACCTTACCCACCATTGATTTTAAAATCTTTAATATTACTAAAGCAGGTCCATTAATCCAATAACTTTAAAATAACCCATGATTAGTTTGACCATATATAAATTGGAATATATTAGAGATAATGAGCGGTTTAATTTGCTTCAACACCCACTTCTTAGGTCACCCGTAAGAGAGGTAGAAAGGTGATTACCCCCACCGGCCACCACCACATTTTTTACATGCTGGTTATGTTTTTCTTGTTTACAATTTTTTGGGAAGATGTATAGACTCAATAGGTCAATTTATTTAAATAACAATCTGACTTTCTAATACTTTTTTAATTATATTTTGTCAATAATAATAATAAATTTTTTTTTTTTTTTACCAAAACACTCTTGACTAATATATATATATATATAAACATACAAATTATTTGACTTTAAGTGATTTTTTTTTCATTTCGATTAAAGGCATTTCGGTTAAAAAAAATTATCCATTATTAGAAAAAATTAATCAAAAAGACATATTAAAGAGTAAAATAATTTTCAGAGACATATTAGATATAATTAAAAATATAAAAATAAATTAAAGACTTATATTATTATATAAAGACAGATCGATCTATTAATCAAAAGAAGAAAAATTTAAAGACTTATAAAATGAAACATGGAGTTCATAGGATTTTAAGTAAGTTTTTTTTTTTTCAATCAAAATTGATAAAAATAACATTTTAAAGATTAGAATAATATTTAAAAATATAATACATGTAACTAAAAATAAATAAATTGAAAATTTACATTATTATATAAATATAGACATATCTATTTACCCATTAGGATGACAATTTGCCTTGCTCCGGTGAGGCCTCGCTCCGCTCTGGTCAACGCGAGAATTCTTTGAGTTGATTGGGAAATGGGGCGGAGCATCCCACTTTGAATTGATTGTGAATGGGAATAGAGCAGGGATGGTATTTGCCCATCCTACCCCACCATGCCCCTCTTTGTCATTTTTTTTGAAAATTACAATTATATCCAAAAATATATATAAATTTTGAGACTATAAACTAATCTTCAATATAATGATTGAGCTTTTGTAATTTCTAAGCAGTAAAGACATATAAGAATTTATTTTTTTAATTACATTTATGATATTTCATCAACTTAATTAAGTATATTATTTATTCGATTGAAAATAGTTTACTCTATTATTAGTTATGTTGTTTATTTTATAATTGAATATGATACTAAATAATTATTTTTAATTATAATTTTTATATAAATTATAATTTTTTATTATAGTTTAAAATTTGATACAAAATAATATAAAAAAGGACGTAAATAATTAAACGAAGCAATAATACTTTGCGGGGGATCCTTATTTCGTTGGGAACGAGGATCTTAGAGAAAATATTGCCTCATACGAAGACAGGATGGGACCTGTTCCATTGCCATTCCTATTTACCCAAAATGTACATCATTTTTGTTTTTTCCGCAAGCAGACAAAAATGACATTGACATGTCCACCAATGCGGACGGGAGAAACGGAATGTAATCACTTCTTACTTTGGAGTCTCTATCGCACAATATTTGGCACATTTATTAATCAAATGTCGCTGTATTACAGCCACCGGATCGTATTTTGATCCCATCGTATCAGTAGAGCTATGAGTGGCCCAGTGTCAAACCACTTTACTCAAGTCATTATCTAAGTTTTATTTTCCTTACTCGCAATAAAAATGAAATAATGCTTTTTTTTATTTCTTGGTAAATAAATAAGAGGGCACCCCCCCCCCCCCCAAAATAAATAAATAAAAATACAATAAACTAAATCCGCGTAAAAAAATCTATGTCCATATAAACAATAAAAATATAAAATTTTAAGAAGTTTGTTAAAAAGAAGGAACCTATTTATCTTTTTTATTTCTTGTAAAAGATTTGGAGTTTGAACATCTTATTTTTAACCCAAAAAAAAAAGACACGGTAAAATAGTAATTTCCTATTTTATATACAGAAATAAAGAAACAATTATATGTGTAAATGTAAAAAGCATTTACATTTTAGGTTCATTTAAAAAAAAAAGAAAAAAAGGAAAGAAAAGGTTAAATGCAGGAGGCTAGCTCAAGAAATTTTGTAGTGGTGTACTTGCTTTTTAATGAAGTGCGGTAGGGCCATGGTTCCTTGTAGCTACCAAACTACTTTAATAATAATGCCAATGGAAGCTTTATCATTTCTTCTTATCTTTTTTCTGCTTTCTCTCTCTCTTGTGGTGGGAACTACCAAAGTACATGCCTCATTGTAGGGGCCATATTAGCAATGGCATTTTCGCCTCCTCAATAATTAACCTATCTAGTTGGACTCTTAGTCCCACCACTCTCCTAATCTCTCCCCAAGGAAGGTTTCATCTGATGGCCGCACAATTCTAATCCCTTATTTCACACCTTTTTTTTTCCTTTAAAAAATTTATTATTATTATTATTATTATTATTATTATTATTGGAGACCTAAAAAGCATTATTAGCATGCAAAATATCTACGCTCTTTCCTTTCCTCTAGGCCAATTTGCTTGGATTGACATTCATTCTTAGATTCGTGGAATAACTTGCCCACCAATCTTCTTGCTCAAATAAGTCAGTTGTCTCTCAGAAATCTTACTTTTTACTTGTCCAAAACATATTCTAAAAGAAAAGAAATGCACTATTTTTATTTTTTCCACCCAAAAATGAAACAAACGTAAGGCGGAGTGTATAAAAAAACCACCTGAAGGAAGATTTGAAAAAAAAAAAAAAAAACGCATATCATCAAG